CGCGAAACGTCGAGAGTGAGATAACGCGTCCGATGGATAAAAGTCTCTCTTTTTCTCCTTCTTTTTCTCACTCTCAAAGGACGTCTAGGTCTCTCCGCGCCGACCGCAGGCATTTCTAATAACGTCAAGCTGGTTCCCGGCCGAGAGCGAAGAAAGAGATATGTTTCCAAACTTTATCACACGTGTAAGCGTGAAAAAACAGCTCCCGCAACGCCTACCAACGCCTCCTCTTTTCTAAGAGTTCAAATATACTCTGCTAGGAGAGCTATCTCAGTGTTGATTAGTATTACATCAGACTGATCTTAAGAAAAAAGAATCTCCCAGTAGACTACACGGTCGAGAAATTTTTCGAGACAAGTTAATGCGCATCTAAAACGTGTAAACATTTTTTTTTAAATTCCTTACCATAAAAACGTGTGTACGCGTATATTTTTTCCGAATATTTTCTATTATCTAGATAATTATCTGGAAATGAAATAATTGTTTTATTCTATTTTTATACCTATTAACGAAGTATATGATTTTAATCCTTATCTTAAATAAATAGCTTTTTTAATTACGGCAGACAAAAATTATTTATGAAATGACTCATTGAAAAAAAATTTTAATATCTATTAGCTAATAGCTATTTTAATATCTTAAATGGTTCGTTTTAAAAATATTATATGAAAGAGAGAGAGAGAGAGATGCTTTGTAATCTTATCTTTTATCTAAATAAATTCATTCTTTATCTTTTTTAAACACATTTACATACATTTCAACTAATCTTTATCTAAACAATTTCAAGATTAAGAGGAACACATTGAGACTAATAAATATTTCCATCATTAAACATACTTGTATACAGAACTAATACTAAAGATAAATTTACTTTACAAAATGAGATATTATATGCAAAATTGTCGCATAAGAAGAAAAAGAGTTACATTTTTGGTGAGCTCGCTATCTCCATTAATTCGATCACGGAAAATCGTAGCTAACCCTAAGAGATTCTCCAACGCGAAAATCATTTTTATACTACTACTAATCCCCGTCGCACTTCGTACCATCGCCGTCTGCAAGAGTAAAACACTAATTACAGCTCGGCGTGGTCGCTTCCGCTGGCGAGGCAGACGGCGTAGACAAAAGCAGCTTTAGAGAATCCGCAAAGCTCTCCGTCTCTCTCTTTCCCTCGCTCATTCTCTCTCCGGGCTTACTGAACTTTCCGCAAAGTGCGGTGCCTCTGCGGAAGACGGCCGAGCGAATCGGCAAAGATTTTGTCGCGTCGAGTCGAATGGTCGCGGAGCACGTCCCGGACAATAATTTCGCCAGTAACGCAATACACCGTCCCCCGGTGAACCCCATGTTCCGAATGTAAGACCGAGTCCACGTACAAAGGGAACAACTTTCATCGCCAAACGCGTGTCTCGTTGCTCTAAACGCCATGTCTCGAATATAAAGCTCCTCCAGGCCAAGAATTTCACTATAATCATCGTGATATGTGCACGTCTAGCGTTGTTTTAAGTGCAACAAATTCGCGCAAAATAATTCCCCCACAGTACACTTGTCAGAGGATACATATTGTCCTCAAGATAACAATCGTGCGAATTTTTTGACAATTTTAATTTCGAAATTTTCGCACGGAATTTTCAAGGCGTCATTTCACGAATGTTTTCGAGTCTTATGCGAATCTAAAAAATGTAACATAGCGATAGATGTACCTGTCGATGACACTAAAGTGACCCGCGTTCCGCAAGCATTCTGATCGCGACCGGATCGCTCGCGGGTTATATATGTAGTCTAGCGAGCTTCAGGCTCGATCACACTTGTTGAGGGGAAGCCTTCGTACCACTCCACCATCCACCACCACCTCCTCTTCTTCCTTCTCCTGTTCTCGTACTGCTTGTCCTCCACCTTTCATGGTATTCTCTTTCCCTCCTCGTTTCTGCCTTGTCCGTCCTCCCTTCTCTCCGCACTTTCGCTCTCTCTTTCGCTGTACCTTTTGCCACATGATCTTTCTCTCCCACTTAGAGTGGTACCTCACGAGCGACCTTGACCTCACGTTGCGTCCGCGTTGTTCTAACGTTTTCATTTATGCACTCGAACGCCATCGACGACGACGCAAATAATTTGCGATTCGCGCGATCAAATCTCTCTCGGATTAACCCTTATATATATTTCGGATATGAATATGTTATACGATGAATATGCTATTAGTAATCCGTACATTTCAGAGTCGCGATCTCGGGATGTCCAATAATACCATCGAAATTCGATAATCGAGGAACGCCAAATCGATTATATGCACTTGAAATTTCAACCTCATTATAATAAGGAGAACCACATTACTATATAATTATTGCACGATTAGCAATCGCAAGGGTTACTAACCCTCGATAACTATGCGCGTCGATGACTCCTTCGGGTCAGTTTCCCCTTCTCCCTTCATCATTTGACTTTCTCCTTCAAATGTACTGGTGTTTTTTGATCGCTACATTCTTTCCTCGGAGAAGACTGCGCAAAAATTGAAGATAACAGAGTAAGAGAGAAGAGGAAAGTGCGTAAAGGCTCGACATGCGAGTTATGTCATCGCGAACGGCCAGTATACTTTTAGCTGATAATTAAGCGCACGATTTAAAGAGCAACGAACCAGTGACTGTACGCGAGTTTCTACAAAGTGTTCGTACTATCTAATCATACTGACCGTTTATAAAAGTTGTTTAAATCTGTTCGATATCTCGGAATGTGACGCAATTCTGTCCAAAACAATCGAACGGAAAAAAAAAAAAAAAAAAAAATCGGTCAGCCTCCGGATAGGAATCCGGAATGAAGCGAGTCGCGACGAGAGAAATACGAAAGCGTGACAACCACTGGTAAACACGCGTGGTCACTTATCGTCGATGAGGTTTTCACCGAACGCACGTCGAAAGAACGCAGAACCGCATTGTCGTCATCGTCGTCGTGTCGTGTCGTGTACGAGAGCCCAGAATCTGACCTGGAGTGAAACGACGATAATCAATCGCTCGTAAACATCGCGGCGAAATCGCGCATATCGCCTCTCGTTCGCCTCGCGTTTACCTGGGCCCGTCGAGAAAAAGGCACGACAATGGTGTTGTATGTTCCCGGAACGCAAACGTATGTCACCGGGAAAATTAATGCGGCGGAACGCAGTCGAGAAGGCGGTTACCACGCGCGTTATCAAACGGAGATATCCGCTTTCGAATCATTCACGGACGCGTTCTTTTAGCTATGATACGTAGCTTATTTTTCGCGAAGTAAAATTAGGCACACATGTGGTCAGGGATTAGAGGAAATAAAAAAAAATTCTCCAAAATGCGCACAAAACTAATTGAGGAGAGAATTGGCACGAATATATATATATATATTTATATACAGGATTAATTATAGGGGGGTTTTTCATATAAACATTAAAAAGTTGTTAATAAAAATTGAATAGAGGGATGTTAGTTTCATCCCCTTATAATAATACAGGAGGCTAAAAAAATATTAATAAATAACCTTTTTACTAATAGAAAATTTCCATCCAATTTCATTTCTTTAACTTCCAAATTTGAGAAAAAAATAAAAATTTAATTTTTACTCCGATTTTTGGAGAAGTGTAACTTCACAGGAAGGGATGTAGGAGTATATGTTTATACGAAAAAAACCCCTAATTTTCGACAAAGAATCATCTCCTGAAATTTTTCAAACTTGTTAACAAACATCCTGTATATCATAAAGAGATTTAGAATAATTTTTTTCGTTATTTATGACCTTTATTCCGTGATTTTATGTCGTAATCCCTGTAATCATTCGCTTTGTAGAAATGATTATGCTAGTTTGAGAATTATACGATTTGTCGCACTTAAACGCGCAATAGGTGAAAGCGAGCGTTTTAATCTCGCGTCATGAACGTGCGATTATCACCGAAGGAGTTTGAACCTCGCTATAGAGATCTCCTCTCGCGGAATCTGGGCCATCGAGCCTGCTATCTGTTCGCCGATGCCAAATTCTCGTAAGATATAGTTAGTCGTACTAATAATGGTACTATCGCGCCAAATATCGAGAGAGAGAGAGAAAAAGACAGAAAGATGCGATTATGAGAGGATCACAATTTCCAAGATACGGTTACGCATATTTGCATAATTATAGTAGAAAATACTTGTTGCACTCGATTAAAATTTCTTAAAACCTGGCAATCTACGCGACTGAATCTATCGGTAATATTGACATTACGCATTATGAAAGATTTTTAAATATTTTCGAGGAAAAACTAGTGTTTATAAATTTCCGCCAAATACCTATATCAATGTATACGCATTTGAAAACGATGAGACACATCTATTTCATGCATTGCGAATTAAAATATGTGTGGGTGTGTACGTTCTAATTTGCAATGCATGAAATATATTTTTCACACATACATGTGCGTGTGTAAAAATTTGCGCAAAAGAGAAACACATAATTCACATATAACATAAAAGAATAGAACAATATAAAGATAAAAAAAATCAGCAACCCCTATCTTTTGCGGTATTCTAGAATTATTGTCGGATATTTGCCGCCGAGAATAATTTTTACGCAACTACCGGTTTTGCTTGGTTTTAGCGAAATCGATCGAGACCGGATGCTAATTAAAAACGAGGTTCGCGAAAATTCATTTCGCGTTCATCCGACGCGACCCAGTAATGACGTTAAACAAAACGAGATGGCAGCTACGCTAATTTTACAAGCAATTATTTATCGGCGGAATCCACCGCATTCCGTAATTGTTAATCATAAACTGCATTATGTCTGGATGCATATATACAACGGAATTACATTTCGTTGTCCTGCAATGCCGCGATGCTTTTATATTGTACCTTGTTAAGCAATACTTTCCAACTGGATATTAAAAACACTGCCAATATCAATCCGCAAATACGCACGGTCTTTTTTAAAATAATTAAGCGCGCGAGCTAATTGAGTGCTTCCACTCGCATATCTAATTAAAAATATTTCAGTTTGATAAAACAACTCACCTTAATCCATCCTCCATGAGCAGTTACCACAACGTACAGCAAATATAGATCTATGTCTTTCCCGTTGATCTTCGGAGTCTTCTTGAAGAGCGTCCTGAAATTTAGAAACAAAAATCTTTAAGATATTGAAGACATTTCTCTCTTCTTTTCCAAGTAAAGAAAAATTGAGAACGTACGATTCTGTAAAAATATAATATCAAGAGAGTGACAAGTAATCATTTGTAAAAATTTATGATATTTTTCACTGGAATTTCCATTATACACATGCGCAGAGTAATCGTTCGAGTCAATTAATCTAACGAGGAATGAAATATATATATTTCCGAGTCTCATTTTGTAGAACTTGCGCATACATAATGCAAAAAAGCGACAAGTATATACATAGATTATTTTGCGCTCGCAGAATCACAATTTCGAATTTAATCGACAACTTTGAAAGTCGCCGAAAAAAATGGCGTCTATACCTGAAATCCATCAGACGAGACGAGTTTCAAAATTTCAACGCTCGCTTTGTGCGAGACGCTACCGTGTAACATACAATGCCATTTTCACGTCCCACACACGTAGAGGAATCACAATTTGCATAACAACGATGCAAAATGCAGGATTAAATTGGATCGCGCGACGGAATGCTCATTAATAAAGCGACGCATTCGCGTTATTTCGTCGAGCGATATTTCGGAAAAAAAAAAAAAAAAAAAGATATATATACGTATGAAAAAAATTGCTCATATTTTCGCGAGATCTGCCTTTGTCGGGATCGCGCACGTAAGATCGTTACGCGGAGAAAACGTCGAGTAGACGAAAGACGAGACCCATTGTCTTCGAACTCGACGAGTGGAAAATCGGTTCGACATAACCTCAACCTCGACGCGCGCTTCCGCGGCCCGATTCGCTCGCGTGTCACCGCGGCTTCTGACCGTCGATCGGTCGAGAGCAACCGCGATCGCGGGAGAGGGCGGGGAGGGGAGGGGGGAAAGGGAGCGATCCAAGTCGGAGATAAGCGTACGCGGGAGACGCACGTTCGACGAAGTAGTAATCGCGCGATTATTCAAAGCTTACCCTCGAGTCTCGTGGAAGTGTCGGAGGTCCTTTAGGAAGTTCTCCCTCTCCTTCTCGTACGTGACGGGGTCCTTGTTGAGGATCTTGGCCATGTTCGCGGGTACAAGTGCGCGCGGGCGTGCTAATCGGGATGATGTGCTCCGGGTTTACAGGGCACGCAGGGGCAGCGGGCAGAGAAGTAGAAGGAGGTGCAGCACATGGGCGCGCACGGGGGCACATTTACGCGAGGAGCGTCCTGCCGCTACTGCTGCCGCTGCAGCTGTTGCTGTCGTCGTCGTCGTCGTCGTTGCTCTTACTCGAGGACGAGGACGACCGCGGGTCGACACGGGGTCGCGACCCGCTCCCGACATCGGGTCGTCTTGTCCCGTGCACCGAAGTCGGCCGGTGGCCTCTTCGTTGGCGTATTCCGTCTCTCTCTCACTCTGTCTCTCTCTCTCTCCCCGTCTCCCTCCCTTCTTTCTTCCGTACGCTCTTTCTCCGCCTCTCCTCTCTCACTCGCTCACTCGCTCTCTCGCTCGCGCGCGCGAAACGAGACGACGACGGCGGCGGCGGCTTTTTCCTGCCGTACCGCCGCCCCCGGATCGCCTGCTCGCCGCGTAACGGCGTATAACGCTCTCACGGGCGTCCGAGCGAGGTCCCCTCGCGCCGCGTGCGAGAAAAAATCCGAGCGCACCGCCGAGATGGTCGTGCTCGCGATAGTCGTACTCGCGTACTTACGCGGGGGGCGCGAGACGACACGGTACAGTACGGCACAGTACGCCACGGTACGGCACGCCACAGCACGACACAGTACTGCTCCGCTCCGCTCCGCTCCGCTCCGCTTTCGGTACGCAACAAACGCGACGAACAGCGAGGAGCCTTCCTCTCTCGCTCTTTCTCTCTCTCTCGTTCTCTCCTTCTTTCTCTCTCGTAGGCCCCGATCGATTCACCTGTCACTTGTCAACGAAACTCACGGGATCCGTTGCGCCACGCACCACGCATCGGTCCGCCCGCGATGCCCGGCTAGCTCTCTCGCGTAACGCCCGAATTCGGCTCCGCGCGTGTCCTACGCAGGCCGGCGGAGAGCGACTCGCGGAGCGCGTTTCACTTGCGAGAGCCGAAGCGCTTGACGTGCGCCCGTATATCAAAATGGCGTCCCGTGCTGCCTGGCATCCATTGGCGAAGCCACCGCGGCCAATTTCCCGTACGCTACCGCCGATCGCTACGACGCTGCGCCGCGACGGTATACACACCGCGCACCGTTTCCGCTCACCACACACGTCGGCAGCGCGCGCGCTGACGTCCGACGCGACGCTCTACGTCATTTTACGCGCGGCCACTCGCCAGTAGAGGCCCCGACTCATACGCGGCGTGTCCCACGGCTTTTTTACCTCGGCGCCTTTTCTACCCGTCCCGACGAAAATCCTCGACCGCACAGTATTTTTACTTTCAAAATGGATGAGAGTGCCCCCCCTCTCTCGTTCTGTCCCTCTCTCGCGCTCTCTCGCCCAACTGCACGCCAGTGGCGCACGGTTTGAATTAACGCTCGTCCCGGACGTCAGGGGCGCGACTTGTCTCGCGCCGCGACCCCGCCATCTGTCGGCGCTCGGTCGCGACTAGCGGAACGAAGGCGCGAAAGACGGCCCGATTTGAATTTTGCTTTTCCTCATCGACGATCATTTCGGCCCGCCTTCAAATTCCGCGCTGTTTAAATATCGCTTTTATGCTAGAAAATACGCTTGTCGCTCTTCCCCCTTTTTCTTGTCCTCGTCGGAAACGCAGTGGTTTTAGAAAAAAGGAAATCTAAGAAATTTTTACGGAGTAACGTTTATCGTTTTCGTGAAATTTTTACTACGGAAGTCGACTGTCTTTTCAGCGATACGCGCTTCAAAATTTCTCGCGTGTACGATTGACAAGATTAACGCGAATAAATAAAATTTATAGATGCCGTATAAACGTAAAAAGTATCACAGAGGTGATACGCATTTGAAGAAAGGTTGGAGAACGAAACGAAGAACGAAGGATTTGGACGAGGTATGCAGGTTTTGTCTAACCTCTTTAACCACGTGGAGGTGTAGTGTAGCGAGTTTTAAATTCGCAATTATTTCTTTGACATATATTTTTTAATTTAGATCGATGAGGATTTGAAGGGAAACGCGGAGAAATTGTTGAATCAGAAAGTGGACTTTGATAAACCCGGTGCAGCGCAACATTATTGCATGCATTGCGCGTAAGTTTGATACTTCGATACAGTGACATAACCTAATTTTTCATCGAAATAATTGCACCATTTGTTGAGTGGTCATTTAGAAAATTTTAATTTTCTTTTTCAAACTTCGCAAAATTATGTGTTTTTCTTTTAAATCTTTCTGAAAAATAAAATATTGCAAAATGTAACGGAGCTTTTTACGTAAAATATCATATTGCATTTAAAATGATACATATTAAATTTCAATATAAATTAATACTGTATTATTTATGATATATTACATATCGAAACAACATTATAAAAGTAACAATGTGCATCTATTATTAATCGTAATGCGATATTATATTGAAATATTAAACAATTATAATTTTGTTAAGAAAAATGTTATTTGATTTTAGGAGGTACTTTATAAACGAAATTGCTTTGCACTCTCATTTTACTACCAAAGTGCACAAACGACGATTAAAGGCACTCGAGTTAGAACCATATAGCATTGAAGAATCGGAAAGAGCAGCGAGCAAGGGAAACTATATCGCACCCCAGAAACGAAAGATTGAAACTGTCACAAGAGAAACTTTTAATGAAAAAGATGCTGCACCAAAAGCTAAAATGATGAAGATAGATGAATAAAATTAATTTATCATTTAATTACTGTATCTTCATTCTAATGTAGAAAAAGATTTAGAAAGATTGAAACACAATGACTAACAAACTATATAGATTCACGCATGCTCTACAGCGAACGTGCAGAATTCTAATTCCCAATATTCATCCAAGGATTTTCCTTCCAACGAATGTCAAGAGAAATTACAGTTCCGCGCTATATATTTCCGGCAATAAAGCTTACAAATCATTTGCATTTTTATCACCGTATCTGGATTACGATGAGAGATTCGCCAATATGGACAAGCTACACAAGGAATTAGCGTTGCGCAGGATGAATGTAGATATCGTTCAATTAAAAAGTGCATGGAATTTCTATCGAAAGATGATCGCGGATAGATGCGCTTTAGAAGATAACAATTCGAAACTCACGGGTCACAAAAGAAGTCTATTAGAAAGGACCGATCGTACTGCTGAGCAAGAGCAAGAACTGAAAAAATTGCGTATACAACTTGATATTGTACGGCAAGATTTGAAAACAATAAAAGAAGCAATTTGGGATCTGGATGAAGATGTGATGGAGAGAATCTTGAAATTACCAAACGAGTTGGATCCGAAAACGCCCGCCAATGAATCGATAGTACTGAAGAGCATCGGGAGCGCACCAGAATCGTTCAAGAAGAACAGGAGGAGTCACATTGACATTGGGACAAGCTTAGACCTATTGGATTATAAGAATCCTATGTGTTATTATTTATGCAATAACGCGGCCTTGTTTGAGCTTGCTGTGCTGACACACGTAAGCCGAGTTTTCGATGAGAGCAATATGATCAAGATGGCTGGCACAGATTTTAGTCGTAGCTTCGTAGTGGAAGCCTCTGGTTTGAATCACGAGGATCCCATGGCCACTTTTATAATAGAAAATCATAATGAGGTCGAGAGAGGCTCGCCGAATCGTATGCATCTAGTTGGCAGCGCGAGCTTGGTCTCTTTCCTGATATTGCATACGAGGCAATTGATAAATCCTAATCATTTCCCACTTAAGTATTTTGCTACTGGTAGACAATACATGCCATTGCCACGTGATACACACGCGTGCGGTTTATTCACAGTGTGTCAAGCATCCGTGGCGCACGCTTTTGTCGTGGTGAAGGACGCGAAAAGTGAAGAGTACGAAACTCAATTCAATAAACTCCTGGAAAGTGTGTGCAGATTGTACGATGATTTATGCGATCATTATCGCGTCGTTATGCGATCCGCATCCGAGCTACAGCCTTGCGAGAGTCTGCGCGTGTCCTTTGAGATGTGGTCACCGTTCGCAAATCAGTATATCGAAATTGGTCACGTATCTGCGTACGATAATTATTTGAGCAAGAGGTTACTGATCGCCTATCAAACGCCATACGGTAGAGATTTTCCTGCAATCATATCTGGTACCGTTCTCTCTGTTCCACGTTTGCTAGCTTGCCTGCTCGAACAGAATCCTGACAAATTCGTGGTTCCACCAAAGATAGCTGAACTTATGCTTTCGGGTGACTATATTACTACATAAATTAATATGTAATATATTATACATAATACTATGTAAATAAATAAATTTCTTTCATTACTTAAAATGTTATAAAAATATCGTATAAATTTTCCAGACTAGAGAAGAAAGTTTAATACTTTTGTAAAACAGGAGTGATATTGATTGATATTATAGAATGCGAGTTGTAAAGGATTATTTTCAAATTGAAGGTCCATATGTATTAGCAAAATAAATGCTTAAGTACATTTTTTACTTGGCTTTTGTATGAAGCAGAAGTGCCGATTATCTGCCGTTGTTAGGTTGCTACTTTACAAGATATCGATCGATGTAATGCAGAATTTCGAAAGCGACTTCCACCATAATAAGAATGATAATCATCCACTCCAAACGAACGTGATGACGATCACTCAAGTGTGACGATAAAATGCTCACCAGTTCCACACAGTGATTTAATCTGTCATTCATTACCTATTTATAAAAAATATATATTATCAAAAAACAGATATTGTATAGAAAAGAAAATATTTGTATCAGAAAAGATCTCAAGGATAGAGAAATGAATGATTACGATAAAAATAATATAATAATTACTCTTGTACGTTTTGCGATGCTAAAATATCCACAGATTTGATGATATAAATTTTCCAGGTCATCTCGTTCCCAGTAGAAATCAGGTGTATCCAACAAATCCGAGCTCAGATTAATCCGGTGTCTAAGAGCGAATAGTTCGCCTTGTTTCATCAACACCTCCTGCTGTGTCATTCGAAGCTTTTTTCCGACTTTCAAATCTTCCGTGACAAATTCGATTGAATCGACATAACGATTCAACGATGCTTCCCATATGCCTAATTTGACGGATTGTGCCATAGCATTAGAGAATGTATACTTGTCCAACTTGTCCAAGTTTCCAGCTCCTTGTGCCAAGACAATATCGCCATCCTTCAAGTGACTCTTTTTTCTATTGAAGAAATTTCATGAATTATGAAATTTATTTCTTAAGACATATGTATTCAATTATTATTTAATTTGCTTTTTATATTTTATACATGGAATTATTTATGAATAATATATAGATAAAAGTAATTGTGATAATGAAAAGGAGATACCCGAAATCGCCATAAGTATAATGCATCAACTCGCTTTCGCTATGAATCAAATCTCTTGTGTAATGATTCTGCTCGTAATTTCTCAAAAACTGCAATAAGTTGCCACACTCGAGATCGGAAATATTCCACATAACAATACTACCCTCTCGAAAGAAAAATATCTCTCGTGGTTCATGTCCTATTTCATATTTTGCTACCGCGTGTACAACGTCTGGTAAGGCTGCAAAAAAAATATACAAAATTGAACATTAATTCCATGAACTGGAAAACATTTATAACTTATAAAGCTAAAATAAAAAACTAATAAATGCATTCAAGTTCACATATTCACACACATATATTTTGCGAATTTATTGAAATCTTGCGGTAAAACTGACATTCATTGACATACTAGTGACATTCATTGAAATTTAGACTGAAATTGACAAAATGAAAATGAAAATGAGGGAGCGCATTCGTAAATTCATGTGTGTATCGACGAAAGACATTATGTTAACACATACTGTCAATAAAAAAAAAAGTATCAAAAATACACGTGTCGAAAGAATGTAGAAATAAGAATAAAATTTCGAGTCGAAATGAAAGACGATAAAATACCTAATAATTAAATTTATGTTATAAAAAAGAAACGCGGCAAACTTATAGAAAAATTCTAATTAATTAGTTTTTAATTAAAAATATATAATTTTTAATTAAAGTATATAAATTTATATATACAAATATTAACTTTTCGGGAGATTACTTCAATAAGTAACGAGACGTGATATTGCAACATAGCTGCATAATATATAATGTAATTTACATTACAATATATTTGCGTGTAAATGCTTTTTGCACGTTATCTATGTCATTTTAATCAATTAAAAATGGACTGTCGCAAGCACCTAGGCCGGTCGCTACACCACCTTCGTTATCGATAGCTAATTTTGTTCTTAACATATGACCATCCTGTTTATTGACAATAATATTTTTATCGTCTCCAATAATAACACCGAATATGCCTAATTCCGAGACTAACTCTTTCGTATCTATGTCCACATTAGTCCCAGGTTTCACAATGTAATTTTTATGCACCGGCGGATAAATTCGATCCATGAGAATCCAAGCTACTCGAATTTGCTCAGATTTCATAGATTCTAAAAAGTCTTTGATATCTGTCCCGTATAAATTGTTGCAGCCACCTTCTCTCTGTGGTTTTAACACAAAACGCTGAGGATCCGAGATTCCCATCTCTACAGCAACATTGCCATGTTCATTAAAATCCAGCGAATATAAACCTGAAATAAAAAGGTCATATATTAGTATAATTTGATTTTTATATAGTTAAAATAATAAATATATTTTCTATTATTATTATTTTATTATCAATATTAAAACAACTGTAATATGTTTCTGTAATTTAGAGCTTAAAAAAATAAAATTGTATATTTATAAATAAATATATAAAAGAGAGCAATTATATACCAGTAAATATTTCTTTAACTTTTGCCGCCGCTTTTTCATCCTTTAAGAAATGTGCGACTATACCAGGCTTTGCAAGAGCTTGTTGAACCTTCTTGGTACCAGCCAAATGATATTGAATGCTTGGACATTTGATTGCCAATGATCTCTCAATCAATAATCTCACATCCCATTCTTTTTTGGTGTGATATTGACTGGGCTCATAGCCACATCTGTAGTAGACTACAGCCACAATATAATCATCCACTACTAACTCCATATTGGAACCTAATTTTGCAGTGACCGCTAATTGCGTTAAATTTTTGCGAATCACTTTCACATTTGGATTCTGTTTTCGTATTTCAAACTCGTGAAAACGCTGATCGCAAATATTATACGTAATATCTTCAACAACAAATAAAATAACTGCTCTGCAAATAATTTCGCATCTTTAAACACATGAAAAAATTGAGAAATTTTTATTTAATTTTTTATTTATTTTTTATTTTAAAAAATAAAAATAAAATAAAAAATAAAGTTAAAAGGTATATGTAACAAAAATGGATAAAAAAGGAAAGAAAGATTGGGTAAATAATAATAAATTTTAAAAATCAATTTATAGAAATTTATAAACATACTGTGGATTACTATACAAGTTCCAAGCTTCTATCATGCCTGAGCATAATATTTGTAACGCATTATTTTCAGGAAGATTGCTCAATTCAGTGATATAGCCCAATTCTTGCAAAACAAACTTATGTAACTGTGTAGATACAGGTCCTAGCCAACCAAATCCCGAAGCAATTGTATTTATTTCAACCTGTTTCCAACAGCAATAAGGCTTGAATTTCTTAGTGTCTTTCTTTGGACAACTGGTATCTAACATTAGATCTGAGCGTAATATACCTAGGGATACTTTCTGAGCAGCCCCTTCTTTATAAATAGTTTCATAGATGTCAAATAAGTTTCTGGTAAACTCATCAACTTTTATAGTTTCCTCCAAAGTTTCTTTCAAAAAATTATAATCATGAGCTACTCTGTGTATGAGCATGTTTAAAATAATCTGAATGTCACAAGCATTTTGAAATTCTTCTCGTGGGAATGGTGATGGAAAAAGCACAAATGGTGCAAATTGCAAAACATCTCTATTAACATTTATTTTTGATCTCAAACACATTCCATTCATGAGGGCCCAATCCTTTGCTTTATCTATTAGATCTTCCAATTCTTCTTTTAAAATATCTAACGAGATAGGCGATTTCATTGTTGCCTGCTTGTCTCCATGCATTTTTCAAGCCAAACTTTACTTTGATTAATTTTCATTAGTTTCCAGATATAAACTGTATCCTCATTTTACATTTTATTTTTATATTTTCAATTAAATGTTAGAGTTTCAAAATTCTGATATTTTCATGAAAGATTTTTATAAATACAAACTTTGTTTTTATATCCAGATAAATTCAATATGTTTATTATTTAGTAATATGTATTATGTACAAATTGGGTGTTTTTCAGACAAGAATGTGAATACTCAGTAATAAAAATTATAACAATCACTTCATTGCACTTGATTTTCACTTATATTTCACTCTTTGTAAAATGTGATTAACTTTGCATATAATTTCTTTTAGAGACGATATTAAAAATAACTGTGACATCAGCAACATATGGTTCGTATGTAAAAACAAAAAATTAAATATCGCTCGATTAGCGACCGGCAATTTTTAGCTACAGACAGTAATTGATTTGTTTTGACTGATCGCCTTCTTTTTATATAAGCCAATGAATGAACATGAACAGCAGCAAATATAATGAATAGACCAATCAGAATTCTTGAAACTCGATATACTCGGTGACACATAAAAACGGATACATGTTACAAGAGATTGGCAAGATTCCATATAATCTTGCAATCATTAATACAGCATCAATTTTGTAAAAATGCACAATTAAAAACTTTTAATTTTAGGAATACTTACAATTTGTAGATGTAGATATTTTACTAGGAATATACAACTGTTGATCCAGTAGACCATAAGCCAAAGCTTCCAAATTATACTCTTCTGCTGTAGCTAAAGCTTTTACATTCCATGACTAAAAAAGAGAAATCTCCTTTATATGTATTTATTTTTTTCTCTTTCATATATTGTACATATATTATATTAAACATATAACATATATAATATAATACAAACATATAACATATATAATATAATACAAACATGTTTTATTATGCTTAGATTTGCAGTACAATTATTTTTTAATTTCTCATACTGAAAGAATACAAACTCACATCAGGTTTTGCAGCCTTGTCTTCGCTTATTACAACTTTATTTCTTCTAGTCGGTCTCTTTTTTATTTGTAATGCAGATATATTTCCTATATCAGTTTCATTTTCTTTCAATTTATTTTTTTGCAACTGCAGAATTATAGAACTGTGAAAAAGTCTCTTATGAATTATACACACATTGTATGTAGGAAACTCTGTCTGCATTACCACTGGCTTTTTTTGCAAAACTCTCAAACTTGGTACAATTCCCCAATATGCTTCAATATTAAATCTATTTCTACAATTTGATAATGCAAACCTATGAATCATTCTGAGACTCATTTTATCAGGTTTTATTGTCGAAAATGCACACTATTATAAACTGTATTATTTTTATATATATATAAACAATATGTGCGTTTTTGTACAAACACTTGTCACCGTAATTAAAAGATGTCATAAACGATAAACAGTTGCAAAAATTATTAACACGATGCTTGTACAACAATTGTCACCTCGCAACAAAAAACTTATTCATCACTAACATTGTTCGTCATATTAATATTGCATTAACTATCAGTCATTTAACTAATCAATCTCTTTTAATTTACTTGCCACTTTAAACTATATATTTTTTTCACATTTATATATCTGCATGCAACGTACATACTTTCTATGCGGCAAATTAAGGTTATGTTATTGTATTATATTCACTCGATTTTTAAAATCCATAAAGGATTGGTTGCACCAAGATGGGCATCATATAATTTTTACGATTAGTAAAATGCAATTAAAATTTGAATTCATTGGGTTACGAAGGCTTCGAATAGTTCGATTGACTAATCAGAATGAAGGAAGCAAAGATATCTTCATTCCGATTGGTCAAACGATTTTAAGAATTTGTAAGTCGAGTGCACATCGGAGTGCACTCGAGTGCACCGAAGGAGCATAGAAATGGAGCCAACCGGAAATGGCACTTCTCTTGTGTTCGACACGTGAAACGAGTTAACGTACTGGTTCAGCGCTGATCAGTTTTATTCGGTACAAATTGGTTATCTCGACCAGTATAAGAATTCAATCATGGTAAACAATTAATATTACACAGATTAATACTTAGAAAATGAAATCTGCTATAGTAATAATATATTTTACTTTTAAAAATCACATGAAATATTATTTTAGGTTAGGTTAGATACATCTTATCGAAGATGGAACGATTCTCAAATAATCGTTTATAACATTTCATATCACATGTGTCTTTTTTTCAGCAAAATAAATGGAAAATTGTTATTAATTAAAATAATGTGTATATTTTCTATTAAAGCATTGATGTATGTCATTCGTTTCTATTTTTTAGGCAACAACCAAAGTAGATAATCCTGAGAAACCAGGGCAGGAAGTTACTCCCATTCATCGGATTAGAATTACGCTTACATCGCGCAATGTTCGTTCCCTGGAAAAAGGTAAATTTAAGCTTAATAAATTCTTGTTAGTGGATATTAAAACTTTGAATACAAATGAAAAAATTAGTATATAATTTTGAATATAAGTTTAATGCAGTAAATAACTGAGTGTTCTTTTTTAGTATGTGCGGAATTAATCAATGGGGCCAAGAAACAGAAGTTGAAGGTCAAGGGGCCTGTTCGTATGCCTACAAAGATTTTGAGAATAACAACGCGCAAAACACCCTGTGGTGAAGGTTCGAAAACGTGGGATCGTTTCCAAATGCGAATTCATAAGAGAGTTATCGACTTGTATTCACCATCAGAGATCGTGAAACAAATCACAAGCATTTCAATCGAGCCTGGTGTAGAAGTGGAAGTCACAATTGCTAATGAATAAACAATAAAACTGTATACAAAGTTTTAATAAAAATATTAAAAAATTCTTAAACAAAAGATCTTAAACATATCTTTTACATATCACAATTAGAAGTAAAAAAGTTTAATGCTCTTAACTTAATGTTTATATATTATAGCTACAGTCCTTTCTCTTTTTGACTTGCAAAGAATTATTTTCTTAAGTATAAAATATATCTTAAGTATAAAATATATGCTATTTTAAAGAGATATTGAATAATTTATCAGAATTAAAAACAGCTATCTTCATATTATTTATTGTATATCAAGTCTGTAAAAAATTTTCATTTTTGCATAGATTACAGTGGATTAATTTTTACAATTTTTATTTTCATGAATATTGAAAAGAACTGCGCTAGTATGTTCAACCAAACAGTAGAACACTTTTTAGAATCTAGCTGTAATAAAAAAAACACGTGCGAAGATCTCAGTTTATCAAATGTGTATTATATTATCTGAATATATGTATATGTATATTCAATTTTCGTCCTCAGAAATGTCTTCTCCTTTATTATTATGCTCTGCTTTATTGTTAAATTCGATTTTACTATTCTGCTCAGTTCCTTCTCCGCCGCTGAAATCGCCCTCCATTCCCTCTACTTCCTCTTCATCATCGTCGCCAGCGACTTCTGCATTTTCAAGTTCCGCACGTTCCATCTGTCGCGCTAATTCCGCTTCATCTGTTGCGGTAACAACTTTTGGCTGGAAAAAACAAGAGAGTAGACTTTTAGTTGCAGCATGAAAATGTTAGAATTTTAGATAAATGTATTCATTTGAAAAACTTACTGCCATTTGGACATTGAATACACCACCAAGCGACGTTATTTTACTCTGAATAACTTCGATTGCGTCACCTAACGCCTTTAATCCATCTTGTTTTTCCGGTGTCGATGTCGTCATAACTGGAAGTTAGCATTCAATAAAATATATCATTAAATATACACATTCACACACACACACACATATATATATATTTTTTTTAGAGAAGATGATATAGAACATACCATACAAAGGAGGAGCGATTAAATTGATTTTTATGGGGAGTTCATCTGTTGAGAGAGCTAAGCCAGCCTTCAATGCAGTCTTTACAGCGTCAATACCTTCATAGCCATAACATGCTACTTCCACATCTGCTCTAATTTTGACTGCTTGAGAGGTGAGTTTCCGTTTGATATTATTTAACAATACTTCTTTCGTGTGTTCATCCAGGCCACATTCTGCTAAGATGGAAGGATCCCTAAAAATTGTTCATATTCAGAAATATATTCAGACCAATACAACAACTTTATTATAAGCATCTGATTTCTTCTTACAATACTGATTGCTTAAAAAAATCATAAGCAGACGCTTTCTGTTTCTTATATTTTTCTTCAAAATACCAGGCTGTCTTCTGATACAATTCTTCTAATTGATCATCATTATCATAATGTAACAATTCTGCTACATGTCTTAAAATTGAGTTAACAGCTTTAGCTTTAGCATATCTTTCTGTACACTTTTCCACATCTTCAGCAGACACACGACGCTTGCTCAGATCAATATAACCTTTTCAAAAAATTATATATATTGTAAACATTCAATCATTTAGATCAGAGAATTTGATAAGTTGCAGTTACCTTTTTCCTTATCTACTCGAATAACGACAACTGGTTCAGTTTTGCCTACTCGAATAAGTTTGTTAATGGACCTAATACGTCTCCTGGACAGTTCAGAAAGCAGGATCATGCCCTCAATATTGTTATACTCCAATAGATGCACATACGCACCCATCTCAGCTATACTGCGCACATTCACCATTACTACATCTTCCACTTCTGGATATTTTTCTTTATAAAATCGACACGACAGCACCATATTTGCTAAAAAAATTACATGAAACTTATCAACATGCAATATAGAAGTTTTGTTCGAAAACATAGAGAGAGTCAAACTAGTGTACCACCAAATCACTCATTAAAATTGAAGGGAAAGTCGGGGTTACTCAATGTAGTTTGGCTAGTTAAAGGCCTTTGCATGTTCAAAAATTTTAGTCGTAACTGTAAGGTACTCGTCGTGAGGTCGTAAGAAAACTGACAAATTATAGTCGAATATTCTTCCTGTGATGAAAGAATAATCAATTGTGATTGATCAGTTATCTTACGACTTTAAATACTATTCGGAAATATCTTACAGGGCACATTACTATCCTCACTACTTCTCCAATGAAATCACCAAACCACCGAGTGCATAGTTTCCGAATGAAGCAAAAAAAATCAGAAACTGTCAGAAATAATATCTGATATATTGATACATTAAGTATGAAATGACGTAAGAGAGATACTATCTAAAGAAAGTATACAACGTATAATAGTGCGTATAATATTATATAAGGAACGAGAAAGCTTCAAATTGAAATGTTTATTGAAAATTAAAAAATTAAAGGTTAATTTTGAAAGTAAGCATTCTGGAAAACTGATAGAAAGTGTCAATGCTGCTCCAACAGTTACCTAAATAAGTATACTTGGGCAACGATAAATCTTTCTTCTATTTTTATCTATTAATGCAGAGAACAAGTATGGTATACTCTTTTTGCTCCCTCCTTTATTAAATTTCCATCCTCTATGGGACACAATACCACGTTTCGCTACGAACACTCGTCGACATTTTGATCTTTGGCAACGAGTTTGATAGGGTTATAATTAATTTCTTATAGATGGCGGTGATGCTCACAAAATGATAGAGTCCCTAGAATATATTATATATTCTAGGGACTTTACAAAAGAGTGTCATCATAGATTTATTTAAATTTATGGTATTTATAATGCCTAATCACAAGTTGACATATCTTTTGAAGAGTAATGACTGTGGGAACGTCTGTCAACATTGCAAGAAATAGTAAATCCATCGTAGATCCGAACCCCATTAGTATCAGACTACGCATTGACTGACGCAAAGTCGAGATTAAAAATTGAAGATTGAAATTTTACTCAAAAGTCTCCTCTTGTCTTGATTGATCAAATTCCAATCTTCAATTCTTAATCTTCGTGTAATCTGAGGGACTTTAAACCTGATTCATACGTCAAATTGCGCAATACGTTGAACACTTTCCACATGTTGAAACACAAGTTGACCAATCAAAGCAGAGAGTCATTAGCTCCAATTGGTTAATCGAACGTTTCGAAATGTTTCAAGCGTTAGGTAAAGTATATATCCATAATAATATCATTTAGTTTAGATTAATTGATTCCCTCGCATGTACATTTCATAATAAATCCGTCTGGATAAACCTTAACATTCGTTTACACTGAGGTATGTATACACCCATCTGTCCTTCAATGACAATCATTTTCGTGCGTGACACTCGCAGCGGTTAACTAGGCGCGCGCGGGACATGTCTCGGTCAGGTTAGATAGTGACGTTACAATGATCAACATCGGCAACGTAGTGCAACGATAGCAACTCTGACGATGACAGTGACACGTGTTGTCACGGGCAAGGCGTAGTCAGGACAATAATCCCGACTGCGGGTGAAAGCGACGACGGTTATCGTACACTCATCGTAGTTTCATTCAAGCGGAAGACGACTCGATTGCGTGGGAAAGATGCCGTTAGTCGTGAGAAATTGTCCGCATCTGGCGAACCGCGGCGATCTCGCCTTCATCGAGGCGCTGATGACGCGGGAGGAACGTTTCGCCAAGTGCAGCGATTGCGACATTTCGGGACCCAATCTCTGGCTCTGCCTGTTCCCCGACTGCCGCTGGGTCGGCTGCGCCGAGACGCATCTCGACCACAGCACCATTCATAATCAAACCTATCCGACCCACTGCGCCCACATGAATCTGTCTACCAAGAGAATCTGGTGTTATGCCTGCAAGAGCGAGGCTATCGCCAAACATGTACCCTCACCCCCGTTGTCGCCCACGCAAGTGGAGTTTAAAACTATGGGCAACAAGTTTGCCGGGGATGCTCCTGGTGGTAGCGAATCCAAACTGGATGGCTTGGACAGATTGATGTTCGATAAGTGAGTAAAAATGAAAATAATATATTATTATTCATTATGTATGAGATATAAATTTTGTAAGAATCTTGTCTTAAAACACAAACTGTATTAAATTATTCAATTAGTTTTCTGAATTAATACTTTAACAGTTTGACAATTGATAGATAAGGAATAGATTATGGAAATAATTTTGTTCATATAAAATAATAAGATTCATCTGGAATTTAGTTGCAATATTTTCAAGCAAATGTAATTAAAAAGTAAAATTTAGATTTAGAGTTCCGAAATTTTGTATGTCCTTTTTCTTTCACAGATTTTATGGAGATTGGGTCGCAAACAGAATTAATTCGGAAAAAGGAAATTCATTTAATGAGCGATCTGATTCTCCTGATAGTACAGATTCGGATGAGAGTAAGGATTTCTCTGGGAAGCCAAGAGGTTTGGTAGGCTTGCAGAATATTGGCAACACGTGTTACATGAATGCAGCATTACAAGCTCTATCCAATGTGTCTCCCTTGACACAATTCTTTTTGGACTGTGGTCATATGGTTAATTACATGTCGAAAGACAGGAAACCTGGGCTGAGTCTAAGTTACTTGACTCTCGTTCGGGATATGTGGAGTAAAAAAAACAAGGGATGTGTTGTACCGCATGGTGTTCTATCAGGTATCAGGACAGTCCATCCCATGTTTAGAGGGTATCATCAACACGATACTCAAGAATTTCTCAGATGTTTTATGGATCAACTACACGAGGAACTGAAAGAACATATCGAGGATGATAGAGATGTTCAGCTGCGACTCAAAGGACTAGGCGATCACTCGTCAGAGGACGAGGATGAGGCCGAGATAGATGGTAACGCGTCCAGTCAGTCCGACGCCGAGTACGAAACGTGTGACTCGGGCGTAAGCGAACAGAGCTCGCTGAGCGATGAAGGTGAACGTGGTACGAAGAGACGGTATTCTCGAGTGTCGCAGACGGAAAAGCTACGTAACAAATTCACCAATAGAAACCTGAAAAAGTCGAATATGGAGCCGGCGTTTGCTCCGCCGCAACGTTCCCCGCAAAATTCGCCGGCTAAGCATCGCACCAAGAAGCAAATGAAAACACGCAGCATCATCAGCGACACGTTCGATGGTAAGCTCCTTAGTAGCGTGCAGTGCCTGACATGTGATAGGATTTCCACTCGGATAGAGACTTTCCAAGACTTGTCCTTACCCATCCCGAGTAGAGATCACATCGACATGTTGCATCAAGGATCGCTAACGCCGCAGAAGGCCGGACCATGTTCTGACGTAGTCTACGTGACCAATCAGTCGGGATGGCTATCATGGTTTTTGCAATGGATGCGTTCGTGGTTCTGGGGACCAGTGGTCAGTCTGCATGACTGCCTCTCCGCATTTTTTAGCGCCGACGAGCTCAAAGGCGACAATATGTACAGCTGTGAGAAGTGCAATAAGTTACGCAATGGTATCAAATTCTCCAAAGTCCTGGAACTGCCCGAGATATTATGCGTTCATTTGAAGAGATTCCGTCATGAATTAATGTTCAGTTCAAAGATCGCCAATTACGTATCATTTCCCCTCGAAGGTCTCGATATGCGACCATATCTGCACAAGGAGTGCGTGTCCAAAGTTACAACTTATAATTTAATATCAGTCATTTGCCATCATGGTACGGCCGGTGGCGGCCACTACACCTGTTTCGGATTGAATCCAGTCACCAACAAATGGTACGAGTTCGACGATCAGTACGTGACGGAAGTGTCGCCGGACACGGTGAAGCAATGCGAGGCGTATGTACTCTTCTACAAAAAATGGTCACCGGAAATGTTGCAATTGCGTGATAAGACTATGGAACTCATGGAAATATCGTCTCGCGAGCTATCTGATCTAAACTTCTTCGTGTCTCGACAATGGATTAACCGCTTCAATACATTCTCGGAACCCGGGCCGATCGATAATTCCGACTTTCTGTGTCCTCATGGGGGAGTGATTCCCGTTAGAGCGCATTTCGTTGACAAGATCAGTATGCCTATACCACAGGCAGTTTGGGAATATTTATACAATGCGTAAGTCTTGATGCATACAATTGTGATTCTGACATTTACAAAATTATTTTTCTATATATATAAAAAATATATATATATATATTTTTTTTTTTCATCCACATTTCAGATTTGGAGGAGGTCCAGCCTGCACGCATCTGTATGAGTGCCCAATCTGCGAAGAGAAGTATGAATCCTTGCAGAAACGTAGGCAATACGAGATGGAACTATTCCAACGATTGAATCACACTACCGACAATCACACGGCTATCTATGCATTAGCTATGGCTTGGTTGAGACAATGGCAGAGCTTCGTTCGAGGGAAAGAGACACAGCCGCCAGGACCAATTGATAATAATTCCATCGTTGTAAATAAAAATGGACAAAATAGTCTTAAAGTTGGTGAGTTTCTTTTCATATTGTATTATATAAGAGAGATTATTGATTATTAAATTATATTTATCAGATGGTAGAAAGAAATATATAAAAGTGTTTGTTATATTTTTATATTCTCATATTTTTTTATGTTCTTGCTTGCAGGCTCGGATTACGGTCAAATTCCTGAAGAGTTGTGGCAATTTTTCTTGACTACATATGGCGGTGGACCAGAATTGATGCTGCACTCGTGTCAACGACCGGTGCCCACTCAGCCTAATGTTTCTATACATTCCGTGTCGAATCCAAATTTAATAGATTCGAATCTGAAGTGTAATCGCATAGAGGCTAAGTCTAATAAACTTACTACGACCAGGAGTTCGGAAACGATTTCGCAACAGGACAGCGCAATTGAAAGCCTACTTTCGAGCAGCGACTCCCATCAAACACAGAGGGACGTAAGCGAATAAATCACAAATGAATTGCGATTTTGCGATATCCCGTTCATTAGGACAAACATTTCCATTGATTCTTTAAGTTAGCCTGTAAGTAATCAAATTATTCTAATTTCGCAAAACTCCACGTTTTATGCTCGGAATAGCTTGATACTTCCTTAAATTTTTATAGGTGAGATATTGTGCACTGGAATGTATAGTATCTGTGTCTGTGTTTTTAGTATTGTGGAAATAAAATGATCACTGTCATTTTGCGATTTGAAGATGGAGAAAGACAATCAGATATCTTTGTATCGATTGTAGCGATTTATGTACAAAATTTGTAAAATTAAATTCCTTCATAATGTGCAATAAATTCTAAAGTTATTTTCATCATAAAGAAAAACTACATGATTACATGATTTAATAAAGTAATCTTCTCATGAACATATAGCGATATATTAATTTTATTTGCAACAACTGCAGATAAAATGTTCATTTTTGTTTTAATTTATTGGAAAGATTAGAATTTTATTGTGCGACACATTCTTTATTAACAAGTTAACGCAGTTTAAAAATAAAATGACATTGGTTGTTTTAAGTCCATTACTTTGATACGATTGTGCACCATATTACTTATTCAACAACGTGGAATTTCATCGTACAATGATGTTTCATTGATGGGAATATTGCATATGATGGGAAATGTAGTCATAGTACAAAAACAGATTTGCTATAGACCGTACATTATTTAAATACAAATCTTAGCTCGTATTTTTCGCCCAAAGTCTAGGCCGTAACACCACGCGACTTCGGTATAGTTGAGGCTCACATTTTTGATGTTTATACATTCGCCGTGACGTTGAGGTATGCGTGTGTGTGTTATTTCTGCACAGAAAGATGAGTTTTCTCTCTTTCCCTCTCTCTCTCTCTTTCTTTGTTCCTCAAAGTCATGTATATAACATCCTTATTTCTTCGTTGATATCATAGCCTTTCATACCGAAAGAAAAAAGAAAAAAATTTTCGAAGACTGACAAACCGATTTTATTTACAAAGAAGACATTAACTGCACGATCAATATGAGCGAGTTCTTAGTTACAAAATCGGATAAAAAGTTTGGCAAAAAAAGTTCGATTATCTATATTTTTTGTTCTTGAACAGATAGAAGAAATTATTGTGTTCTTGTTGTTATTTATATATAAGTAGATTCATTGTTGTAAACACACGTATGTTTTTTCCTATTACTTAAAGAGCTAATGCAAGAAAAGCTCTTGTGTCAGTGCAATTCACCGATTGCCTTTGCAATCTCCTGCAAGCATGAAAAACAGTTAAATTATAGTTCTATACTATAAAAGCTGCTTTGAGCTGCAATTAAATATATATACGCAAAAAACACGCTTCTTTCAAGCATATACAGAGAAATTTTACTTTATCTTTACAAATAGTAAATGGCAAATTTTTTACATAATATTTAGGTGTTTATCGAACGCGACTATCGTCTATATGTAAAAAAAGAGAAGATTGTAAGATAAAATAAGCGGTATTTAGAGAAAATTGAAGATTACAATGTTATTAAGATATTGAGTTAAATATGATCTTCAATTTTTTGTACATATATCACGGTAATCATTCAAATAAAATACCTTTAATTTTGATATTATTTGATTGTTTAGTCACATCTGGATTATAAAACATATTTCAGTAAATGATAAATACTCGAGCATTGCGGCAAAATTTTACAGTTAAATTTCTCTGTTATATATACTGAAGAAGTGTGCTTTTTATTGTTTATTAATTGCATTATTAATTGTTTTATGCTCGCAAGAGACATGAGAAAGAATTATTATATTAGACTTATTACATTACGTATGTGTCACGAATTTTCCTTGGAGTTACGTCTGCGTAGATACTTGTTAATCTTTGGATATCTTATGTAGCAAATATTAATTTTAATATAGTATCTTGATTGCATAAAGTAAAAAAAAATGCAATGCAATTTGAATTTCGTTTACCGAGACGCAAACAATTGTAAAAAATTGTTCAGGCTAATTCTATATAATCCATTGTCCAAAATTTAACGTCCATAACATGAATAATAAATATATAAGTTGAGTTCTTTATTTATTGAATTCTGAAGAAACTATGTCATTGTCGAGCGAAATGTGTGTGTTTGTTCGTAACTCTAAATTAAAAACTCCCAATTCCTTTTCTATATAACTGTAAAAAATTTAGCACTTTGTATCATAAACCAATTCATTGATCATAACACTGACTTACTATAAAATGACAAATTTCATAGAATTATACGAAATGTCGGCGAAATATTTGTGAGCTGAATTGGGGGGAGCGATACAAAAATTTTCAATTTTAAGCCATAATATTGCAAAGGATTCCATCTCCGAAATAATATACAATAATTGCAAGCTCATTCCAAATAAATTTAATTAAGAGCACCAAGAGTTTCTAGATTTTAATTGATTTCTATTTGATACACCAGATTGTGTGTGACTAATAATGATACGAATAAAATGATCAAAATGTTTCTTTCACAGCAGTTGTATCTCTAAATGATATCAGTCACAATTCCCGACATCGATTTTATATCCGAGAGCCCTGTAACATTTCTCGATTTAAAAAAAAATTAATATCTAGTCGAGTTATATATATTATTTTTTTCTCTTAATAATTTTTTTTCAGTGTCATTTCGCAAATCACGATGATCCTATTTGTCCTATATTTAATTGCGGCTTGATACGGGGATCTTATTTAACTGCCATGTTCGGGAGAAACGGATGCGCGAATACGACACTAGGAGAGGCACCCGTGAGATGACGATACTTCTCTCGTGGACCATCGATCGAATCCTGCGCATTCGGGGGTGGCTGGCCATATTATTCCCCCGCGATCTCCCTTAAACGGCGCCGTGTCACCGCTGCTGGTCGATGCCGCGGATCGTGGGCTTCGCTGCCGCGATTTTGGCCTCGCAAGTCGCGACGTAGATCATAGACGAACAACATCGTCGTCATCATGCGGCTTTGTAATCCGGAGTAGTTAGGCAGCGCGCTCTCGTTCCGATCTTCGTTCCTTTTCTTCCCTCCTCCTTTATGAAGCCTCGCTTTCATCCGAGGTCATTTTAGTTTAATCATTTTTACGCGTCCTTAACTGCGCGAGGATCAGTCACAAGAGGTCAAGAATTAAACAAGATCTCTCAGGAGGAACGTCCAACACGGGCATCAGATTCACTACTCTCTTGGTAAGCACGATTTTTTTCATTGATAACACATTAGTACGTTACCTGGCTTAAGCTCTAAGGACTCTAAGATATTTCATACACCGTTGTTCCTACAGCGATGGAGAAACCTGCAAGCACGAACATCAGCACACACATCGTTTCATTCATTGATAATCTACACATCTTGTTCAAAAATATCCAAGATAGTTTAAATCTAAATAATTAATGTCTTATACTTCATCATGTCTTACCCCAGGATATATACTTATCCTTCATTCCCTCGATCACTGTACAGTATCTAGACGTGTTTTTGTGTGAAAAAAAGAACTATATTCGTGTAAGGGATCATAAGTAAACGTGCTCGCCGTAGAAGCAACAGATAGAGAAATGGCGAATTTCCGTGGATTTTATATACCCTCCTTCGGAGCAACGGTCAACGTCGCCTGGGAGACCTTGAAGGCTAAATGGCCAGAGAACAGTCCGTGTATGGAACTGATTCGCGGCGGCGGCGGCATGGGCCAAGGACATCCTCAAGGTCATGCCGGTCAGGGTCAGTTCAAGTCCTTCGACGAGGGCCGGGACAACACCGAAATGATGACCATGAATGGGGACCAGGCGTACCGGGATCAAAACAACGTGGCAATCGCCGAGGATTCCTTCAGCTATCAAAGAAACGGGTAAAGCACATTTCTTCCGAGCTGGATTCGAGATCTCTATTCGGATCTAACATATTGCTTCGTTTTCAGGGATAAAGTTAGAACCGGAAGCATGAGCAGCGGCGATTTTAGCGAGTACGACGAGGGCGGCGGAGAGTTCGGTGCCTCAGGTGTCAAAATCAACGAGTGGCAAGCCGCTTGGAACGTTACAAATGCTATTCAGGTATTAAAGAAATAAAAAAAAATAATATCTCCGATGATTCCATACTTCACAACCTTCCAAAAGAAACTAAAAAAAAAAAAAGAATCATTATTGTAAGAAAACATTACTATTACAATTTTATAGCAATTAATAATTATATAACAATGAGATTATTATATTTTAAACGGAATTATTATGTTTATTAATTATTAAACGCATAATTACAACTATGTAATTATGCATTTTTCTATAAACTTCATTTAAACACACCAGTTCATTTGCGAATTTTTTCCCAGGGAATGTTCATCGTCTCTCTGCCATTCGCTGTTCTACGCGGCGGTTACTGGGCGATCGCTGCGATGGTCGGCATCGCACACATCTGCTGCTACACCGGCAAGATCCTAGTCGAGTGCCTGTACGAACTGGACTCGGTGACAGGTCAACGTGTGCGCGTACGAGATTCGTATGTGGCCATCGCTAAAGAATGCTTCGGGCCAACGTGGGGCGCACGTGCCGTCAACATCGCGCAGATCATCGAGCTGCTGATGACCTGCATCCTATACGTGGTTGTCTGCGGCGACCTGATGATCGGCTCATTTCCCGAAGGCGCGATCGACACTCGCAGCTGGATGATGCTGATCGGTATATTTCTGTTGCCGCTTGGTTTCCTCAAGTCGTTGCAGCACGTCTCTATGCTGAGCTTCTGGTGCACGATGTCTCACCTCTTCATCAATGCGATCATCATCGGTTACTGCATCCTGGAGATCGGTGACTGGGGCTGGTCGAAGGTGAAGTGGACGATCGACATGGAGAATTTTCCAATCTCACTCGGCGTGATAGTCTTCAGTTACACGTCTCAAATCTTCTTACCGACTCTTGAGGGCAATCTCATCGATCGCTCCAAGTTCGACTGGATGCTGAACTGGAGTCACATCGCCGCGGCCGCGTTCAAGTCGCTCTTCGGTTGGATCTGCTTTCTGACTTTCCAGAATGACACGCAACAGGTGATCACCAACAACCTACATTCGGCCGGTTTCAAAGGTTTGGTGAATCTATGCCTGGTCGTCAAAGCGGTGCTCTCGTATCCGTTACCGTATTACGCGGCTTGCGAACTCCTAGAACGCGCTTTCTTCCGCGGTCGACCGAAAACGATCTTTCCGACTATCTGGACGGTGGATCGCGAGCTCAAGGTCTGGGGTTTGGCTTGGCGAGTCGGCGTGATCGTGTTCACCATTCTAATGGCGATCTTCATACCACACTTCAGCATATTAATGGGTTTTATCGGTTCCTTCACCGGTACCATGCTCTCATTTATTTGGCCTTGTTATTTTCATCTAAAGCTGAAGAGAAATTCGATGGAATGGAGTGCCGTCGCGTACGATTGCTTTGTCATCTTCCTCGGTATTCTCTTTGGCGTAATTGGCGTCTACGACTCTGGCTCTGCGCTGATTAACGCCTTTGAGATTGGTTTACCCTTCTGAGCGATCTCCCGCCAGTTAAGTCATTTTGTGTTGTTGTTCATGTCTTGTACCGAGATGATATTACGCTCTCGAGCTGTCGAAATATTCGATTCTAATATATTGCTCGATATACATGCAATAATTGCTGATGCATACGGGAGACTATATAAAGGGATATTCTGAAATGATAATTCATAGAAAGTTGCTGTAGGAAAATATTTTCTAATAAAAATTAAAAATTCCTCTCTTTAAATAATATTCTAAAGAAATTCTAAAGAATTTGTTTTTCAAAATGTAATAATATATAAAAAAAATTATGGTAAAATTTTCCTTTAAAATTTCAGCCATAAATAAGATTCTTTTAAAAGAGATGTGTGTTCTCCAACTTTAAAATGCATAAGTGAATTTGAGAATCAAATATTTCACGGATTCGAAAGCGAGAAATTTGCATCTGTATTTCTTACCAATATTTTGACATTTTTACCTTTTTTTTTTTGGTGTTGTAAGTTTCTCTTAGCATAAGGAGGATGTTCTGAATCTTTCTTTAAAATAATTTTAAATCGATTCAATCGATTAAAATGTAAGAGAATACCACCTTCCATTTGTGTAATGATTCGCGCTTATATTCATAATGACATGCGTCTTCTGCGCGACAAATTTACATTTAAATAATGACAACATATCTAAAATTGTTTTCTCTATTGTAATAGCGAACTGTTGTGATCTATTTTTAGAAAAATCGAAATTAGACAAAAACTATTTTCTATTAGTATGTAATTACAGTATTCTTTTTCAGAAGGAGAAAATTATCGGCTCGCTAAGTGATGTAATTTGAAGTTCTATTGTATATTTCACAATTCCACCAGGATTGTAACACATCTGTAAGGCGAGTGAAGGATTTATCCGTCTTCCAATCTCCGATTTGTTTTACATTCGGGAGCCTATAGATAAAAGAAAGGAGATCTAGGGTCTCATTAAACGTGACAATATCTCATGATGTCTTCCATGATGCAGCAGCAAACAGAGCGCAGCCTAACTACTTACTAGTTGACTACTGTTACAGTTTTCTGGATTTTATAATTGTATGTATCGCTCTCTACGGAGTTGTGTAACCATGTATAATTTTTACGCGTCGCGTCGAATCACGACGATGGGACACGACGCTGCCGCGATCGATCAATCTTGATCGCAATTTCGCGCATAGTAATTATAGCGATTACGATAGATGATGAATCTGCCAAATAATTTTTAGGGTAGAACCCGTGTCCCTTCGTCGCGCAAACGATGCGCAAACAATTATGTACAATCGAGTACAATTAGTTGTATAATCCAAGGTCTTCCAAGAAATCGTTATAGATCACAAATTAGTTTAAGGAATGAGTGTAGAACAATATAGTTGTTCCGTGAAGCTGCAGAATGCTGAGGAAGAACAGATGAATCTATGTTAAAATCCATCCTTTCACAAGAATAATATAATTAAAATTTCATACTATATATTTCGATTATCGTTGAAGATATTTATGAATCTTTTTAATTTCTCTCAAAATTTTTTAATCAAAATTTGTAAATCTATGAATCTTTTTATAAATTAATTTCTCTCAAAATTTTTTAGCGTGGATCTTTGAATTTTTCAAATTTGTAGATTCACAGATTGTTGACTTCGCTTAAATCAAGTATTCTTTTCTTTGAATTTTTCATTTCGTAACTTTTTTTCCTCCAGAGCATGCATCTGCGAACGTTCTGCAGACACGGAAAATTTGCATATTAAGTAAAACACGTTAATAATTGTGAAACGAGTCTTCCAGTAATGTCTTCCAGAACGACAATATTAATACAAATAATACAATATATAATATTATACAATAATGATAACAATGTATTACTATTTATTGAGAAGGATCTTTGTCGAATGATATCAAGCGTTATGTTGAGAGTTGTAGATGTTAAGCGTTAACTCATAAGGCTATGGTCATGCATAATTGATGTTTCATATCAATGAATATATCAATGACACATAATGTAAGTAAAGTCACGCTGTTCACGAAATCAGATTTAGATCGTTAACGAGGGATCATCTTACTTCTTTATATCGACAATAATTATCAAAAGCGATTGGATGAGAATCGTATTGGAATCTTCTCTTCGTGGTCGCGAGCTAACGATAGTACTTATGATCTAGTACTTATGCTATTTGTCTTATGAAACTTTCAATTTTTTGCTTTAACATATCTCATTATCGGCTTGAAAGAAAAAAAATAGAACGAATGCCACAATGTAAAAATCTGTTGTAGAGATTTAGAGAAATAGTTGATCTATTTCTAGATTATGGAGGCGAACCACAAAGAGATATTCCGCGAGTTGTTTTAATGCGGACAAATATAGGCTTTTAAAGCGCTTCTGCAGAAATATTCGTATTTCGTGGCGTTTCGAGAAAGGCAAAACCTCATCGGTGTTGTGTAGGCAGAATATACCTATAAACGTGTTATAAAACGATGTAAAGCGGTCTCCATATTATGAGAAATATGAAAATACATTATCCGATGTGAATACGAGGAGTGATAATATATTGACAAAATTTTACGAACGTATATTCTCTTCACTTGCACTTCTCCCGGTAATATTATTTTATCTTTCATTGGAAATCATAATTACAAAAATTAAAATATCAGTAATAAATTAAATTTCTGACATGACTTTATTTCAAGTTTTGTTCACTTATTCGATCTAAAGGAAAAGGATATTTCATTGGATAGATATCTAATTGGTAAACAATTAAATTTATTAACAATGTTTTTATTATAATTTTTTCACGTTAGAATAATCTTAAAAATGCAAAAACTATGGCTGAGGAAATAACAAAATTATGGAGGCTTAAAATTTTATCGAATATATGGCAACACCATCCTTCTTAATAATTAGAAAGCAAAAAAATAATATCTGATAACAGAGAAATGTTCTTGAGAGAAGCTTTCTCTTTCAGGAGAACTCTTAGCTATGTCTTATCGTCATTTTCGACGAGCCTCAGTTACTAGTAAATCTAACATTTCTAATACGCGATTATATATATAAAGTATAAAAAATTAGTAATCAAATATATGTGCGCATTTTATTTTATGTTTGATTTTATTTTTTTGAAGAAATTTAACTTTATCAATTCAACGATGATTTCAGTCGCATATGAGCCTCCAAAAATCATGTAAAAATCAACGAATTATAAAAGCAATGAGAGAAACAAAAACATAAATAATATCAGATAATGAGAGAAGTATATATATATATATATATATATATATATATATATATATATATATATGTATATAATAAATATATCTATAAATTATAAATTCAAATAACATCAACCGATAAAAGTTACTTTTGTTTAATTATAATATAATTATTGGCTATGTCTAGTTAGAATGTCTGTTAATTTCACAGCTTTCGTTAATCTAAAACATCCCGTTTTTTTTATTGCTCTTATGCCAATTATAAAAATATTTTTTGATTGTCACATGAACAAGGAAAGAATAAATTTTCTTTCGTGTCACAATATCAAAATTCGGAGATGTCGCAGTGACTATAGTAACTATTATTCTGTTATACTTCTATCATTATAAAAGTGCTATGTTTTTATTAAGAGGAAATTTGATAAATTAGTTAGTACATCAAAAATTGGTAAATTTAATATATTTCGAGGTTCATGAATTTGACATTGTACAAAGCATCTTTAGCTTTTTAAAATATAAAATTATTAATTGACTTGTATGAATTAAAAAGTAAAGATTTGACTTGTATAATATAATTTGATTATACACAAATTCATGAAAATTTATGAAAATAAAAATTTTAATTTTACAGAAAAAAATCAAATTTTTATTTTAACTCAAATTAATTATTTTTAATTTTATATTTTAAAAGGCTAAAAATATTTCACATACTGTCCAATTCATGAATCTTGAAGAGTATTTGAATTATTAAGTTTTGGTGTACCTAATTCGTCCAATTGCTCCTTAACATAAAATTATTCATATATATTATATAATATATATACATGTGTATGTGTATGTGTGTGTGTATATATATATATACACATACACACTACATACATACATACATATATATATTGTCATACTATTAAATTCTAGCAGCAATCTCGAGAAAAATCAAAAATAAAATTAAACAGATAATATAACAAAGTATAAAATTCTGAAATAAAAATATTACGATATCACTCAGCAGAGTTACAATCATCCATTCTCGAATGCTTATTCCAAAAATAAGAAAATTTGTTGCAAACTAATATATTTGAACAATTCGATAACTCGTGCGTATTTTAATTTTTGAGAAATATATATACGCGCATTTCTCAACAAATATTTGTAAAAGCTTTCTCTCGTCTTATGTTATCGGTAACTTATATCTGTAACATTTTATACATTTTATTTTTTATATCTCATTTTTATATTCTTCAATTTCAATCACTTTGCTTAAAGCTGCCTTTACTTCTTTTTCTCGTAGATTTTCCTCTCGAGATTCTACTTTATCAATTATAATGTTATTTGCAGCATTCTCATTATTTTCATTTTTACATTCTCGAGTTTCATCAACAGATTTTATTACATCCTGTTTATTGCTAGTATTAATTTCATCATCTATAACAGTAACTTTATCTTCTACAATCGCAATTTCTTTTTCTTTTAAGCTTTTATCATTGCTATCCATCTTATTATTTTGTTCTGTTACAGAGGATACATCAGTTGAAGATGAAATTGTAAGATTGTTTGTCTCCAGCTTCTCTTCTACAGAACTTGCTGTACTGAGCTCAAAATTATTTTCTTGCTCATGTATATCTTCAGTTTGCTTATTATCACAGTTATCACTTAAGATTTCTTCAATTTGCTCTATTGGTAAGTTATGCTCTTTATTTTTCAGTATAATTTCATTGATATCATCATTAACATTACATGATAGATTTTCCTCAGATTTAATCTTATCTCTATCATTATCATTTATATCTTTCACTAATGATACAGTTAAATCTGTTTTGGTAATTTCATACTCGGATAGTGTAGCTGTTTGAACAATTTGAGACTCGTCTAATTTGTTTTCTATCTCTTTGTTTATTTTACATACTTCAACTTCGTCTTTAGACACAGGAAGGTCTGAATCTTGTAAAATAAATTCATCTTCTTTGTTTATAAAAGTTTTGCTTTTTTCATCTATGTATGAATTTAAATTATCATTCTGATTATCCTTATTTTCTACTTCTATATTCACATCTAATGCATCAGAAGAAATTACATTGTTTTCTTTCTCATTCACAACTTTATCATTATGTAGTGGTATTACAATATTCTCCTCAGATTTTTGGAGTTTAAATTGATCGGATTTCTGTGATTCTGTATGTTCTTTTTGTAGTAATTCTATTTCATGATGTTTCTGTGGATTCTCAATAGTGTCTTCTCTCTTAATCTCTTTCTTACGAAAGAAAGGAGATTTATTGCTAAAATCCTTCTTTTTCGGAGGCTGCGATTTTCGTGAATTAGAGAATTTTTGCATATCATGATAAATACCTTTAGTCTTATCTTCATAGGATTTTGGATGTGAAAAGGATTCGGTATCAGGAGAAACCATTTCAACGTCCGAGTGACTGCTGTATGTTACGCGACTTCTTTGTCGTGGTCCTACTCGACCTGTTCCAGCAATACTTGGTGAGTTTACTAAAAAATAGTAATATATATATATATATATATATATATATATTATATATATATATATATATATATATATATATTATTATATAATATATATATATATATTATATATATATATATATATATATATATATATATATATCGAAAGATCTTTAAATATATTTTTAACTATATATTTTTACTTATATATTTAAAAGGAAAAATCACTGGGAATATATATAATACCTTTAACACTCATGACTGGACCTTTTCCTTGATTCAATGTGACTTTTATGCTTTTGTCAGTAGCAACAACAGTCCTTTCTTCGGAATTTGATGATAAAGGATTTTTAACGTGCCCTTCCTGATGAGCGTTATTGGAACGATTTTCATAATTATTATGAAAATGCCTCGAATTTCCTCGGTAGGAACGATAACCACTACGATTATAGCTTACATAATCGTTTCCTGCAAAGAATTGTATGTTTGTAATAATGAGAACATAGTTTATTAATATTCCTTGTATATATATATATATATATATATATATATATATATATATATATATATATATAGGTGTGTGTACATTTCTACTTATATAAGCAACTATCGATTCTCACCATTAACATGTCTTCTATCAAAATCTTTATGATCCTTCTTTACATAATCTCCTAATTTAGCTTCAGTTCTCATCATCTCATTCACAATATGTGCCTGCAATAAGTATAATCTATCGTTTCTATACAATTTCTACATAGTTAAATTAATTTTTTACATAATGTAAGCTTTCACCTTGTCATTATCCCATTCTCTACGCCAATTACCCTCAGCTGTCCTTTGTCTGCTAATGCGATCCTCATCGATACGATTTCTCTCTGCTCTCCAAGCTTCATATTCTGGCTGATGCTCATCTCTGCGATGACTTCTGTTTACTCTATAATCCTATTTGAGAAATGAATGAAATTAAAAAGAATTCTTTTTCTAGTTATAATTTATCTACATCTTTTTTTTACATACTTTTTGCATTCCATCTTTTCCTCCAGATTTCTTCCTAAATGTGCCTTTTGAATGTTTCTGTCCTTTACTTGATGGATTATCTGTTATATTTTCCATATTACCTTCTTCTCTCTCAGCATCAGCAAGGAAATTATATTTAGGATCAGGTGGAGGCCCTTGTCCCTACAAGAAAACATTAGCAAATTTAACAGTATTATTAACAATTTAAAAGTATAAAAAGGTTTATTCTCATTCTTAAACTTTAAAAATTATAAAAAATTAATAAATAAAATTATTTATTAAATTTGTTACTATACAGTCTAAAAATTAATATAATATTTCTCTGTTTCATGCACGCACCTGAGCAAAAGTATGAACTTTCCTTCCCTCACCACTCACAGAATGATGTTGAATATGTTCGTGATGTTCTTTAGCAGGTTTTGATTTATTATTTGTTCTAGGTGGATTAGAAAATTCTGGCGGTTCCTTCCTCTCAGGCCAATCCGTAGATGGCACCATTTGCACCAATGCGTTCAATTTGGCTGCATTTTTTTTATCTTCTTCCACTTCCTGTACAACAAAATCTATTATTATCCACATAGAACAATTAAGTAATTAGTCACTCGATTACCTCATGCCTCCTTCTAATCTCTTCATTCTGTTGTCTTATCTTGTTGATTTTCTCTTCAAGCGCGCTGGCTGCCATCTGCAATGCAGAGATCGTCGAATCAGCCGATTATAAATATATGAATAATAAATTATAAACGTCGAATTATTCCTATCTCTCATTAAAAATTCTTATCGGAAATATATCGCGAAAAAAACATGTATATTTAAGTGCAATAATATTTCAAATCATCTAATAAACGATGATTAAATCAAACATTCTGCTCTGTACGATAAGCACTCGTGTCACGTCCCTGCAAGCCGCGAAAGGAATGTCACTTCCGAATTCTTCGTTCTCTAAATAGCCATGTCGCGGTTGAGTACGCACAAGATTTACTCGATTCATCCGCGCTACTTCATCTAATGTTCTATCTCGTCTAAAAAAAAACCGTAGAATCTAACCAGATTTCTCCCGAGACGATCGAGTGTGCAAATGCAAAAAATTAAGCGGGTCATTATTTTTGCCGCGAATAAATTGGCGATGCGCATAAATTCGTCGCATATTGATTCGCAGATAAAATAACATATGTACTGATAAGAAATGCATGCAGATTTACAATGTCGTACACTGAAATTTTTCAATTCGATTAACTTGGCGCGTATATATTACTTCGTTTACTCTTTCGACGAAATCTCGTTTTAGCGATATCGTACGCATTTTGTGCGCGCGCGCGCGCGCGATACCGTTAGCGTAAATTTTTACTGCTCTAAATTTTAGAATCAATTGATGTACGTATTGATGCACGGCTAATATGACGTAAGAGACATCGTAATGATCGTGATGATGATAGATGAGTATTTGGGGAGATTTAATTCGCGACTCTTGCAATTATGCTTTGAGTTAGGTTATGGTATATGGTTATGAATAATAGGATTAATAACACGATTGATAATAACATACGGTAATCGAATGCTGTAGAAATGTGCTGGACCGAGTGGTGAGGCTGGCTGGAAGGATTCAGAACATCACACGGGACGGTTATGTCAGATACGGAAAACGCGAACAATCTCGCAGCTCGGGATCTCGGCGCATCTGTCACTTCTGCGCGTGGCGCATGCGCTGTTGATTTTACCGACCGGCAGCACACGATTGCGCCATCTATAATCTGCTATCATAGTTAATTTACAAAGTTCGATAAATTTATGCAAATGATCGGTCGGTAAATTAGCATTACAGTCTCGCATCTTTGAAGAAAGAAAAAAAGGAAAAAACAAAAAAAAACACGACCTATGATAAAAACGACCTTTGATATTTCTAAATTTTTTTCTTGTATGTACTTCTTGTTGACCTTCCGGTAAAATTGTTACATTTTTTTCAATTTATTTTTGTAAATTTTCTCCTTTATGAATTATAACCTATGAGTTATAACTTTTATAATTTAATTTAAATATTAATCTTAATTTATTTTATTTGAGTCTTAATTTAATTTAGATATTTAAATATAATTTTATTATTACATAAAATTATATTAATAATTATGCAAAAATATATATTAGTTATTATGCAAAAATATATATAGTGGTTTTTTCAGCAAGTGATACAGAGAACACAGTGAATCCTTGTTTACATTCAATAACCAACAAGGATGAAGGGATACACTTGTTCTCTGTGCTTGCTGAAAAACGCCCAGTATCATCAAATCGAAATCTGAATTTCATATTTTGCTGCGATTGCGTGAACAAAGCGTAATTAACTGCCATATAATGTATGAAAGATTGTCGAAAAATATCGAGGATTTTTTTGATAATCACTTATCATGACGAATGAAGATGACGTGTGGAGTGAATTAGCGAGCATTCCCGCTGATCCCCCTGAAACAAGAGACAAATGTCAGCAATGCAAGTAAGTATGAAAATATATACATATATTATGATTATACACATAAGTTGTGAAGATCATGTAAACAAATTTTACTACAAATTTTAGAACTTGTGAAGATCATGTAAACAAATTTTACTACAAATTTTAGAACTTGTGAAAAGCAAGAAATTAAAATTTTTCAAATTTTAATAATATGTCCTTTTGTAGGAGACCTGTGCAAGTATGCTGGTGTCCAGGTTTACCAAAACAACGTCTCAATCCTGCATCAAGAATAATTATTCTACAGCATCCAGCAGAGGCAAAGCGTTGTCTACGTACAGTGCCAATGCTTGCATTAGCATTGGAATCAGGAAAGTGCCTAATCTTCAGGTAAAAAAAAAAACAAATTAGTCAAATTAAAATTTTTTGTATGCAAATCTCAATAAAATTCAAAGAAATTATTTTATTCTTCTTTAAGGGGAAAAAAGTTTCCATTGCCTAAACACGAAGGCCTACCAGAAATATTAAATGATAAGAATACTATTTTATTATACCCATCGCCTGGAGCTATTGCACTTGACAAACTAGATCCAGTTGGAATTAATGAACAAAAGGCATATAATCTAGTTCTACTGGATGGAACATGGCCACAAGCAAAAGTAAATTATATATTTAAATAATGTAGTATATGTTAGGGAGAGATAATTTATTATCATATAACTTAAATTTTTTTAACATAAAAAATCCTTTTTAAAAAAAAATATGTAAAATAAACTGTAATTAATATTTTTCTGTATTTATTTTCTCAGGCAATATATCACTCGAGCCCAGCTTTATATTTTCTGCGAGCTTGCAAATTAATTGGTGTACCTACTAGTCAGTATGTGATCAGGACACAACCAACAGAAGGTTGCCTTTCGACATTGGAAACTGGTGCAAGTGCACTCTCAATTTTAGAAGGTGATCCAGAATTAAAAGAAAAAATGTTGGGTCCATTGCATTATCTATGTAGGCAAGTATAGCTAAATTTCTGTTAAGCAATGATAAATAATTATAAATTGATTTCTTATGAAAAAAACAAATTAGGATTTTTCAAAAAAAAAAGAAAAAAAAACTTACTAATTTATGAAAAAATAACACATATGTATACATACATGGATCATAATTATAAAAATCATTTTTAAATAAATAAATTATATATATATATATATATATATATATATATGTGTGTGTGTGTGTGTGTGTGTGTGTGTGTGTGTGTATGTATGTATGTATAGTTATACTAAAAATTATTAATAGGACTATATCGTTATTTAGGTTTCAATTAGAAAATGGCGCTGTAACACACCAGAGTAAGGAATTTCTTATTAAACAGAAAAATTATCCCAAATTAATCGGCAAGAGACTCGCCAAACAATTACGCATATTACCGGATAATACCTCATAATATTAGGAGACTTTGAAAAATTTCATATGTATATTATACTGTAATTATTATATATCTTTATATTTTTCTTGTTACAGTGATTTGAAATATCTGTAGATATATTTCTATCTAACATATTTTTCTAATTTTAACAATTTTACTGTTTGATTCATTTGCAAATATTTCGTAATCAACAATCAAAAAGACATCATTATGTTACAAATCCACTTTATTGTGTTGTGAAACAAAAGTAAACAATCTTGTAATATATAAATAATATATGTAATTATGTTATATAAATACATGTATGCGTATATATGTGTATTAAAGTCCACTTTACCATTTTGTGGAACGAAAGCGAACGACCATAAAAGTGTGTTTCTTCTTGTTCTGACATCAGATATCCCATGAAATAGATGCACGCCTTGTCTTGTATATGGATCCCAAGATATGCGCTTACTAGGTATTACTTCTTCAATTGGACCACAAGATATTGACAAATTATTTATATTATATATATATATATATATATATATATATATATATATATATATATATATATGTTGCAAGATTGTTTACTTATATATATATTTCACCACATAATCATGCCTTGAAATTTCTCTAGATATATTTTTACATAAAAACATTTTTTACATTTTCTCAATTTGATTTTTAATACATCAAGCATTCCTCAATATAATCAAATAAACATTTATTAATACAATCAAATATTTGTTATAATATGTTAAAATTAAAGTCCACTTCACCATGTTGTGGAACGAAAGTGAACGACCATAAAAGTGTGTTTCTTCTTGTCCTGACATCAGATATCCCATGAAATAGATGTACGCCTTGTCTTGTATATGGATCCCAAGATATGCGTTTACCAGGTATCACTTCTTCAACTGGACCACAAGATATTGACAAATCTGAATCTAATTGCCAATCTATCCATACAGCAACGCCATTGCAGGAGCCATTGCTGTAAAACGAGAAATACATAGAGATATTATCATTAATAAAAAATTAATATTTTTCTATTTTTTAAAATATTCTAGATATTAAACATTAGTTTCTTTTGTGTTCAATTATAAGTGAGCAAAAAAACATTAATGTGGATCTAAAAGTTTAACAAAAAATATACTAAATATAAAAAGAGCAACAGACAAGCAAAAAGTTCGATTCTTGGTTTAATTATACGCGCGCTCATTTTTCTCGGTTCATGCCTTTCTTTTTCATACACAACTTGTATTTAAAAAAAAAAATCAGTAAAATAAAAAAAGATATACCTTAAAATCGGAATCTCGCCAGATACTTGAATGCGTTCGAAATTTACATTTCGCGTGAGATCAAGCTCTACAATGTTAAAGGCTAAAGATAACGCCTTGCAGGGATATTCCCAAAGTGGCTGCGCTTCTACGGGATTGTCACTTTTATCACTAGATATCTAAAATGAAATGTGATTGTTCTTTAATATCAGAATAAGGTACGAAATGAGAAAATAAATCAATAAGTTACGAACTTGCACAAGCCTATCGAAGGAAGACAAATCAAAGCCTTCGCAAATACCGACGGGGGCTCTTATCTTATGTAAATCTTTGAACTCGACGACGGCGGCCTTGATCGTCGCTGCAATCGGCATTCTTGTGATGTTCGATGGGTATTTGGAGGTATGGTACCAGAATATCAGATTCTCCCATGGCACGATAGAGCTCAGGAAATATGGTTCGCCGAAAATGAAGTTGATCTCACTAGCATCCGGTAGATCACCGACCGACTTGACAATTCTTATCTGCTCGGAGAGTCCATTTGTACGCACAAACATCTTCATGGTTTTCTGCGACAAAGAATTTTGTTCCAGCAGAAATACTTTTGCTCCCATTCTCGCAACCGCAAGTGCCAATAAACAACCGTCCGAGAGACAGAGACAGACGCTATTGGAAGTAATCTTCTTCCGCAAGGCTTGTATGTACTTTTTATTACGAGCCATATCGTTCAATTGACCGATACGCGTCCGTGAGTACGCGATATGCGCATTACAATCACACACAGGTCTCGGAAAATCCGGAATTTTATCTCTATGAAAAAAATATAAAAAATTTTTTTTATTAATACACAGTAAAGAATTAAAAAATTTTTTTCAGAGCATAAAAAAAATTAAATTTAATAATTTAGAAAATAAAGAAAATAGAAATGTATTTTATAGGAAATATGGAAATTAAACAAAATTACAAACATAATTTAAAAATTATGAAAGAAGTGTGTGTGTGTGTGGAACTTACATGGATCTATCCAATAATTTAAACCAGAAAGAATACTCGTCATGGTAACCGATGAGATTGACTTCGACATCACGTTTGATAGGTATTTCTTCCGGAAGATAATAGACAGCCTGCATCCAATGATCCCTCCAAGGTATTGACTCTGCCATCTTTTCTAAACGTAATTTATCTTTCTTGATATCATCAGGTACATTTGGATGTTCCCATACAGGAGCACAACTCAACAATACCTATAAAAATGGTGTAAATATAAAAATTATAAAAATGAAAAAATAGTAAGAGTAATATATTGAAGAAGTCCATTACTTGATTATCTGTATCCATGTTCAAATCCCACCACATAAAAATTGCATGCGCGGTTCCACTTGCTATGGATTTTGTGAATATCGATACTTTTTCATTGTACAATAAGGGCTCTTTGCCGGACCAATCAAACCTGAAATACATTTAATATATATTATAAGTATTTTCTGTGTTAATTTGTACAAGCAATTCATATTACTAATATATAATTTTATAATTAAATACAATCTTATGTTTTTATAAGAGTGAACATTTAGAAAAGAGAAGGAAATCTTTACCTAAAAATAGGCTGTGGTGGCAGTAAAGGCACAAAAGAGTCGCGAGAAAGACGAGATAATTGCATGTCATGCACTGCTGCAGCACCAGAACATGCTTGAATAGCTGCTGGAGCATCAACTAATATTTCTCCATCCTTAATGGGCTTCACTCGATTCCAGCTACAAACTTTTGAGCTCTCCACTACTTGTGCCCACACTGTTCCACTGTGTGGCACAACTATACTATCTTCCTGATATAAAAATGACAAAAGAAATAAATCTCAAAGCAACAAAATTATGTGCAAGCACTAATTGCATGAGTATTACCTCGAGAAGAACTTTGTGAGCATGGCGAAATGTTGATAATGCTCCTTCGCCAATCAGTTCTGTATCGAACACTTCAGTGACTAAAATATTTGCTCGTTTTGGCATATCACCATCTTTTCCAACTGTCATCTTTGTAGAATGTTTACGAACCAATTTAATTTTACTCTCAAAACCATTCTCCTTTATTATTTTTACAGCACAATTGGCCATTGGTATGAAACCCTATGAGATATTTCTTTATGTAGGCAAAATTTCAAAGAAAATGTTAAATTCTTTTTTACCTCACATGCTGTTATGGTGTCTGCTCCACATCTTGCAGCCATCATTGACAATAATCCTGTCCCAGTACCTATATCCAACACATTAGCCTCTTCACCCGCTTGATGCTTTTTCTCAATAGCAGCTTTGAGGGCAATATAATATTTGTTATTCTATTAAAGGAAAATACGAAAATTAGTTTTCTTTTAGATGAAGAATTCATAATGTCATTCAATTTTCAGAATGTGAAGTAATTATAAAAAAATACTTACTCGCTCGTAATCATGTAGCATGTCTGCAAAGGAAGATCTAGCTACTTCTTGATGATAATCATAATCTTGATCTTTCTTCTCCCATGTAGCAAGACCAGTGAGAGGATTTAAGTACTGTGTGAATACACTCATGTTTTGCTTCAATAATAACCTTATCAAAGTAATTTTTAACATTCAAAATATAAAGCCAAATAAATGAAAGTCACTTAAAAACATGTGCTAACATTTATGTGATAAATATTTGCTGTTGCTTTATTTTAATTCTTTATACCTGCAAAAGATAATGCTTTTTAATCCTATGACATTGTAAATTTTAAAATGGTTAACACAAAATACTAAACCCTGATCATCTTATTACTTGTATTTGTATATTTTCTATTATATAAAATATATTTATATATTTTATATATTTATATATTTTCTATTATATAAATACAGCATTCTAAATTATTGGAATTTATATAAAAACTTACTGGCAATACATAGGACGAACTGCTGCAGATAATAATGATAATGTATTCAGACTACCGCCTATATCTTGAACTGTCAACAATTTATGAGCCATTAGTACAACTTCATTTTTCCTCCGTTCCAATGTTCCAAAAACTTTAAAAATACGATGTTTTTCCTACAAATGTAGTACTGTGAGAAAAATAACTCATGCAAAACATTTATTTTCTTATAAAGGTTACTTTAGACAATTTATAAATTCAAAAAAAATATTTCTAATTTTATGTTACATCTTAGTATATTTTATATATATTTAATTTCAATGTTTTATATTATACATAACATAAAAAATTAATAAATGAAATTTTATCCCAAAGTTTTGTTGCAAATGGATCGTCTAAAGTATGTTTGCTTAAAAAAATTTTATATTTTCATTACACAAGATTAAGGTTGTAAACAAACAAAAGACATTTAAATACATTTAGACATTACATTTAAAAGAGGACGAATGACATACAAGAAAAGGAAAAAATGCCATTTGCATTAATTTTTAAAAAGGAAATATCTGAATGTTCTTGCTAAAATAAATTTTCTAAAAAATCGAACTTTACCCATATAGGTGTATATCGTCCCTTGCCGTCCTTAAAATAGACAGTATTTACGGGAAGTCTCTCCAAGCTAAGGGTGATTTTTGCCTCGCGATCGGAAATACTTTGCAACTGGGCAATTCGTAACGCGCCGGGAAGAATCTCACCGATCGTCTGTACGCTCTTTATATAATTTTCTTCATAATTGGGTAGAGATATGTATCGAAAAATATTCTCGATCAAAATAGGAATATGTGGAATGCCGGATTGCAAGAGATTCTCACGAATAGCCAAGCATGCCGGCCAAGGAGGTTTCACGCACGCTTGTTCCATGTCATTCATAAGATACGTTTGAGCCTATACTTTATCCAAAAATTTGCACAAATATATTTGAAAATTTTATTCGTGAGATAGAGTAGCATTCCAATTAGAATAAAAATTGACCAATTAGAATAAAAGAAGTAATGATTTTTTTCTCCTGATTGGTCAATTGAATGCTACTTTATCCTATGAGTAGGATTCTGAACTTTCCGAACCCCAGTGTTATAAATATTCACTAAAAATCGACCAATCATGCACGAAGAACGTAGCAGCGTATGGTAGTCCTTCTCACAACAGCATTTCATGGATTAACAGCCGATCTATCTTGATATAATGCAGAATGGACATTTTATTATATGTATACACATTTTGTTAAAATGCGTTTTTGATGCTTGATATTCATTCTCACGTCAAAAGGCGATGTAATTAAAAATAATAAATTGATACTTATTTTTAATTACACACGCTTCCTGAAAGTTAAATATCAATATGAAGAAAACACAAAGGAAATTGCCAAGGATATAAAGAAAATTAAAATTCTTATTAGATTTTCTAATCACAGAAAACGAAGTTACAGTTATTATATTTTTGTTATGCTCTCACTCAAATTTTCTATTCTTTTCTATTTTATTATAAAAGATATTTCACTAAAACGAATTAATGTTTGATTTTTCTTTCTTACATCTAGCATACAAGATGTATTATACTGATGCTTGATGTTCATTTTCACAAGATGTCATGTAATTAAAAATAATAAATTAATATTCTTTATTACACGGCACTCCTTGAAATTAAGAATCAAACATCAATATAAAAAAACTTTTAGTCTATCGATATCGACGATCTATTATTTATTACTATGATTGTAACTCAAATATATTTACATGATAAAATATAAAAAAAATACATTCTCATATACTTAAAATATGCTTAATGTATACATACAATCAAATTTTGTCTGTTCCTTAATACCAAAAGATATGCACTTTTCACAATTCTACAATAATTTGGTTTTCATATTTTTGATGCTTCATTAATTTTCTTCAAATATTAGTTTACATCAACTTTATAGAAATAATATAGTAAAAGCAATAAGATTGTATAAAAATGAATGCATATTCTTCTAAAAAAATTTAAGATTTTTACAAGCACCTTTAGAATCTTTTATCTCTTGTATAAATTACTAAAGATTTGATAATGTTTATAAAAAAGAATGTGCATGACAATGATTACACATATCTATTTCTTTTATTATACAATGGTCATGTACTCTGGAGTTAAGTCGATTCGCATTGGATCGGTTGGATACGATGTTAGGACGCGAACCTTTTGTCCATCCTGAGTCATGAATTCGATTGTTTGTTCACCATCCGCGATTTCAGTCTGTTCGACATTTCCCAATTGATTGATAGTCGCAACTGCGGTGGCATCAGTATCTTCGTCCTAAAAAATGTAAATACATTTTATGGACACATTTATCGCAAATTATATTATTTATTTAATTAGTATGTGAAGAATTATTTAATTAGTATGTGAAGAAAAAATTAATTATGAAATTTGAGAAATAAACGTATATAGAGAAAAATTTGTGGAGAATCAAAAAAATTTCTAAATGAAACAGTTTCTTGATTTAAAAAAATAAAAAATTTATGAAAACGAAACATTTTGCAATTATTTACACATTTATTTGAAATTGAAAATTACCTCGAGCGCTTGGACAATTGCTTCTGCATCGGTTCGAATTGTCTCCATTTGGTTTTTCACGTTTTGGCGTGTAACAACACCGTTTTCCGCTGCGACAGCAGCCTCTTCATCGATGTGTATATTTAACGCTTGGAGATGTTGTGCGAATATTCCTGGATGAACCCTAATCATCTGACCATCGTTCAATTGGCTAATGATTTGTCCTTGAGAGAGAAGTTGTCGAGCTTCTTGGATGGATATTGAAATCGGATTTCCATGTTCATCGGTAATCTGAAAATAATAGATTTTTTTGAAGCAAGAATATAATATACAAAATCATTTTAACTTTTCTAAGACTTATAGTTATTTAATTTTCAAGATTACAGTGAAAATATGAATATTTATAGTTAAAATTGTATGAGATCAAACACACACACACATACATCTTTTAATATTGGTATAAGTAAGCTCTGAAATATCTAATAATAAAAAAATTATAGCATTTATCTTTCTTACTTGTAGTTGTAATTCTGCCTCTGATAGTTCTATCTCTGACTGCTGCTCATTATTGCTGGCTGTATCATTTACGATCTTGTCAGCAATTATTTCGTCGCTCTCAACATCTAAATGTGGCAAGAAGTTCGTATTTGTTTTCGTCTGGTCTTTATTTTTTATCATGCTGGTATCAACTACATTTTATCAAATTAATAATTGATCAATTAATGTGTATGATAGATTAATATATAAAATGATCAAAATAATATAATTAAATGCATACGTAAATGTAATGTTCGCGCCTGATCAGGATTATCAGGATCTTCATAGGACACATAATAGATCTGTTGCATCCCATCAGTAGAGGCCTCATCAGTTGCGATCACCTGCGTCACTTGTTCATTGAGCGTCGACTGTTCATCATTCTTCTGCGAGTTTGGCAAGATTTGCCATACCTCGCTGATCCTCGGAGTTCTTTCCGATCCATCCACAGTCTGTACTTTAGTCTCTCTATGCACCTACAAAAATTGATAATTATTACTAATCGGTAGACAGTTGAGTTTAGCGATCGGTAAACAATTGAGTTTATCGAGAAGAATCAAAAAGAGTGAAATCGCTTTATACCTTTTTGTGCTTCGTTAGATTCGAACAATCGGCAAAAGCCTTACCGCATTGATCGCAGGAATAAGGTTTTTCACCTGCGAAAAAAATGATATAATTGCAATGATTTGGAGTGAAATGTTCATCTGTATACGTGCTTTTTTCAGAACTTTTCTCTTTGTAATTATATAGAAATTAAAATTATAAATAAAAAAGTCTACATTTTTATTTTGTACATTTTTATAATCTTCATGTTTTCTTACTGTAAATCACATTTACCGGTGTGCAAACGAAGATGTTTCTTCAGCGCCCATTGCTCCGTAAATCCCCGATTACAGTGAGTACATTGAAACGGACGTTCACCTTTGTGCCGGCGCACATGACATTTCCATGTATCTTTATGTAAAAAGCATTTCGCGCAAAACTCGCATTTCCACGGCCGTTCGCCAGTATGGCGTTTTACATGCAACCTAAACTGCGATGACGTGGTAAACTTCCGTCCACAGACGTCACAGGAATATGGTTTCTCGCCAGTGTGGATACGCATATGTTCTTGCAAATTGCCATTCTGTGAAAAACTCTTGTGGCATACATTACATTTGTACGGTTTTTCACCATCATGCCATCTGAAAAATGATCCAATTTGCAAAATAAAATAAATTTTATGCTATTAAATCTAAATCTTGATTTAGTTGAAAAATTTTTTAAATTAAAAATTTTTAAACTCTTAGTAAAGTAAAAGTTGTGATTTAGATGGTCCTGCATAGCTTTAGAAGTTCTATTTTGAGAATCTAAACATGCACTTATATCTCTTCATCCAATAAATAATTAAATAACTATTATATACAACAAATAATTAAACAATTTATTCTACATAATAAATAACAGATAAATCACCTTTGATGCAATGTGAGGCTAGTCTTGTGTGCAAATTGTTGATTGCAACGCTGGCAGAAATATTTCTTCTCGCCCGTATGAGTAGACTGATGATTAATTAAATTTGCCTTTGTTTTGAAGCTAGCGTTACAGGATTTACAAATGAACGGTCGATCATCTGAATGTACCAGCTGATGCCGTTGGAGCAATTGTTTGTGCTTGAAACTCCTATTACATTTGTTGCAGACGAAACGACGTCCATTGTTATGTTCAGCTTCTTTGTGATAAACGACTGAACTAGGATGGTTTAAGACTTTACCACAGATGTCACAGGGAAATCCCTTGTTTAGCTTAGTTTGCTGCAATATTAAATAAAGGTTTAAAAAGAGTACGAAATATTATGTAAAAATTTAAAAAAGATTTTAGAATTGAATAATTTTTAAATTATCATTTTATTGTGTAAAGCATAAAATTGCAAACCTTATGTGTATTCATGTGCATCTCCAAATTTGATTGGTTTGTAAAATCCTTATTGCAAACATTACATGTGAATTTCTGTAGTTCATGTACCATTCTCATGTGCAGTTCATATTCCTGTTTTAATTCAAAATGCTTGTCACATTTTTCGCACATATAAATTGCATTGCTGGCCTCTTCTCTTATTGTTGATGTAGAAGTGTCCTGCTCTGCGCTGTGTATCTCTAATCTCTCAAGTGGCTCTTGTATTTCGTTATTTTCTTCAACAAGATTTGTACTATGCTGAGTTGTCTTTTGATGCAACATTAGGTTGTCTTTACTATCAAAAAGTGTTTTACATTGTATGCACTCATATATGCACTTGTTGTCCTTATGAAGACTTCTACAAAATTGAAAAGTACATTTAAAAAATATTAATATTTTAAAATTCTAATAATTTTCTCGCGAGTATGAGAATATATTTTACATACATAAAATTCAAAAATTACAGAACCAGAAAGAAAAATCAAGGAATCAAGTTAGATTCTCAAAAATCAAATAATTTTAAGTTTTAGAATTTGAAATCTGCATATAAAAAATGATATTTACTTGTGTATTATATATTTGCTACGTTGTAGAAAATTTCTACTGCAAAGTTTACATGTAAATTTGTTTTTTCGACGACGAAGTTTCGGTTTTGATCGTGCTCGTCCACGATTCATGATTACTACTTCACCCAAGTTTTTACCCTCTTGTGTTTCGAGACGACCGATTACTTCTATAAAATATACATGACACATAAAAATACTTAGAGTGATCTTTTTCCACTTTTATCTGTTATATGTACCTTCCTGACCATCCTGTATGGAAGCATTTAATGGTTCTTCTGAATCATTGAGTGTCTCAAATTCATCATCATCTTCCTCATCAATTACACCTTCTTCTTTGAATATCCTTTCCAATTCTTTTCCTTGCACCGCTTCCATAAACCTGTACAGATTCATCAATTATCAACAATCAGGTAATAATTTGAGCTTTTATCCTAATATACCTTTTGGGAACTTTACGTTTTCTTCTGCGTCTACCATCGCCATCTATTTCTTCAATCTCTTCTTCTTGCTTATCTTCCTCACCTTGACTCACAACTTCTGTATTTTCTTTTGTCTTTTAAAAAACATAAATAAGAAAGCTAATACAGGAAGCAATAAAAATCGTATAATTATTTATAATTCATTATAATTCATTACAAACCAAAGATTCGACCTCTGTTTGTACTTTGGGTGGACGTCCGCGTTTTCTCCTTGGTTTAGTTAAGCCTTCCATTTGCAAGCTCATTTCATGCTCTGCTGCATACATAGATCCATCTGGCATTACTAAAATAACAATTTCATACATAATATGTTTAAATTATATAGGTTCTTTATGATATAAAATATATATAAAGAAGAAATCATATTACTTTTGATAACAATTTGCTGTTCATACTGTTCATTCTCATTACACAAAGTTATATTATCCACTTCAACTCCTTCCGTTTCAAGCTCTGCACTCTCCTTCTTATTACGTGAGCGTTCTGCTCTGCGCTGCTGCTCTTGATATTTCCAAAGTTCACGTAACTTGCGCTGACCAGCCACCAACAAATCAAAGAATTGTGCTGTTGCCTCCAGCTGGATGTTACAACCCGGACAAATTGTCTGTGGTAATTTGCCATCGTCTCGAATCTAAAAAATTAAGCATATTATATAAACAATTGCATAAGAAAGAACAAATAATAAATATAAACAATTTGTACTATATAAAATACCTCTTAAATTACATACAAAATTGTGAAACAGAAATGTTTTGCCCGCAGATTAACTGTTTATCTCTATTCAACATGGAACATTATATTCATGAATTGACGCGCGAACCTAATCGTTGCATAAAATACAAAAAATAATTAACTGTTTCGCTCAATGAAAACAAAACAAAAAAAAAAAGAGTAACGATTAAACGAGCGATATATGATGAACATTTGATCAGTGCAGTAGGAAAATCAGCAGTAGGAAATCAAGTTGCAGTCTATTTAACCGGGGTTTAAAAAAAAAAGAATACAGCGTTTTACCTTGAGTGGCAGATACCGATTCACCAGCGAGCACAAATCCGACTCGCCTGTCTCCTTGGTAAATAGATGCTCGTTGCCGTTGTCTGCCGCGCACAATCGACAGATCGTAGAATTGTACAGATGCACGTTCATGTTGCCGATGATTGACGGAACGTTGGACGCTCTGTTGGACGCCGAACTCTTTCTCCGAGTATATCAAAATTGACTAGAAGAGATAAGATACTACGTATCTCGTACAGAGTTAATATTGATATATATCACGCTTTCATTATTATGTGTATACAATGTCGCTACAATGTGTATACAATCACGCATAAATATGCTATCTGTTCCGATAGAAATGTGTCGTGTAAAGGTTAGGTCGAGCATCTGCATCAGCTCCTCGTTCGTTAGTCAGTAACATGGCTGGCAATATAAATCGACAATCTGATGAAATCCCTTCAAAATTCCCCGCAAAATTTTCTAGTACTAGTGTCATGCGCGGAGGGATTGGCCAATTGACCACGTCACCAATTGGTCAATTCAAAATAGGACTCTCTGATTAGTTAATCGTTGCTGGTTACTCTAGGCACTGAGCGATATAATTGACTCTGGTCAATCGCAACGTGGTCAAACGGGATATTCCCATGCGCTAGCGATACACCTTTTATGAATATTCAATAACAGAGTTACAATAAAATACCTCTAGCTAGAATTTCCTAGAAAACAATCTCTGTTATTGGATATCAGACGCACTATGTATGGACGTAAGAAATACTGGACAGAGTGTGTTGCTGCGGGGTTGAAGTTCAAAGGGTGAGGGGAAAGAAATGTCTACTGCAACGGAATATGAGCAAATATTTTTGAATTTCTTAATATTCAGAAATGATTCGGAATAACACAGCGATTTTAGATGATAGATTATTTCACGGAATCTTTCATATTTTATTCGATTTACGTCCGTGTGACGTGAAAATAGATGCTAAATCTGAGGCCGCGACAATAAATCCCTTACCCCTCAGGCTTCACACCCCTCATCTAAAAGAGTACTTTATGCTCTGTCCTGTTGCTCTGGTGTTACCGGCATTTCGTGCACATAGCACGGAATGAAACCAGAAATTGTGCACATGATACCCTCTGAGAACATTCATGGACATTGGCTTTGTAGTCCACGGCCGATATTCATAGTCCGATCTTATATTTGAGATCGTCTTAAATTCGAGCTTGAAATGCTACGCAGATATTTGATTGGTTGAATGAGGTCTTAAGTCAACCTTCAAGCAGACTTAAGACGATCTTAAATATAAGATCGGACTATGAATACCGACCAAAGTGTGCACTATCTGCACTATCGGACACCATTTTTGCTCCATCTTATCTTATTGAGATCAAAATTGCGGTACTTTGTTAATCTAGTCTAGACTTTACCCGCGAGAATGTCAAGGTTCGTTCAAACGCGTGACGCGCGTAAACATAATACACGCATGTATGTGCGCCAACAGCTCCTTTAAGAAAATACTCAGGACTGAAACAGTTTCACCAACTGGTCAATTGACGAGTTTTTTGTATTAGTGATTGGCAGAACTGTCTCATATATAAAATAGTTGAATTGAACTTTTTTGAAAAGTTTATTCGTCGTTATCACGATATTAACGTCCGGAATAAGTGGAATATATTTGTAAGTTATATACAATTTTATTATTAATAAATAGTTGATTGCTCTCGAAATACGATACTCGATTATATGATAGGAATCAAAATTATAAATTATTACTTTGTTGCAATCTTTACGAGCAATGATTATTCTTCTATTTCTATTTCGTTTCTATCCTAATATATATGTGTACACACACACACACACACACACATTTAGAATTCTAATATAATAAATAAATATTCTCTCTGATATCATTTGATCTAAATATAATTTGATTCAGAACGCGCAATAAAACGATCGAATAAAAATCGGATAATTAACATAACGGAAATATATATTTTTAAAGTTATATACAAGTGTATTTATATACAAGTATATCTTTAAAGTCACAAACACACACACACACACACACACACACACACACACACACACACACACACACGTACACACGGATTAATTATTTATTAAACACATATCTTTAAAGTCACACACACACGTACACGTACACACGGATTAATAATTTATTAAACACACATCTTTAAAGTCACACACACACACTCACACACACACGTACACGTACACATGGATTAATTATTTATTAAACGATTAATATACTTCGTGAAGTTATTTCCATTTTTATTTGCAATTATGATCTTTAATAAAGATTTCTCATCATAATAAAAAAATTTTATATCGTTTATCAAAAGTTTAAATTAGATTTAAAAGTATATTATTGCCTCTTTTCGATAATAATTGATTATTTCACTGTACCTATTTCGTGAATAGTTATTATTACAGAGATCGCGTAGAGTTTGACAATGCAATAAAATTAATAATAAAATTCCAATAAAATTAAATACAAATTAATTATAATAATTAAATATAAATTTGTTTATAATTAACTTTTTCTACGTTGAGAAAAGTTCTTCGTTTTTTTTGGAATATCTTAAAGATTCTTTTATAATTAAATTTTACAAAATATGTAACTATTAAATTTATAGTATTTAATATTTAGAAATAAATAGATAATATTCCATTTTTATATAGATTAAGTATACGATATTATTTATTAAAAGAACTAATATATCTTTTATGGATCTTTTTGTTAAGTTAATTCTTTAGATCTACGATTCGATTGTTTTACTGCATTTCAATTGGAATTATATATTTAAATAATCGAAAAATAAAACGATAATAAAATAATAAGCAATATATCTATTTAAAAAATAGTGTATATAAATAATAAATAATAAATAATTTTTATAAATTACTCACCGCATGTCTCTGGCTGCTTCAGGCTTTCTCCCTGCTTTCTGACTGTCCGATACTTTTCCAGATGTCCTTCTCTTTTTTTGTTTCATCCTTTGTTGTTTCCTCGTAGTACTCATGTATTCACTCGCGAACAAACAATTATATTTCAGTTAATTATATTTCAGTCATATGCAGAAACGATCGCGAGACACTTTGCACGGCACTCCCGATCGCAAAATAATCATACGAGATACGTATTTTTATTATATTATTATTATTTTATTATAATTGCAAGAGAGGAATACAAAAATTACAATAATTCGCTCGATTTTTAAACGAAGCCAAAATCATGCACCACTCGATTCTAATTAACTATTTCTATTTGTTGAAGTATATATATGCATAATAACGCGAATCATAAGATTAAAATATTAAAGTAATGTAAATTGATGATATAGCAATCGTTTAATTAATATGATATATATGCATGCAGTTTAGGAAAGTTTAAAACATCGGGCGAAATCGAATTTCATGCAATTCTATGCAATGTTAAAGAAATAATTATTATTCGTAAAGTTCGATAATCGAAGAATATTGCAAGAAAATTTGTAATTTTTGCCCCTATCGCTTCAATTTTTATTTGTAATAATGAAAGATCGCGTTTCGATGAATTTATCGTCGCCACAATTACATTTATTAATTAATTATTTGTCAAATAGTCGAATTATTATATTTCGATCTAATCGCGATCATACTTTTAGGAAAAGAATTCGATAATACGGAGCGGTCCGTATCGCTACTTTCTCCGTTGGAATGTCGCCGTGCGAATGAGGGGAGGTCGTCGCGTATGTAAACAATAGCGCGCTACGTCACAAGGCCAAATGACGTCACAAAGTCGAATGACGTGTTAGCTCGCTGCCGAAATATTTAACGCGTACTGTGACGTATGTGAGAATTGTATTTACATACAAGTATATTTTTAAAGTCACACACACACACACACGTACACTGAGAAAAAAGTTATTAACTCGACTAAACCGTTTAACTAAATTATTATTTTTTAAATTGAAATATTGAAATATTTAAGTTAAATAAATGTCATGTTAGATTTATAATAGTTAAATATTCCAATTAAAAAGACAATAATTTAGTTAAATGGTTTAGTTAAGTTAACAACTTTTTTTCTCAGTGTACACAGATTAATTATTTATTAAACCTCACGAAATGTATTAATCGTTTAATAATATAAATGTATTTATATCCAAGTATATTTTTAAAGTCTCACACACACACGTACATTGAGAAAAAAAAGTTTTTGTTAACTCAACTAAACCGTTTAACTAAATTATTATTTTTTAAATTAAAATATTGAAATATTTAAGTTAAATAAATGTCATGTTAGATTTATAATAGTTAAATATTCCAATTAAAAAGACAATAATTTAGTTAAATGGTTTAGTTAAGTTAACAACTTTTTTTCTCAGTGTACACGGATTAATTATTTATTAAACCTCACGAGATATATTAATCGTTTAATAATATAAATGTATTTATATCCAAGTATATTTTTAAAGTCTCACACACACACGTACATTGAGAAAAAAAAGTTTTTGTTAACTCAACTAAACCGTTTAACTAAATTATTATTTTTTAAATTAAAATATTGAAATATTTAAGTTAAATAAATGTCATGTTAGATTTATAATAGTTAAATATTCCAGTTAAAAAGGTAATAATTTAGTTAAATGGTTTAGTTAAGTTAACAACTTTTTTTCTTTTACAATTAATCTTTTCTCTGTCTACTATTTGATTGTTTTATTACGCTTTTAGAAAGTCAAGTTCTATAATGTAACTTTTAATGTTGTATTTCATATGAAATTATTATTTTAAACATAATAATTTTCTTTCTTTGCATTTCTATCATGAATAGACATTTCCAACCTTTACTAAAAAAACTAAAAATATCCCTCAATTTTTTCTCTCTTTGGACAATTTATTTACATTTATATATAATTCTCTTTATTCCTTTAAAAGTGAACATCGAGAACAAGGCACACGAGTATTGTAAATGTCAAAAAATGATCGTGCGAATATTATAGTTGTGAATATATAAAAATAAATGCAATATACTATGAATTTTCTACGTTGTATATTGAATCGAAATTGCACAAAAGAGGAAAAGAAGAACAAGCCTATGAATAGACATTTCCATTTTTTATTAAAAAATTAAAAATATCTCTCAATTTTTTCTCTTTTCGGATAATTTATTTACATTTATATATAATTCTCTTTATTCCTTTAAAAGCGAACATCGAGAACAATTCTCTTTCTTCAGGCAAGTCTACATATATGACCAATATGATTAATTGATTCCATCTTTATATATTTATCATTATGTGCTATTAATTAAAGCCGTAGACAATATTTCAGAAATCAAAGTTGCGCGCAGGAATGGCCATACGCAGAAACGAATGCGCACTGGTTCGGCCGCCATGTTGGCGCGTGACTGCGACGTCACTGCTACGTCACTGTACGTCAAACGCGTCATACGGCCGCCATGTTGGCACGTGAATCGGAGTCATACGCAATTACACGGATCGTCGTACGTCCGCATTTTTCGCATCTTTTAACCGTTTTTAAATGAATATCGCGAGTGAACGAGCGTCGAGAGTGTCGAAGGATGATCGCGCAACTTTTATAGTGTGTCGATGGAAACGCGCGACAGCGATTTTTGACGATATTCAGTGATGGCGTCATCGCGAAGATGGAGCGAAGTTGCGTCGCATTATTCACGCCCTTGATGATGATTATCGGATGCGAGCGAATATCGGGAGTGCCGAATAAAGTGTCGCGCGTTCGCGTTGATGATATCGTGTGGATTTGTGTGCATCAAGATCGAAATAGGACGTCCCGAGGCGAGCGAACTGTCCCGAGGAGAAGCGGCCTGTGGAACAGCCGGTGAGTAGATTTGATTTATCATATTTGCGTGATAATTTGTGCTCATTCGACGCTTATACAGCATCGCGATGTCCCGAATTACATTCGGACAAATCGGCATCATAATTCGATTCGGTGCAATTCAAATAAAGTCGATCGCGTGAAGACGGTTATGCTAGAAGCGATTTCAAATTTATTTTGTATACGCGCGCGCAGTGCTGCACAGGCTATCTCGTAGGGCTGCCAACTGTTAAACGATAAATTTGTTTGATCTAACCTAACCTAACCTAACCTAACTTAACCTCCAGTGTCTTTGGATATCGAATGTAAACATAAGCGTATGCTGCCTGGATTGTATCATGCTTTCAAAAATAATATTTAATTATTTCATTAGTGTATTACATTTTATTACGTAGTATATTAATCGCATTAAATGTGCGACGTACAGTTTTACACATTTTAATGAGGATCATATAATATAATTGGTTAAGTTAGATTAAATTGAAACAAGCTGCTGTGATTCATTTAACGTAATAGGATTAATTTGACGAATGTGCAGCTATTGAAGTTACATGATATTTGTGGACACATTTTTAAAGTAATCATGAGTGTCTTATCTCATCTCGATTACATAAAATTAAAATATAAAATATTTATGTATTCCACATTAACGTTATTCATTACAAGTACTATATTATTTTTCTTATATCTCAATTGTATTATCACATTATTTCATCGATGAAGCTTTTCATATACCGCACACAATATGATACTGTGTGTGGAATTTTACACAGATAATACGTGGCACAAAAATAATTTGCTCTCAAGTATTGTGTGCATTTCTTAAAAGTAAATCAAATTAAATTATTTTCAGAAACCAAAAATCGCTACATTGCCAGGATTGTATCTTATTATAACTGCGATATTATCACCTTTTAATATGTGTGCGCAGTTTTACATACATAAAATATATAAATTTATTTGAAACGTACAGAAATCTTTATCTTATTTATAATATTTATGATATAAAAGAAAATTGCAACTCTAATGAAACAGAGCAGTGGAATAATTGGTTGATACTTATGCTGGTCTACAATATTTATCCTTTTTTCATCATTAGATTTTTGGTGCTTTTTTTATTATACATGTTATCTGTAAATATAGTACTTGTAATGTTGCTTCTGTATCACTGTAAGCACACAAAAATGATAGCATTTGCAGGTAATTATGTTATACTTATATATCATAAGAAAGAGAAAATAAAATTAAAGTTGAATATTGAATGTGCTCTAAAGTAAATCTCATCTAAATAAATAAATGCATAAATGTGCGTCCCACATTTCTCATGAAAAAAATATATAATATTAATTTTTATGTATTATTATTTTTAGATTTTTATTCTTTTAAATTCTCTAGATGCACTTTTCATTTCTCCTCTCTTTCTTTCCAACTATTAAATATAGATCTATCATTTTTAATATAGATCTGTCATTTTTAGTGTACATTATTGCAGTAAGTGGAATAAAGAGCAAATTTTTTGGCACATTTAAAATGTACAGGAAAGTTTTATCTGATGTGTTTTTTTCAATAGAAATATCTGAAAAAAATGCATACGTCTTTTTTAATCTTAGTCTTTCTAAATAAAAATTAGAATAATAAATTTGCAAAATAATTTGCTTTAATATATTTTTATTGCAAACATATGAAACAAAGTGCTCAAGGTGCAACACTATGAAAACATCAATAGAATAAAAAATAGATCGCATACAAAAAAATTAAAATATTTACATTACATATTTGATATTTCTGCAAATATTTCCATTATTTTGAGATTGATTTGTTTCATGATATATTGCAATAATTAAAGTATGATTTCTGATATAATCTGTCATGAGACTGCAGAGAAAGCCAGCTTTAATTCTTTATTTTGTTCAATATTTTTAATAATATAATAATTAAATTAAAGTTCTATGAAAATATGCTTGAAATACTAAATAAAAAAGATTGTTTCTTATGTACAACCTTATACAGTAAGTAAACAAAAAATTATTGTTAATAATATACATATATAAATTGATAATTAAATAAAACAATTAATTAATTAATTGACACAATCCACGTTTTTTTTTTAGCTTTATGTCTAACATATATATATATATGTATATATATTTTTATAAATAAAAAATGTTTCTTTCTAATATAAATTAAATAAAAAGTATAATATGCCTTTAAATACTTTATATACATACCTATTGCAATAAACCAATAAAGAATGCTTTTACATTCCTCCTTGTACTTTGGCATACATATCCTTTATGCCAATTATCTCGCAACCATCGCTTTATCGCATGATGACAAACAAGCCCATTATCCTTCATGAATTTTCTTTACAAATATTTTTATATTCTCAAACTGTGTAAAGAAATCATGTAACACTGAAAAATACAAAGTGATATTAAAAGAGAAGAAATAAATTTTATATTATATAGTATTGACAATTATTTTTTTACCAATGCATTCCTTATATGTAGGAATATACATTAGTCTTTGACCAGCCCTATTTTTAACCGTCTTTAGGGATGCTTTGGCTTTTGATAACGCAAATCCAGCTAATCCATTTCCATTTCCAGTTACTATAAATGAGCTGATTCTAGTTTTACGTGCTAAATTACCAGTCATACAAGTTATCATTTTGTTTTCCAAAATCCAGGTTTCAAAACTTTCAAATGTATCTGCAGAAAACAAAGATATTAATTATATAAGATTCTAATATTTAGAACTGAAACATCAAAAAAAAAATTGAAAATAAACATTGTATCACATGATTTTTGTATGTGTGTGATTTAATCATTATAATCCAATAATAGCATAAATATTAACCTTTTCGAATAAGATCTGATTCAATGCTTTTGCCATCCATTGTAACACTGGTCCAACCACATTCTAATGGCGATAATTTTATTTGCATTTATCTGATCTGACTTTGTGGTAATTCCATAAGTTTTTGCTTTCTTTCAAGATTTACAAGCAGTTTTTGCTGTTGAATTAATTCTTTTCCTCTAAACACGGGAGTGTTTAGACCAGGAAATTGAATCGGAATTTTTCCCGTGCCAATAATTTGCTCTTTATTTAGGAACTCTCTCTTTTCACTATTCTTCTTGCTCTACCTCTGCGTCTTCTTGCATTACTGATACCTGTCACACCCTTTCATAATTCATCTTCAGGTCCTATAGAACAAAAGCACAGTGAAATACAAATTATTTTCTACTGTAAATATAGACTATTATCAAAATGCTATATCCATAAAAGTTCTACTTATTATTCGCAAAAAATATAGAGTTTTTCACATTATTTAATAAAGTGACTATTTTTAATAAATGTGAATGACTGACAAGCAATAAATTAAACAATATTAAACAATAATATACCTGAAAAAAATTTCATAATTTTATTAGAGTTAAATTGATAAATTAATTTTAAATACACATTATATGTTAATTACATATAATGATTTAGAGACAATGATATATTTCATTTGCGTTACCATTGTTTACAGATTGAACATTTTTTATCAAATTATTTACAACTCTAAATATGTAGCATACGACAAGCCATTTTTAAAATCTATAAAACAAACAACAAAGTTGTTCATAGTTTTCACTCTTTTTTGTGATAGTCTGCTTTTAGGCGATCTTAGGCCGGTATTCATAGTCCGATCTTATATTTAAAATCGTCTTAAGTCTGCTTGGAGGTTGACTTAAGACCTCATTCAACCAATCAAATAGCTGCGTAGGATTTCAAGCTCGAATTTAAGACGATCTCAAATATAAGATCGGACTATGAATACCGACCTTAAAGTCACAAAGTATGCACTATCTGCACTATCGGACGCCATTTTTGCTCCATCTTATCTTATTAAGGCCGGTATTCATAGTCCGATCTTATATTTAAGATCGTCTTAAGTCTGCTTGGAGGTTGACTTAAGACCTCATTCAACCAATCAAATAGCTGCGTAGCATTTCAAGCTCGAACTTAAGACGATCTCAAATATAAGATCGGACTATGAATACCGGCCTAAGATCAAAATGCGGTACTTTGTTAATCTAGTGACTTTAAGGGATCACCTAAAAGCAGGCCACGACATCTCTCAGTTTTCTCTCTGGCCGACATCGATTTTGTAAGGATTGGTCATCACTGTTTTTGTAATTCATGTTGGATTATAATTTTTTGTCACTCAAGCATAATGCGGAGAGAAGTTAAAATTTCGTGGTACTTGTTTTGAGACTTCGAAGGATTATTCATTTTTTTTTATCATGATAAAGAGATGCATCGATGACAAGTTAAAGGAATGTCCTGTAATACCTGTCAAACGAATTTCTCGTTTTTCACAAAAAACGTAAATATTATCGCTCTGTTCGAATTTTAATAGGTTAATTTGATACAATAACCGCTGCTCTCAAACAATCCATTTGTTTATTTATGCTTTTGCTGTTGCTTAGGTTGGTTGCCCAAACTGTGGCTATTCTTCCTGCAGTAAGTGCCTCAAGTACAAATGCGATATTCCCGATATAGGAAAGAAGAAAGTTTGCGGACGTTGCTACAATAAATTAAACAACATGAAGGAATCAAGTCCCGAAGACACTATACAAGAAGCTTCAATGTCTAGTGAAAATTTGCGAAAGAAAAAGAAATACTGCATCATGAAAAGACCACTTGCACCGATTGACATTACTATGAAGTGAGAGAAATGAATTTTTTTGCTTGTAAATAATTTAATTGCTATAAATTATATATGCAAAATATTTTTAAGAACAGCATTATAATATTGGATATTTGATCTAGATTGGATTCATTAGAAAATCCTGTAAAACCTCCAATAGTGATATATAAGCATACAGATCATTGGGATATGCTTAAAAAGGGATTAGAACCAGCTGACCAACAAATTGTAGACAGATTACGGAAATTGAAAGATGAAGAGTGTAACATTTCAGTGCCTACTATTGATGAGATAAAACAAAGACTAGCACTTTTGAAGGATCAAGATCCACAGGCCAGTGGAAGTAATGTAATAAATGTATGTATAAACAATGTATTATATAAAATTATATAAATTCTTATTGATTATTTTTTATAGATACATCAAGTAGATGTTAGAACTGATCAAGAGAAGGTGGATGATCTAATTCAGGAGTATCTCGCAGAAATCGAATTGCCTTCGACTAGTGATCTTTGTAAGGAAATTCAGATGAAAAGGAATTCCTCGGAGGATAATGAATTAGTCACCAAAATTTCAGCAATGGAAATAGAGGTATACATTTTTGAATGACTAATAATTGTATGCTTTTTTATTTCTTCAACATTATGTTTTACAGTTAACATAAATTTATTTTATCTGGAAATATATATTCTTGTATTTCTTTGAATAAACTTTAATAATGAATATTTATAAAATCAAAAAGAAAATAGCATAAAAGCCAACTTTATAATATAATATTTATAAGTTTGAATTCAGTAAAAAATGCTCATTTTGTTTTTAAATAAAATTTACAAAATGTTATATAGACTCCTCCAAACATGGAAGATGAGGATGAAAATGAGGATGAGGATGAAGATGAAAATGAAGATGAGATTGAAGATGAAGATGAAGATGAAGACAAGGATGAAGATAAAGATGAAGACGAGTATGAATCTAAAAATGAATGTTTAATATGTTCGCGAACTGCAGATGAACTAGACCTGTACAAATGCACAGGTTGTAAAGGCGATATTTACTGTTCTACGTGCTTTGAAAGTTTCCATGATGATTTTGAAATGGAAAAGCACAAAGCAATTCGCTTTGTCAAGGAAGATGAAAAAGATAAATTGTCTTCTGCAAAAATGAGCCTTATACAAAAATTATTAACATCAGATTCGCAGAAGAGTACCCATTAATAATAGTATTATGCAGAAAAAAATACTAAGTAGCATTTTGTGAACTTTTTTACATTATTTGTTGTGCATCTAATATTTTGCATATATAATACTATAATCTGTAAATATTTGTAACAAACGTAGAAAACAAATAATTTAAAAATTCCATTCGTTTAATGCAAATGATTTTTTGAAAACTGAAGGTATATATAGTCTCTCAAAATATGCTTTATTGCTTTTGGCTGTGTTATTCTGTAGTTACAGTAATTCTTATTTTACGAGTTCATATATTAGTTATACTATTAACTTTCTATTTTATACAACAGATATGAATAAATGCACGCATATATATGAATATAATATGGAGATAGGCATAAGTAATATAATGCAAATATTCAACATAGAAATTCTTCAATTTCTAATGTTCTAATTTTGCGGAATAAAGTTATTTTGGCTAATTATTTTATAAATTTTAAAATCTTCCAAGCTCATCATTCGGATGTTTAACTTTTATCTATAGTTTTTAAATCTAATTATCTTTTTTTAAATGAATATTTTTATATTTTATTATCATATATGAATATTTAAACACAAAAATGCCCAACATTCAATAATTAATAAAATTGATTAATTTAATTGCATGTATATAAAAATATATAAAAAATTTCGCATTTTAGAAATATTGAATTTAATCAAACAATGAACTTAATCGATAAGAATTAATTTGTGAAATAATACCAGCAGTTTATTTCTGTTAATATGAAATAGAATTATTTTTTCATATATTATATATTTATATCATTTATTTATATATTATATATTATTTATATATTATTTTTTCAAATATTTTTCATATTATTTATTTAATATATGTGATTATTAATATATGAGAGAAAGAAGAATTATACGACAATTTTCTACTGATCGACGGAATTCACATTTCAAATTCTCAAGTAGCCATTGTCTGATGTATCTAGACAATTTTTCCCTACAATCTGACAGATTGGCGATCCTGCCGCGATTCGGAACTTCGCCGTGAAACACGTATGCGGTCGTCGTATCGCATATTACAGGGTGAGCCAGAAATCGAGCGGTCTCCCCGGAGCAGCCTGTGCGGATCGTTTTGCCTCACTCATGCACTATTGAAGGAACGATCGGCGTCGACGAGCTCGACAAGCCGAAGCGACTCGCTCGCGCTCCTGTGGCGGTCGAGCATTTGACGGTCGACGTGACGTGACGGTTGCTCGTGACGTGACTCATTCCGTACGAGACGCATATACATACGTATACGCGCGTGATACATAGCGCTGCCGCGTCAAAGCAGCGAAAATACGAAAATCGCGAGTAGGATTCGCCGTCATAGGCACAGACGCAAACGTGTGTACGCGCGAGAGATTTCTGATGTGACAGCTGCATACGTGACACGTACATTCGACGTCGAGGAGATCGCACAAGCGTGTTTGTAAGCGCACGTTCGAATCGCGAACGAGACGCCCCGAACACCTCTCGGATCTCTTTGCATGGTGAGATTTTTTTTTTAGGTTAGAATCCTCGAAATTGTACATAAGTGCTCGCCCTCCTGTCGATCATCGATCGCACGTCATCGATCGCGATCCTCGCGTCGCGTCTCGAGGCGCATTCTCAATCTTCCAGGATCGCGAGGAGCCTCCTCCCCCTCTCTCCTTCTCTCTCGCTCTCATCTGATTCGGTCAGGTGATTCGACGACGAGCTCGATCGTCGCTCTTTGAGGTTAGAACGGACGACTTTTTCCTCTTTCTCTCGAGATTCGCTTCGCGTTTCTCGCGTGACAGTGTTATTCGTTGTGACTCGTTGTGAGATCGAGACGAGAAATTGAATCATCGAGCACGGATGACGTCCAGGGTGCACTGTATCGTAGTCGTTATACGAGTACGTGTAACTCTGACGTAGTCGGAATTTATAAAAATCTCAAAGGTAAACGACACAATTTGTCTCGTGTAATGTCATGCAGAGGAGTTGTCAATATTTGGTTCAACCATTCGTTCTTCATTGTTCAGTTGTATACTCCAGTTTCGTGAAATTCAAATTTTCTCTCAAGTCCATATAACTTCATTCTGCTTCTCATGTTGCATTTATAAACAACGATAGAAGTAATTTTTATCCTAATTGTATCCTAAATAACATACATATTTTGCATACAATTCTACAACAATGTATGTTCTAAATGTATTATGTCATCTATCTTTTAACACAATTGATGCAAATCTACAAATTACAATACGATTAAGAATGTCACATTTAAAATGTATTTATTTAGCGATTGATGTTACCAAGGTGTTCGTCACATAACGTAAACATTTCTTAAGGATGTTTCTCAGCAATGAAGAGTGATAAGGAATTTCTATCTTTTTGGATGTTTCATAAGCTGCATACATTATAAGAAAACATGCCTCTGTTTGGAAAGTCCCAGAAGAGTCCAGCGGAGGTGGTGAAGGCTCTCAAGGAGGCGGTAAATGCGTTGGAACGTGGCGACAAGAAGGTAGAGAAGGTACGTTGTTGCGGATACACGTCGGTTTCTACGATGAAATACATCCCCTTTTAGGCGCAAGAAGATGTGAGCAAGAATCTTGTACACATTAAAAACATGCTATACGGCACGGCTGAAACGGAACCCCAGGCGGACATTGTGGTGGCACAGTTGGCGCAAGAGTTGTACAACAGCAATCTGCTGCTTCTGCTTGTGCAAAATCTGAGTCGCATCGACTTCGAGGTACGCTCTTACATGTAAAACGATTTAATAAAAAAGTTATACGAGAATGATATTCTTTATTGCAAAGATAAGATTATTAATATATCACAATATTTGTGCAATTTTAAAATATTTCATAGATAGAAAATTTTATTAAAGCGAGATTAAATAATTAATGTTGTGTATTATCTATATATTAAATATTTAATAAAATAATGTTTATATTCATTTTACAAGATCCATGAATTGTTAATGAATATTACAACTCTTATCTCTCTTATTTTCATGATTAGGGAAAAAAGGATGTCGCGCAGGTCTTCAATAACATTCTGCGGAGGCAGATTGGAACTAGGTCACCCACGGTAGAATACATATGTACTAAACCTGAAATTCTTTTTACACTTATGTCTGGGTGAGTCCGTTTTCTTTGAATACTGGTAGAATATAATGGCATTATATATCTGCTAATGAATAAACTGTTTTGTAGCTACGAACACCAAGACATCGCGCTCAACTGTGGCACAATGTTGCGAGAATGCGCGAGATATGAGGCGTTGGCAAAAATTATGATCTATTCGGATGACTTTTACAACTTCTTCAGATACGTCGAAGTGTCTACATTTGATATCGCGTCTGATGCTTTCTCTACGTTTAAAGTACGTCGTAATACTCTATAACATGAGACAGGAAGCATATAAAATAATGTATATTTGAGAAATATTTTAATATTTCTTCTTTTTTTTTTACTAAATTTAATTAATTAATAATATAAAATAAATAAATAATAATATAATATAAATAATATAAATAATATAAAATTAATAATATTTAATCAAATGTATCTTTGAAATATGTTACTATTTTTTTCTTGTAATCAAATGATTTGTGATTGTTTATCCAGGAATTACTTACAAGGCACAAAATACTCAGCGCTGAATTTTTAGAGATACATTATGATAAAGTTTTCTCACATTATCAAAGGTTACTCAATTCAGAAAATTATGTAACACGACGACAAAGTTTAAAGTTGTTGGGCGAGTTATTACTCGATAGACACAATTTTACAGTAAGTATTAAAGAAATTTTTAAATATATTTTTAATAATAAATTTAATAATTTCTGCATTTACAAAAAATTAATTAAATACAAGATAATATATTTGCTTTCATAGATATTGACAATAGATTTATGTTTAAAAGATACATTTCAACATTCTTTATAATTCACATACATAAAATCAATAATGGAGATTAGAACATTTTACAAATTAAAGTAATAATTTACACAAACAAACATTCTCTAAAATAAAATTACAGTTACATTCAATTAAAATTATTATTAATAGAATAATAGAATAGTTAAATTATGTAATAGTCAAATTATTCAATCAATTAAAAATACTGTGCAATATAACTCTAAACAATAGCATATAATAAAAGAAAATATTTGGCAACATTTTGAATTATTTAATCTAAATGTTATAAAATTGGCTTTGAAATTAATTTTCTTACTATGTTGCAGGTCATGACACGATATATATCGAATCCAGATAATTTGAAGTTAATGATGAACATGCTGAAAGAGAAATCTCGCAATATACAGTTTGAAGCTTTCCACGTCTTCAAGGTATAATACTATTTGATACAGTCAAATTCAAATTTTTATTTAATTTTAAATTGATATTAAATTAAATCATTAATTCTTGATTAAGTATTTGTGTTCTTCTTGGACTTTTCAATGTAATACATCACAGAATAAGAAAATTCAAGTTTCTATAATTAGAAAATTCAAGTTTCAATAAATAGAAAAGAAACTATCTTATTTAAACAGGATGGAATAAGAAATTTATTGATGGTTCCATTGTATCCAGGTATTTGTAGCAAATCCCAACAAACCGAAACCCATTCTGGACATATTGCTCCGCAATCAGGAGAAGCTAATCGAGTTCCTGACGCGCTTCCACACGGATCGTTCCGAGGACGAACAGTTCAATGACGAGAAGGCGTATCTGATTAAGCAGATCAAAGAACTTAAGTCTGTACATGATAATTAAGTCAAGGAAATACAATTATTGCTACTGCTACGATTAACTATCACTACACTCATTATTACTATCGAGTCTACTGCTGCTGTTGCTAATTACGATTTTATCACTATTATATAGGCAGTTATAATTTATCATCATCACATCATTGTCATTTTCACCGTTATTACTACCATTACCATCGTCATCATCATCTCGGCATTATTATTATTATTATTATTATAATTATTATTATTATTATTATTATTATTATTATTATTATATTATTATTAATTTTATTTGTGAGTAGCACTGTAAATAAAGATTACATTTATCTCTTATTGTATCATATACACATCAAGTTGTCATCGTTCTACCACGTTTTTAATCGGTTATTAAAGCAGAAAGAAAACTTGATTGTCTTTATTTTTGCGATTTTAATTGCGAGATTTATGTTTATTAAAGTGGTTTTATTGTAATTAAAAATTAATTGAACTTTTTTATTATATATATAAAGGGAAAGCAACTTTTGAAATAATTGTTTCAAATATTATTTCTTTAGATTTTCATAGCATTTAATTTATTTTTGTGATTTGAATCTAATAAGAATCAGTCAACATTTAAAACGATATCATGGATATTACAATATAAAATCTCTCTCTAAGTTTGATTTTAATTTAACAAATTATTTTACCAACCTTTTTTATGAATTAATATCATTTAAATTCTTTTAACAATAGCTGCAACGGCGAAACTCATATTAGTGAATAAGCGTCGTTCTTGCGTATTGTCTCTAGACTCGCAACTGGGATATAGTTTCTCTATATCTTTTGATTTTTGAAATTTTGTCATTATATCATCTTTCAAAACCTTTTGTTGGATATTTTTCAGCCACCATTTTATTTGAGGACATGTCATCATGGCCTAAAAAAACATTGAAAAATGATATATTGGGGGAAAAATTAAATATTTAAAGATGTGTGTGATCATAAAAATAACAATATAAAGGCAATTATTAAGAATTAAAAAATCTGCAAAATTACAAAATTTAAGAATACAACAATATTAATGATACAAAATGAAAGGAATTACTTCAGTTTAATTTAGCAAAAATTTAAATAATAAAATTTAAATACCTTTAAATAATCTTCATTTTGGCTAAGTAGCCATATTAGCGTGGCACAATGTAGGAATACCTCCTTGTTTTTCAATGATCCATTCAGAAGCTTCACTAATGCCAATGCATACTTACTCTAATACATAATTAAGTTTTTTTAAATAACGCAATAAATATAGCAAGAAAGATATATTATTGATTTTCAAACTCACTTTGATGGTATATTTTCTTGTGTAGTCATGCTTCGTCAGAGTGATCAAGATGCTGCACGCCCGCAAACAGACCATCATCCATGGCAGTGATCTGTTGTTCTGCGCTATTGCATTGTATATATCATCGGTCAGATTCAGTTCGCATAGGATGATGCAAACGGTCGGTGATAATTTCGTTATAGCATCTATGATGAACATAAATAATTATTCACGTATCATTTTTATCAATTTGTATCAAATTCATCAAATTACTTAAAGAAATAATACAACATAAGTATAATGAAGCTAGAGTTTTAAATTGATTTTGGCTTTGTAATTAGAATTTCCGAAATAATTTCAAAGATTTAACTTATCGCGCAAACTTTTTTCTTTACTTTTCTGAAAAATTATTAGCAGAAAATATCTATCACATTATATTATTCTCTAAATAAGAAGTTCCTCAAATCTTATTTACCTAAGAGAGCCAAAGAAACGACTAACGTTCCAACATTGTTACAGTTACGTAAATTGTTGATTGTTTCTTTCCAGTAATCGCTGTCTGGGATCGCAAGCCCTGTGGGAACGTTCTGAATATCCTGCATAGCTTCTTCGCACTCGTTTCGAATCTTCATGGCGAAGTCCTCTTGTCGCTGTCGATAAAACTCTTCGTTTTCAATTTTTCTCTGCCTATAACGACGCTGCAGCATGATAGCTGTGCGACGTAGAGACAAGTAACGCAGTCTCTGGTGTTTGCCTATGATGTAGGCTCGCCAATAGGTCTGAATAATCAACGTGGCATACTTGATAGTCTTGTATTTTCGTTCTTCGATTTTCATTCTGTAATACGATTGAATGACTATCGCAGCCCGGCGCGAAGTGATGAACCATCTTCTCGTCGCTAAACCTCTCCAACGTGCCTGCAAGATGATAGCCGCTCGAGTGAGCAAATACTCTTTCTTCACGCCACGAGCGACTCTCATCGCACGCCATCTTCTTTGTATCTTCAACACGCACATCTTGTATCGTTTATATTTGCTCCTCTCTTTAATCATTCGCCACCAGGATTGCAAAGTAACGCATGACTTTTTTTTCGTTAAATATCGCTGCCGATCTGTACGAACTAGGACACGCCGACGCCAATGAATCTGCAGAAGGATGGTAGCTTTGCGAAGTTGCAGATATCTTTTACGTTCCTGGCGAGCTACCGTAACATTGCGCCACCAATTCTCTATTTGTATCGCGGAGTTTCTCATCTTCAGGTAATGTTGTCGAATAAGCTTCGCTGAATTAATACAACGATACCACGATTGTATCACCAAAACTGCTCGTCGTTGCTTCAGATAATGTCTCCTGGCTACTTTTGCCCGTCGATTCTTTTGCACAATCAATGCTGCTTTCCGTAATTGCAGGAATTGTATGCGTTGATGTCTTGTAAGATTGATTCCACGCCACCAGCGTTGCAACTTTATACAACAAGATTTTTGAAGCTTATATTTACGGGAGTACATTGTCATCTTCCACCATGTTTGTATCTTCAAACAGGCGACTTCTTGCCTGCGTATTTGATACTTTCTCCATGTTCTTTGAATAAGAATAGCATTCGCTCGATGCAGGAGGAATTTCTTTCTGTCGAGCACACTTATCCACCATCTCTCGATGTCTCGCACAGCAGTTTTTGTTTGTAGGAAATCATTTCGCGCTTTTCGCGCTAATAAACATCGTCTCCACCAAATTTGAATAATACGAGCGCTCTCTCTTCTGTGAAGAAACCATTCGCGCTGTTTGCGCGCGAGCTTCACGGATCTCCAGAAATATTGTATTTTTACGGTGGCATCTCTATACGCTAGATAATTGGAACGCTGTAATTTCATTGCCTGTATTGCTCTCCATCGCGTTTGTATCATCAACGCGGCGTTCCTGAGATTAAGATACTGATCTCGCTGTGTCCTCATCAACAACACGACTCTCCATCTCCTCTGCAATCGGATCGCCGCTTCGCGTCTATTCTTCAACTCTTGCAGCTTCTCCTTTCTGGTTTCTCGTACAAGCCTCCACCATTTCTGAAGACATATCGTGGCTCTTCTGACTTGCAAGTACCACTTGCGTTCCTCTAAATCACAGATAGTTTCGCGGGAGGATGGCGTCATCTTGCATCTCCATGCACGTTGGATTACGATCGCAGCAAGATTTCTGCGTGCGCGTAAAAAGTTTCTCACGCAAATATACCAAAGTTTCGCTCGCCACCATCTCTGGACCGTGCGAGCCGCTCGATCAAATCGTGGCGCCTGATATTTGTGAATAATTTGCCATAGAAGCGACAGAGTTTTCTCACAATGACCATCGGCGATGCTTTTCGCATCTATGTCGCCTTCAAGAATGTAACCGGCTTGGGATAAGGCGTTTAATGCCATGTCCACGTTGTATACCTTCTGCAGACGTGATATCGCCGGCACGCGGCAACGTTGGGTCAGTTTTCTAACACCGGTGATAAGCTCCATGATGCGGCATAATCGCACGCCATCGCGCAGATCACGTCGTATATCCGTCACCGCATAATTATATTCCTCAATGTAGGTTTGCCGATGGGTAAGTATATAGTTATGACTGCGCAACACTTTTGTCACATCACCGATGCCGCTCAGAAGTTCGCGCGAGAAACTCAGCAAGATCTCGCGACTCTCTTTATGCTGGGCGCGTTTGTGAAATAGGCATGGATCGTGACCGATCAATTTGTGTTGCTTCGCATAATCCAAAAAATATATTAGATATAAGAATTTTTTCAGGATAAATTGATTCAACTTTGTGACGATCTTTAAGCTAGGATCGGTCTTGTGGTAACCAGGCATCTTAATTAGTTGCGGATCCGAGAAGAATCTCGTTAATAGAAAGCGAGTCATACCAATAATATCATTGTTCGAACGAAGCGGGATGCTCTCATTGTAGACAGTTTCCAAGCCGATACGCAGCCATAGAGGATTATAATTCAGGAATAAAGCCAATATGAGTTTCTGCAAGCCTATTATCAAATCATTACTTTTTTTTTGCATTGAAAAGATGTAAGAGTTATGGATTCTTCTATTTAAAAAATTTTAAAATAAAAAAAGCTTAAAATAAAGAAAGCTACACTTGAATGGAAGATGAAAATCTCCAATTGATGTATGTGAGTACATAAGGAAAAGATTATTTAATTAACAAACCAATATCACGATGTAAATTACGATCCGATCTGACGCATAAAGCTCCTTTAACAATATACATGTTGATTCGAGAAAGAACTTGTGTGATTTCATTGTTGTTGAACATAGCACTTGCAGCTTTCCGTAGAGTGTTCAATCTAGTACTGGTGTGATATCTGAAAATAAAATAATCATTAAAGTTAAACATTAAGATGAACTTCTTTCAAATTTTTCATAATATTTTACCATAAACTTTTCTATGCTTGCGTTAAATATTAATAAAATATATACCTTGCAGAGACAGCTTCTTTAGTTTCAGCAAGTACAGTAGTTTTTTGTGCTTTGCATGATTGCCACACTTTGCCAATATCTGTTACAACAGTTTCAATGTCGACGGATAAATCCTCTGGCGAAGATAGCAGAGTATTTAACCATTTTGTAAATGCCAATTCTTGCTGCAATAGCCATTCCTCATCATAGTGTACTATGCTGTTATAATAGGATAAGCAACATGTTTAAACAATCATTAGAATAATTAATTTTTCAAACTAAAATTATAAATTTAATTAATTTACATTAACAAATATTATTAATTTGCAGTATATTTGCAGTATATTTTAAATATAAAAACATGAAACTTTTGTTAAAATATAATGAGACAAAAGAAAATGATGTATAAAAATTTAAATTATATATATATATATATTAATATAAATTAGATTTAGAATTCATAATATAATGTAATATAATGTAACATGAATATAAATATTAATGTAAATTATACTAGGGGATGTAACTTAACAAACTTTTTAAGAAATGGATCCTCTGTTGTTGATGGCGCAAAAGGATCTAATTCAAATGTTTCATAGATAAAAGATTCTTCATTTTGCATTCTGTAGCTTGATTCTCTAATAAATGAAGAGGTATGCCATTTTGTCTTATTCAGGCCAATGAGAGACTGCTTGTTTACTTTGATAACTGCTACATTTTTTGTATTTCTTTCTGTAATCATAATGCATAAATTAAAATTGTAAAACATTTAACATATAAGACATTTTCCTTAAAAGAAGAACTTACTTGCAACAGGTATATTTAGTTGTAACTTTTTTGTGTTTCCTTCGCACAAAGTTTTGTTCTTTGTGATTCTACCAGTTCTTGTGCCACTTAGTTTTGGTACTGATATATTATGGTACTGAGATATTTTAGAGTGCTTTTTCGGTGGAGAAATCTCAATGTACATGTCCCCTATCTCTTTAGCTACATCATTCTTGGGAATAATCTCAAAAGTGAAATATTCGCGATTGATTATTTGAATGCTCGGCTCTATCTTATGCTTCAAGCATTCGCTGGAATCTTTTGGCACATGTTGAGTAATCGGCGACATTTGGACATTCGATTCTATTTTTATCTTTCTATTATGTTCCAAGAATTCATTGGAATCTTTTGGAACATAATGTTGAGCGATCGGCGACGATGCAATTAAATCCTTAATATCAGTCATGAGAGAACATCCACTAGACTTAATTGGTGACAAATTGTGCAAGCATGCTGATTGCGATGATACTTTGAGAGTTTTTGTATCATGAGTTGTAGATGTTTCAAATAAATGATTCTGACTGATATTGAAGGTTCTATGCTTATTTGAGTTCTGCGAGAAACTTGTGGATTCTGCCAATTCTTCTTTCACTGCTTCTGGAGAACTCGAAATAATGTCTGCAGGTGTGAATGTAAATTTATTTAGCAATACAGAAATCTCAGAATGGACATTGTCATTGTCACAGGTATTTTTCACAGTTGTTTTTTTAATAATTCCATTGTGCTCATACAATATATTACTAGATCTTTTTTCCTTGACGTAAGTAACTCTACGTATGTCCTGTGGTTCGTTTGTAGAAAACACTTGTGGCAGAATACTTCCGTCACCCCATATATTCATGTTTTGCTCAAACATGATATTATCTGGCTCATCATGATTATAAATTTCATTGATTTTATTTTCATTTTCTCGTATCGCATAAGAAGTCTCTGATTGACCACATTTATTAAAGATATTCTCTTTGTTTACATCATTTAAATGTCTTAATTTATATTCTTTTGTTTGTGTATCAAGATTGGGAATCAAAGGCTGGCTAATAGTTGGAATTTTTAATATATTGTTTTGATAGAATTGTCTGCTTGTTGTTGATATAGAGATATTTGATGTCTTCATTAATGATAAAGATGATTTTGGCAATTTCTTTTTTGTCTTATAGCTTTTCTTATTATCTCTAGCAGTTGTTGCTATAACAATATCATATTTAATTCGCCTATTATCTGTAAACTGCAATACATCTCGCCAGCTTCCTGCTTCTTTTGGGGACCACTTGATACATATTGTGCCATTACTTTTTCCCTGAACTTCTAATTCAGACAAACTGAGAGTAATCCGACGTTCTGCAGCTGGTACTTTTGTTACGGTTACCTAAAATAAAATTATTAAAACATATAAAAATAAAAATACTTATGAGAATATATATGCATTAAAAAATTTATCTGCATATTTATTTGTATCATGCAAAAGGTCTTTAATTTCTCTCCAATCAGGAAAAATATATGCCCTTACATTTAATGTTTTGTCACCGGCATTTTTTATGTCTAAATAACACTCTGCACTCGTGTTTACGTTAGTCTCTAGTTCAATCCTTGTTGCTGGTTGAAATGGGGCAAGTAACATAACATAATGAGGCTCCATACTCGGTTTAGATTGTGATGCAGAATAGGATGGGCTCATTTTACTACATAATCCTTTGACAAACTACGATCACAGAGGAGATGCACAATTTAACTCGTAATAAACTTACAGATTATTTTATTTAAAAAAAGTGTTCGCGTGTTAGTACGACAAAAAAAAACACTTCTTGTGTTTTATCGCCAATCTTACATCGAACATTACACTACTTCAATTAGGAAAATTCATATCTTTCGAGATAAATTCACACTTCGAAGAACGAGAAAATAGTTCATTACAACGTGTACAGTAACGAATTTTGTCGATTTAAATTCGATTTGAACGGACTATTCGAGCAGGCCTATCAATCTCCAAATACAAATTATTACTAAATATTTTGGTAATTTTTCGATAGCATGAAAACTGCACGATTGACCAATCAGAAAGGCCCCGTGTTCAACTGGCCAATAGGCAATGACCGCATTCAGCGGACTCAACAGTTGGGCAACATTACTAGATTTTCCGATGTAACTCGACGCTGATTGGTCGGACCTAAAAGTAGAGACCAATCATATTCGATTGTTACTTAGCGGTTGAGTCCGCTGAATGCGGCCAATGTATCTCATTAACCGTCATTCAGACAGAGACCAATCATCTTTCGACGTAGCCAATCTTCCTAGAGATAAAGGGAGTTGATTGGCGGTCGCACGAGTATCTTATAGAATTTATTTAGCACGTGCCCTTTGTCAAAAAGTTAAGTTTAGCGTAAATAGAGGACAGTGCGGGGTTTCTCCAACCGCTCGCCATCAGTCTACTTTTAATTCCGCGTTTGTGTTGAACGCAGGATTGGTGTCGGCCAGTGTCCAGTGTCGGCACCGCGAACGACTCCAACGGCTCGAGTTCAGCTGATTCGGAACAAGCGTAGTGAGAGTATCACATCGTAGTGCAAGAATCATACCGTTGGACCTCGTTCGTTATATTTTAGCGTTAAGAGAAATCCGCCAGTTTGCCCGTCAAATGCGTTGATTACGGCGACGAAACTTCAAGCCGAGGGGCAATTTACAGGATTTTTTGGATAGGCTCGTAAGTATCTTGAAGTGCGCCAATTCTTATCGTGTCTCTGTACTTTGCTTTATCTCGTATCTCCGTTTATCCGACAGTTATTTCACGATTCGTACGTGATTCCAAAACTACGCGAATTGAAATCCTGAGAACCCAAAGATACGCGAGAATCGTTGACAACACTGCGTTTTCTGCTGGGAAATCGCAAGCAGCCCATCCTCGAACCATACGATGGCCGAATCCAGTGACTTGGATCGGCAAATCGAGCAGCTGAAGAAATGTGAAATTATCAAGGAGGCTGAAGTCAAAGCCCTGTGCGCCAAAGCACGAGAGATCCTCATCGAGGAGAGTAATGTACAGCGTGTCGACTCACCTGTAACAGTAACTATCTTCATTCTTTATAAAGAATAATTTAATATAAAGAATAATTTAATTGTCAAAGAGCTTGAGAGTTGTTAAGATTGATATAATGTGTTTTTTTTAGGTTTGTGGAGATATTCATGGACAGTTTTATGATTTAAAAGAATTATTCAAAGTAGGTGGAGATGTGCCAGAAACAAATTACCTTTTTATGGGAGATTTTGTGGACCGAGGTTTTTATAGTGTTGAAACATTTCTTCTTCTTCTTGCATTAAAGGTATGTAAAGATCTATATTTATTAAAGGTTATTTACATTTGAATAAAGTTGATTTACATTTGAACAAAGTTGATTTACATTTGAACAAAGTTGATTTACATTTGAACAAAATTGATTTACATTTGATTAGTGAATAAAAAAGAACACAAACTGCTCTTATTTTATTTAAATATATAAAGTATCAATATTTACTTTCTATATTTTCTATATTTTCTTTATGTATTTAATAAGAATCACTTGAAGATAATCAATTCTGATATGATCATTTTAAAGAGTTTAAGAAAAGATTATTATTTTCATATATGTATGCAAATTTATATCTTATCTGTTGCAGGTTCGCTATCCTGATAGAATTACACTGATAAGAGGAAATCATGAGTCACGACAGATAACACAGGTCTATGGTTTTTATGATGAGTGTTTACGCAAGTATGGCAGTATAACGGTGTGGCGGTATTGTACAGAGATATTTGATTATCTATCATTATCTGCTATCATCGATGGCAAAATTTTTTGCGTTCATGGTGGATTATCACCTAGTATTCAGACACTGGACCAAATCCGAACTATAGATAGAAAACAAGAAGTGAGCTCCATTTGTTATAATTCTTTTAATAACAAAAAACACAAACTATATATACTAATTATCTTTTTTGTTTTATCGTAAGTTTTAAATACCAAAAGCTAAATTATGTCTTATTGTTTCTAAGAAATTTATAAAATTTCTAATTTTTTATACTAATTAAAGTTAAATACTTTTTAATGCAGGTGCCTCATGATGGGCCAATGTGTGATTTGTTATGGTCGGATCCTGAAGATACTCAAGGCTGGGGTGTGTCACCACGTGGCGCTGGTTATCTTTTTGGCAGTGACGTAGTAGCGCAGTTCAACTCAGCCAATGACATTGACATGATATGTAGAGCACATCAGTTAGTGATGGAAGGTTACAAGTGGCATTTCAATGAGACTGTATTAACTGTCTGGTCTGCACCGAATTACTGTTACAGGCATGTAATATTTACACACATAATTCTTTTCTTCAATGGATCTTTTTATATTGAATATCATATATTATATTCAGGCTTTATCATCATTATAATAATTATACTTTTCCTATATACATTCTTTCAAATTTTCTCCTTATTTCTATTTAATTTTAATATTATCTTCATTTCTTGAATATTAAGATTATATCATATTTGAAACTTTAACATATTTTTATTTATATATAATTTATATATTTTTATATTTTTATATATTTCTATATATTTCTATATAATACATATACAAATGCATTATATATATATATTACACAAAAAATATCTAGATTTTTAAATTTTTTGAATAAAAATTTTTTTATAATTTTTTATAATTTTAAAAAACTTAAAAATTTTGCAGATGTGGTAATGTCGCTGCAATATTGGAACTAAACGAGCATCTGCAGAGAGATTTCACGATATTCGAAGCAGCACCCCAAGAAAGTCGCGGAATACCCAGCAAAAAGCCACAAGCAGATTACTTTTTATAAATGAGTTGTTGTTATAGAGTACAAAAAAAGAGCCAAATCGTGCATCGAATGACTTGATATTTGCTTCTTCTTTTCTCTCTTTTTCTCTCAGAACAATATGCATCAATCATGAAGAAGAACACACTAGATCGCTTGCTATAATTTTTTAATAAGATTTTCGTGATTATTTTGACTTATAATCGCATAAGTATTTGAATAGTACTATAACATATATATATATATAAGGAACCAATGTAAAATATAATAAAGTTCATCTCTTTCCTGATTTTTTAAATCTATGTGGTATGTTATCGCACACATTCAAATGTCTAAAAAAATCTTTAATTGTATGAGAGATATATAAAAAAGGTATATAAAATATTGAAATTTGACTTCAATAAATCTCATTAAATTGTTCACGAAATTAGCGTATTAATATCTCGATTGGGTCTGTCTTTTTAACTGCACTAGTTTGAAAGAAACAAATACTTTCTTTCACTCTAATTGTACTAGTGCAGCAGTGCAGCTAAAAAGAATAGGCCCATTATTATAATTTTATTTTTAAACTAAATTTGAATTTTTTTGTACTTTCAAGAAAGAAATTAAATCTTTCTCGCTTTTATTAATCATATTCATAGGTAATAAGTGTTACATGAGAGCTTTCCATTAAGAAATTCACTTATAAACGCGATAATGTCAAGCGATTGGCCGTCAAATGAAAAGTTTTCATAACTTAAAAAATTCTCTATATTCGATAGCCAATTATGTAACATTATCCCTATATTTTCTCGATAGAAACTTTTATAGATACGAAAAACTACCTAAAAATATTGGATTCTCACGCGATGGCCAATCGCATTCTTCGATTCGTCGACCAATGGCATTCGTCGATAGTTCAATCGCGCACCAATCACGCGCTCCGACGTTATCGCGTTGCTCGCCAATCGCGCGCCTCGGGTGCGATTTAGTTGATTTCAGGAACACGCCAATCGCGCGCAACCCCACCCATCGCGTCGTGACAAATGCAACTTTTACTTCCGGCTGCGTACACGGCCATCGCGCTTGGTTTCGTCGACCCGTTCTTCGCAGTTCGTCCTCACACCATTCGAGTGCTGATCGCTACGTAAATCTACGTCCTCTGCCCTACGATCGCCACCTGCGCTCCGCAGTTCTATATCATCCGAGGGGTCTCTTTTGTTTGTCGTATGTCCATCCAGAATCTCAACACATTCGGTGAGTGAAAAAAGAATAAACGGGTATTATCTCCCCTCCCCCACCTTCTCTCTCTCCCTCCCTCGCTCTCCTTTCTCTCTTTCTTTCTCGTGTCCCCTGCTACTCCCCCTCTTCATGTTCCGTTGTATCGTCCTTCGCGAACGAGGACGATAAAACGGCACTATCGGTGCCTCGGGGGGCTCCGAGGCGATCAAAATGGCGATGGCAGCGTTATTCGCGCGTTGCCCCTCTTGCATCATCCTGCGCAATCCGCTGCGGCCCCGCACGCAACTTTTATACCCCTCTCTCTTTCGCAGACCCCTTTGCAGATGCAATCAAGGGTTCAGACGATGACGTCCAGGACGGCCTCGTGCATATAAGGATTCAGCAGCGGAATGGTCGTAAAACCTTAACAACGGTGCAAGGACTCTCCTCGGAATATGACTTGAAGAAAATCGTGAGAGCATGTAAAAAGGTGAGCGAGCGACTTTCCCCCTGGAGATTTCCGCCGATCCTTTCTCCTATCCATCAACCTATCTACCCTCTCCACTTGTTTCCTCCTCTGTCATATACTGTGCCTCCCACTCTGTTCTATCTCCCACCATTACTCAGTCAGGCAGAACTCTAAAAATAGGTCTGATGCAAACAATTGCAAACAGTACATAGCAAATAGATATAGTTTTGCAAATTCCGTGAGAAAATAGCATTCGAATACATCTGCAAGTGATTTGACACATAGCAAGCGTATTCTTTGTTTCAATTTGAAATCAATGACTTGGCTTTTTATAGTTGCTTTGTTCATTGTTGAATGAATCATTAACATTTCATTATCGATATCTAATATTCCTTTTTCAACGTGTGTGATATTTCCTTATTTGATTTTTAATAAATGAAATGAAATAAAATAATGAAATAATAATGAAATAATTTTATTTTATATTAGAAATTATTTTCTATATTGTCAAATATGTTTCTATCTAATAATATTTATAATTATTGACAATAATTTATATAATTTTATATACATATATATATATATATATATATATATATATGTATGTATGTATTTATGTATGTATGTATGTATGTATGTATGTATGTATATATAAAATATACATTAGAAATATCTTAAGAAAAGATAACAAAATTTATAGATATAAAAAAATTATATATCTAAATGATATGATATGATTATATATCTAAATGATTTATAACATTACTATATATTTGTAATTGGGAAATATCCAAGCTACGTAATGTAGAAGTTATAATTAGTCATGGTTATCTCATGCTGATATCTGGAAAGTTTTAAATACACTGTTTTTAAAGATAAAGAACTTGACTGATTCCTTAAAAGCAATTAAATTTTGCAACTAGATAAAAACTGATAAATCCCTAGTCTGATTTATGATTATAATTTACTTACACAGGAGTTTGCCTGCAATGGGACAGTAATAGAGCACCCGGAGTACGGGGAGGTGCTGCAATTGCAGGGGGACCAACGAGAGAATATATGCCAGTGGCTGACAAAGTCAGGTCTGGCAAAACCTGACCAGCTGAAAGTCCATGGTTTTTAATCGACTAACAGCAACAACAACAATCATCATCCATGCCACAACTTACAACAGCAGACAGCTCCGCCCCTCGTCAGTGCTTCATCATCGTCTCAAATTGAATCTGTATATCAGTCACTAAACTCCTCGTGGGGATTATATTCTATTACACATCAGCATATAAATATAAATATATATAAATATATATTATATATATATATATATATACATATAACAATACACATACACACAACGCGCGCATATATATTTCAATAATAAAAAAAAAGAAAAAAACGAAAACATACGAAACGGAGAAGGAAGTAAACAAAAGAGAAGGTTAAAGAAAGAAGGAAAGGAGGAGATATAGCGAAGAAAGAGGGGATATATAGGTGTATAATCGGCGTATAGGCAATATATTCTACTCTAATCACAAAATCTTTTTCTCAAGATATAAAAGCAATACATCACACTGTAAGCCTTATGTTAAGTGATAGCAGCTGTTAAGGTAGGAATTTCCTGCCTTGCAGCAGCGGGCAGGACACACCTGATTTTGATAATCATCGTCGAGGAGGTAGAGGCATAGATGAACGAGCGGTGATTAGCAGTGCCGGATGGATGTTCGTTCTTGCGTTAGGTAGTATGTATCTGGGCGCGATAGACGTGTTCCGAGAAAGCAGCAAAGCGTAATCGTAGGATTCTCGATTGATTCTGCTCTTTCTCCTCACATCCACTCTTCTTCTCCGTATCCCTTCGTCTTGTAGCGAAAAAGCGATAAGAAATTTTCTTTTTTACATTTATATTCCGAAAATGAAAAGTGTTTCGTGCTTGTTTTTGATTGCGACGATTTGTTGAATATTTGTAGGACAGTTTTGGCTCTTCCTCTCGCGTAGGACATGTTCCGTGTCTCGTCTTCACTCTTGCTTTCCTTTTTTTTTAAGCCAGTAATTATTAAACGACGAATTGTTTTGAAATAATAACGAGAGTTAATGGAAATTTGTGGCTGTTCTAGATAAATAAATAAATAAATACATGAATGAGGTGTGACTTGACCGTGCTCCCCTTTTCCTCTGTCGCGTTTCAAAATTCAGTGAAATTAAAGTTGTTAATCTTATCAGTTAATGATTAAAAAATTGAGTCTTTAGTAATATATTTTTTATTATACATATATAAAAAATTGTATACAACAAGAATGTATTTCTTTTTATCAATTAATATAATATAAATAATTTTGTGTATTCTTGATAATAACGTGATATATAAGAATTCTATATAAAATATATATAAAGGTAGTAGTAATAGGCAGAAAAAGAAATTTTAATTCAATTAGGGAATTTTTCGATCCATCGTATCTCTATCACCACAAGTATACAAGTGTTCGTTAAATGCATGATGTAGTTGATCAAAAAAATCATTAGATAAGTTATCGTTGTTTATCGATTTTATTTGTGCTATGCTGGCTATAATCACACTTCATAGAATCATCATTTCTTCGAATTAATTGATCTCAAGCCACATTCAACAACGGATCTTAAAATATAGTAGTAATTATAAGAGATATATGTATATTTCTTTTGTATATATATAGTGTAACAAATATTTTGTTAATGATTCGAGGAATATGTAATATATAGAGTATACAAAATATGAATTTAGAGATAATTGTGGAAAAGTTAAAATATTCAATCAACTGTTATTATTTGCAACTGTTTATTCGAAGAAAATTGTACGCTTACTTTTCTTACAAGAATATAAAATTAAGAGGAATTTAGTTTGAATTTAAAGTTCCAGAAATAATAAAAACTTGAAAAGGGGTAAAATTTTTATCGCTTTCTATTTCTCTTCTCCTTTCAGAAATTTGAAAGAAAACTGGATTTATGTCGAGCTTTCGTAGTATCTTGATAAGAATATCTGAAGAAGAGAGATATATGTGTGTGTGTATGTGTGTGTGTAAATCAAGGAAAGAGAATTAAAATTAAAATACGCCTATTGTGTTTTTCTCACATTTTTTATTCATTTTCAAAAATGTAAGTGGTTCTGAAATTAATTTTCTATCGATGAAAACAAGTCAACATATAAATAAGAAAATCTTAAAATATTTTAATTAGAGACGAAAAGTAAAACTACGAAAGACGAGGGGGACTCCCTCTGGCTTCCTTTGTTCGATTTCGAAAAGTACTGAAAACGCGAAATTCCCGTCTCGAGACGGACTTCTCCCTTTTTTTTCTCACGTACATCACGACAGCCTCTCTTCGGGGAAACACCAATATATTCGTGGAATTTCGGCGAGATTCGAAAGTGACGCGCGGCGTCGGCGTTGGCGTCTGCGCCTGCGCGTCCCCACGTCGGCGGGGCTGCGCGCACGGCGCATCACCCGGGGGCCCAGAATGCACCGCGCGCCACGGCATGTGCCTTCCGCCATTTTGTAGTTTGCTCGAGAGACCGTGTTGAGTTCGATTCTTCCACCTCGGTAAGGAAACACCGTCGTGCGAAACGGCCGCGCGTTGATCCGCTCGGCGCGGTGGGCCGGAGGACGCACAAGGGCGGATCGTAAGGCGCGCGTCGCGCAGCGTCGCGAATTCGCGCGAGGAAACGTGCCAATCTCGCCGCCGCCTGTCTCGCCAGCCGTCGTACATATTTCGTCGCGCGCACGCGAGCGTGTGCGTGCGTGCGTGCATGCGTGCGTGCGTGCGAGCGAGCGAACGAGCGAGCGGGCGAGCGATCGGGCGAGCAACGATCGAGCCTTAGCTGGCTAGTCGATTGGCGAGGTTGAACGAACGTGAATCACGAGCGTACGAATTCGCGAATGCGCTCGCGACGCCCCGCGCGCACGACGACCTGAGAGCGAACAACCAAGTGTGCCTCGAGAGATTTTAGTCGAGAAACCGATCTGCACGAGGCCGTTTGAAAGAAAGAGAGAGAGGGAGAGAGAAAGAGAGAACGAGCGAGCAGGCAGGCAGGCAGGCAGGCACCTCGTAACGCTAGATTCAGGGCACATGGGATCATCCGGGCCCGTCTCGAGATGAACGGTGATTTCGGTAACGAACATCCATCCCATTCATCCAACGCAACATCATCATCATCATTATCGTCATTATCACCATCGTCATCATCATCATCATTATCATCCAAGTCGTCCAAGTTTTAACGGTCGAATATACGAGTGTAGTTTTGTCATCGCGCCGCTTCATCCTCCTTCGTCATCATCACCACTTCCTTATGTTGGTGTGTCTTTCCATTCCGCGTGTTAAATCGCGCCGCGCCAACACGTTGTCGTGATCGTCGTCGTCGTTGTCGTCCTCGTCGTCCTCGTCGTGGTCGTAGTCGTGGTCGTGGTCGTCGTAATCTTTGTCGTCGTCATTATCGTCATCATCCTCGTTGTCATTACCACGTTTGTCATTGTCATTGTCATCGTCGTGCTTGTCGTCGTCGTCGTCGTCGTGGTCGTCATTGTCGCTGTCGCTGTCGCGTCGGAGCCTCGTCGGAAGAATAGCGGCTCGTCGAGGTCGTGTCGTGTACCGACCGCGCTATATTTGGCCGATAACGCGCCGTGCGCTCCGCAACATATTGCGCGTCCTGCCGTGCGGGGTTCCTCGTCTGGCGCGCCGCGAGTCGCCCCGAGCGACCGTCGTCGTGGCACGCAGTCCGACACTCGATTGCCGACGTCCGTCCTGGCTCTTTACAGCGTGTGCGAGTCATCCTCGTGATAGCAGACGTCATTCCCGTTCGTAATCGCCGACGTAATCGTCCTCCCCGCGTCCGACTTATTCTCGGTCCTCTCGTTTCCTCGGCTTCCTCGACACCGCGAAAGCTCGCGCACGTCGTCGACGAGAGATCGGATACTTGTACTTTGCGGTTGTACTTTGAATGTGCAGTTGCGTCCAATTGTGCTGTGTAGACATACGGATTTCAATCGAATTATTCCACTGATGGTTGCGTTGCTCCGTTAAGGATTATTATTGTCGTTGTCATGATATCTTGTAAAAGTGAAGGCTGTATTAATATTGTACAGATGGAACATTGTAGTTTAAGCGCAAGTATACTGCTGGTCAAAGTACATATGTATGGTACAATTATGCCATGTGGCATTAATATTCTATAGATAAATGTTGGGTGTAGAAGGACCTCCTGTGGCACTTCTACTGGATACGATGTGAAATAGTTGCAATATTTCATGTATTTATATATAATTGATCCGAGAACCAGTTCATTTTGTATAGTCATGATTAAGCATTACTTGAGCAAATTGTTAAATTACAAGTAAAAGCATAAAAATGATGTTTCGTGTAAAAACTAGATATGAATTTTATGGATTCAGATTAGGTTAGAATGATAGAAATGTGCCATTTCTGGATTTCAATTGATTTGATCTATATGTTATTAATATGTAATGTCACTGAAGAAAAATGGACAAAACAAAATGTTTTGATCTTAATCTTATCTAAAAATAAATTGTTGCTTTACAGAATATTTAGTTATGTTAACAAGTTTTATCATTGTTACAGCAATAAATCACTTGTAACATATGTATGAACTTTGACGCATTAATAAGCAGAGATAAAGAAAGCGTTGCCAGAGTTATAAATGTTTTCTTTCCATTTGCAGGGTACGTTTACATGAATGGGGACATCGGGAAGCTGCCACCAGGGGCGGTCTACCCAGCCACCCCTGAACCTCTGGGTCTACAGGTTGCAGGAGCGATTGGCGGTGGAGTGCCTAATATAGATTACGGAGTCATGAACGGTGCACCAAGTGGTAGTGAACTGATTCTCGATACTGGTGTCGGCAGCCTGGAACCATCTCCCCAACACGCCATAGGCATGCACGGAAGCGCCATTGGATATAGCCCAGTGGACGTTGCTGCTTTGGCCGATGCTTCTGCTGCTCCGCCACCATCTGCACCAATGGCTGATCTAAATGTTCCCGGTATACCCTTGGAACAGCTCAAGCAGATGCTCTCTTCGCAACTCGAGTACTATTTTTCCAGGTAACAGAGTTTTTAACATTCTAAAGTGATCTATAAAATAATCTTGCAAATATATTTGCATTAATTATAAAAGATTTTCTTTTGACATCAAACGTAATTTCTCAGAAACCAACTTTTCATTGCATATACATATAATATGCTTATTATATATTATGATTTTAATGATTTATGTACAAGAAGTTATTACTAACCTAAAACTTTAAAGTAACATCTGTTAGCTAAATTCTTGGTTAAATAGAAAGGGGAAAAAAAATTTATTAGAAATTTAATTATCTTGAGATAATCTTTCATATATACTGATATATAAATGTATATTGATTTGTCAAGTAATATTGCAATCGAAAAAATTAATTTTTTAGAATTATTTTGTATGTGTACGATAGTTATTTGCTTAGAAATTAGAGCAAAAGTTCGAGCTAACAAATATATAGGCATATAGGCATATAATTTTCAGCATATACTTAATCATTATATGTGAAAATATTTTTTAAGATATTTTTGTCACAAAGTGTCATTGTCATCGCAAGTAATATTCAAATTATATAACCACATGCATATGTAAAAGTATAATGTAACAAGATGTATGATAACGCGAACCGACAATGATAACGCGATTTGTCTTTTTAGGGAGAATTTAGCCAACGATACCTATTTGCTGTCCCAAATGGATAATGATCAGTATGTACCGATATGGACAGTAGCAAATTTTAATCAAGTCAAGAAACTGACGAAAGATATCAAGCTCATAACTGAGGTGCTGAGAGAGTCTCCCAATGTACAAGTGGACGAAGAGGGACAGAAAGTGAGACCCAATCACAAACGATGTATCGTGATACTTCGTGAAATACCAGAGAGTACTCCATTGGAGGATGTAAAGGTAAGCCAGCTGTTATTTTAGAATCATCGCGAAAAAAAAAGGAAATTAAGAATAAACTTAATTCTAACACATGTTGATTTTCATTGCAGAATTTATTTTCCGGAGAGGGATGTCCGAGGCTTATTTCGTGCGAGTTTGCTCATAATAGTTCGTGGTACGTGACATTTGAATCCGACGACGATGCTCAAAAGGCCTATCGGTTTTTACGCGAGGAAGTTCGAGAATTTCAGGTAAATTGTTTTATGTAACAGTTTTACATAATTATGTAACCAAAGCTTATATAATTTTATCTGAATATAATTGTCAACAAAGTGTGAAATACATGTTTTTAATGATGATGCAATCAGTGATTTTCATAATCTATTTAGTCTATAATTGAAAATCTGTAATTATATATAATTATATAGATACAAATTTATATATTTTTACTTTGATTTTTTTGAACCTAGGGAAAGCCAATAATGGCGAGAATTAAAGCTAAACCAATGAACAGGCTACCGATACCAACGGTGCCTGGTGTAGGTGGCATAAAGAATGGCTACAGAACTCCACCCCCTACTGTCTACGATCCAAGCAGTTACACGGCTGGACAGCAACGTTTTCTCTATACCAATGGCACGACCATGCCTCAAACGACTATGCCGGCATACCCGAACCAAGTTGTTTACGTAAGTATACAATTTTAAGTTTTTTATGCTAATAATTTTAAATAGACTTTTACAAATCAATTAAAAATATTTTCGTCTGTTTATCTTTTAGCAACCATTCTATCACGGTATGATGCCTTGGGCAACCACCAGTCCCGCTTATTTCGATATGTCCAGTGTTTTTACGATGAACGGGATGACACCGCACAACACGTATACTCGTTCAAACACAAGATACAATCCTCGCCACAGGTACGCTGCTTAATGTCCGATTTACAATTCAATCATTTTATCGAATATATTTTTAAAAAAATATTTTAATGTCTAAATTTCTTTTTCCTTTTTTTTTACTACATAGACATAGACAGAGAAATGGCTCTGATAGAAGTTGCTTGATTGATCCCGCCAATCCCAGTAACAATAGCAACAACCATCATCATCATCACCACCATCACCACCACCATCATCAGCCGTCGTCCATGCCGCCGCTGAGTAATCGTAGCTCTCATCCCCCTATGACCGGGGGCGGCGGCAATGTGTCTCTAAACTCCACGTCCACTTATCACGCTTCGAGCCTACCTTCCTCGAAGCCGCCCTCCTCGTCGTCCTCCTCTTCCTACCAGTCCGGCACAAAGTTCCATTCCTCATCGTCTGCCGTGTCGTCCGTCGAGCACGCGAAGGGATCGTCTTCTTCCTCGTCATCCTCCGCGCAAGACCAGGATACAGCAACGGCGACAGTCGAATCCTCCTCCTCCTCCTCCACCTCCTTATCCTCGGCGCCTTCGTTTCCCCGCCACCGTAACCATCGCAGGACCAAAGATCAGGACACGAAAGTAGCTGCAGGAAATAATCACTCGCTACCAGCGATCAAGGAATCTTTGCCGGCAAGCGGAGGTAGCAACAGCAGCAACTGTGTCAGCGGTGGTGGCCGCAGTAGCGGCGTACAGTTCGATCTTGAAGCGGCTGCTTTCCCGCCCCTGCCCGGTCTTGACGCTGATCACGGCAAAGTATCGACTGATATCGGCGGTAGTGGTACTGGGACCGTCGAGTCCTCGTCGCAAAATAGATTGTCCGATGTCGTGAAAGGCACCGCTAAGCTCAAGGCAGTCATCAAGGATAAAGAAAGTGGCAACCAGCAACAATCTTCTCAACTGCAACAGCAGCAAACCGTAGCACCTCCGCAGCCAGCGATCGCGGCTATCGCCAGTAGGTCCACTAGTCCTGGAGCGAATGCCGGAGCGGAAACACAAGGAAACGCAGTGGGAAATGCTGCGTCGACGAATTCTTCAGGCGCCGCGCATATCCTTAATCCGCCAACGGTCAACAACGAGAATACGTCATCGGTCGACACAGCCGCCGCCGTGCTCAGCACTGTCATCGCGCTCACTCCCCCGTCATCTCCTGATAAGTGAGTGGGATTTTTAATTATACGCTCGCTCGGTGTAAAGATGTTTCGGGCAGTTGCGGAGAGTTGCGTTGGTTCGCGAATTGACTTGCGTTGAATCGAACGACGAACTGGTTGCCAATCTACATTGGAGATGTGTTATGATTTTTAGAAGAAGAGAGAGGTCCTCCGATGGATCTCCACACACACATCTTTATCCGATGAAGTAATATATATAGTATAGTTCGACGTGAAGTGTGGAAATGTTTCGGACAAATCTCTTTTTTCGTTAGATTCTTCAACGATGTTACCATCCTTTATTCATTCGGTATGTACGTATGCGTACAAGAGAGCCAAGAAGCTTTGGTAGAATTCATTTTTTTCTTTTTTAAGTAAATTTTAGTTCTCAATTGCGAAAAAACGGCTGTTTTGTTTCAAAGTACGACGAAACTTTCCGCTCTCCCAATACATGTACATATATGTATATGCGCGCTACCGCGCAGACAGAGAGAGAGAGAGAGAGAGAGAGAGAAAAAGAGAAGTTAAAAAAGTTTTTGGTCCTGGAATCGTTAATTTTTATAGGACCGTTTTAGTTTAATTTTATATTCGTAAATATTTTAGTTTTATCTCTTTTTAAACTGAATTTTTCACTTGTTGCTTCTAATAACTTTTCTTTGAAAAATATTTACGTGGTCAAAAATAAAGAAAAATGAAAACGAAATTTCGCGCATTACAAATTAGTGAATTGTATTACTATATTGTCAAATTCTTGTTTGTTTTTTTATTTTTATTTTTTTTTTATTTTTTTATAGATTCTTAAAATCATGTTACTTGAAATTTTGATAAGATGATAAAATAATCGTGCAAAAATTTTGCTTAATCATAAAAAAAGGTTTCATTTATATTTTGCTGACTAAACAAGTATATTTTTTTCCCTTTACGCGATCGAAAATTGACTTTCTATTATATTTTAATCCTGTACATTTATGTTATGACAGTTAGTACTTTGCTTTTTGCGAGAAGGATATATGTACAGTATCATATATATATATATATATATATATATATATATATATATATATATATACATACATACATACATACATACATACATACATACATACATACATACATACATACATACATACATACATACATACATACATATATATATATATATACATACATACATACATACATATATATATCATACACACACACACACGCACGCACGCACGCACATATATATATATATATATATATATATATATATATATATATATGATATATATATTATGTTTGTATCTAATTACATTATTATTAATTGATATCTGATGGTACAGAAACCAGATGCGCGAGTCACATGGGATCATATAATATAGATTTCATTTATGAGAGATTAAGCTAGGGTTCTCTCTCTGTTAGGGTTCCCTGAAATGCCTGTGTTATCGGATTTTTATATCCTTGGATCAGAGTGGACCGTTGTATCCTTGGATCTTCCAATTCTCCTCATTTGATTCTTCTACATATCTCGAATTCTTCCATCCCGAACTGCTCTTTTTTGTATCTTTGGATCTTTAGACTTTTCAAAAATCCTTAATTTTTTACTTAGAGAGATTCATTGATACGATAAAAAGATGCAAAAGAAGTGTTAAAAAAAATCTAAAGATCCAAGGATATGCATTGCGATGTCCATACGAACTTTATGTAGGACTCCCTTGTAAAATGGGGTATCATAATACATATATGCCTTGAGGAATGCCGAATTGTGTTTCATTGTTGTTATTGTGTTATTGTTGGCTGCATTATGTGCTATGTTGTTCTGTAGAGAGTGATGGATACACGTTTCCTCCTTCAAACCGATCCTTCCCGATCTGAGGTATCGATCGGGCCCGATCGATCGCATGCCGTCGATCGATCTGTTACCTGGAAGGAAGAGGGAGAGATCTTTTCCTTTTTTTTGTCGAAAAAATATAAAAGGTCGAAGCTTTCTTTTTCCATCGCCATAGTTAATCTCGAGTTAAAAGAACGTTACTAACCGTTAATACCTTTCGAGTTACCGGAGTAGTCTTATCCGCCTGCATTCTCGCTACTTTTTATTTTCAATAAATGCGTATATTTTATTATGGGAAAATTATTCGCAATTGGAGAGATAGCCAAGGATTTAAGTGTAAATACGACTCGAGATTCAAGATTGCGGATATTTTAATCCCGTGTAGATTTTCCAAGTTTTTGAGACTCGGTATTATCTTTTTCGATTGTCCTGTTTAAGAGAATATTGGAACAAATATATTTTTATCAAGATTTCTTTCGGATTCTCTCGAAAGATTTTTGAATCTTAGAGTTGCTAGATCTTTGGCGATCCTCTCATCTTATCATTTATATTTAGTTGATAAATAAATTAATTATATATATACAGAATTGTTACGATTTGCCATCTTTCTCTTATCGATACTTCGATACGTTCGTTATCGTGCCTTTCTGAGATTCTGTTTCTAGAAACCTTTTATTTTTTATTCGTATATAAGGGCTTTAAATATTGTCTTTTTTCCGTAAGTATTCTATAAGCATGCTGTATAAATTCGGTATGTAAATAAGGGTTTAAGTTTGCGGTATCATGGATTCTTTTAGATGCTTAGTTCTTGAAAGCGCGTAGATTCTTTCATTCCTGGATCATTGAATATATGCGCTAAATATTTTCAATTCTTCCGGATAGACTCTGCTGTCATTGAGTCATCTGCATATTCGAGCCTTGGATTTAATAGATTATTTTACGTGTCAATTATTAGATAAATATTGAAATTTGAATACCTTTAGCGTATTTAGAATTCTTGGTTGTCGTTGACATGTATTTATTTTCTTATATTTTGCATTTTTATTCGCAAAAAAAATTCTTTTCTCGCGAATTACATTTTTAAAACCTTCAAAATCAAAGGATTTAAAATTTTTGAATTTTTTTTAAGGACTTGAACAACAAAACTGAAAATGCTTAAGGACTTTTTAACAATTCCGGAGTGTGTGTCTAAGTCAGGTCATATATACCCAAAGTTTTCTCTAATAATATTTAATCCAAGGGCTCGCGAAAATCGAAGGATTCAAGCATATCAATGATCAAAGGATTTAAGAAATCTATTTCTTTCGATACGAGTGCAGCACGCCGCATACCTTCGATTGAAATTAGCATTAAACCGCTATTGCTACAGCGCACTAGAACGCTATACGTGTGCGGGAATGTATGCGGTATCATTTATGGTATGATAATTCTCTTCTTCTTGTGTGCCTGTACTTTTCTTGCGGCAAATAAACAAAAAGTTAAATAAGGATATGATAAACAATATTATTTTTCAGGGTTTTTCTTTTTTTCTAGTATATTATGATTATTATTTGATCATTATATTATTGCTCTATTGTCATTCTTTTTATTATTACAAATTTTTAATATTATTAAGATATAACTATTATATTAATTATTGTTCGGTTTCAAGTTACTCTTAAAGGCATTTTGATGATGAAGTTTCTCTAGTTCATAATTCTAACGTTATTAGTTAAGTTGTAATTCTCGTAACGTGATTTTGCAAAATAAATATAAAGAGAAGAAACGAGAAAATACACACACGGCCTGAGCATGGCACTTTGATCGACCTTTGGTAATGACTATAGTTGCATTGTCAGCGATGAACTAGAAATTAATAAACAATGTGTATACTGATGTTTGTTAATCGTGTCTTGCGATATTGCAACAATCCTTCTTTTTTGCGTATCCCTCGATCATTGCAGGCGATTCTCGCGAGATAAATTTTCATTTCTTGTTAAATCATATAAATAATAATAATACAATCATGTTTTTCCCTAATATCTCTTCTATGCTTGGTCTAATGTTCGATTTTTTGGATAGTTAAAGCAACACTTAAATTTCCTTATAATTTAAAATGTCAATTCAAGCTTTTTCATAGCTTGCTCAAGTTCCCGAAATTCTTTCGAGTGATTCACTGGCTCGAGAATCGCCTACACGAAATTTAGTCTCCTCATTGTGCATGAACGAAGTTGATATGCGATACGGGATTAACAGTTACTAGCGTGCGTTTAGTATGTGATGGTGCACGTAATATAGTTCGCATTATGTAGCAGATTAATACCGATTCTTTAAAAAAAGAATATCGCATTTTCATATAAAAATCAACTCTACTTTCTGTATAAATTTTGTACAATTACGCACGCATGCTCTTTCACATCTGTCGACGTGTCCAAAGATCTAAAGGATATAAAAATTTAAGAACCTCGCGATCTCGAAAAAGAGAGAAGCCAGGATACCTAAAGTACTCAAGGATATATATTCCCGAAGATTTTTAAAATATTTCATTCTCGTATTCTCAAGAGGACGTTAAAAGACGTATGGGAATATCTATTCCTGAGAACCCAAAGTGTCCGAGAGGATATCTAAAGAGATGTCTCATAAAAGACGCTCAGGATAGCTAGCAGTAAGCATGTGTTGGTCCTTTATTACTGACAATGCACATGCCGCTAACAGATCTATAAAGACTGACGACTTGAACATGGTGAACGGTATGGACGACGCTGTAGTCGCGAACACGCACCTGCCAGCGGCGGCGACGATAACGACGGCTACGACGACCACGACGACGACGGCGGCAGCAACGGCGACGATGGACGATGCCGAGCCGATGACCAGGTGCGATTGCAACAATATTGTCGTCGTCCCTCCTCCTACTGCCTCACAGAGCTCTCAATCGCAGACTGGAGTGGCCTCTGCCTTCCCTATAGTAAGTATCACTCTGTTTCCGAGAGAAGAGTCTCCCTTTCATTTAGAGCAAGAATTTCAGATCTTTGTATATAATCTTCAAGAATTTTATTATCAAATGTTCCAGCACATTATACAGGGTGTATCTTAAAAAGCTCCCACTAAGCAAATAGCGTTATTCCTGATTAAACACCGAGTCGAAAAGTCCTGAACCATTTTTTTCCATAATGCTTAATAAAGCAATAATTAATGAGTAAAGTCGCGCCAACAAAAAGACCAACTTCCTCGTTATCAACATATGAAGATTTGGATAAGCAAAAAAGTAAACTGTTTTGTATTAATTTTTAAACGATTCATCTTTTCAGAAATCTTTTTAATACTTAAATCTGATTAATTATTTAATGAATCTTGGAAAAAAAATGGTTCAGGACTTTTCGACTCGGTTTTTAATCAGGAATAACGCTATTTGCTTAGTGGGAGCTTTTTAAGATACACCCTATATAATGTGCTGGAACATTTGATAATAAAATTTGAGAAGCCAAATATAAAGTGGATAAAGATTAACGTTTTAAGAAAGCATGTAAATGTTTAAGAAATATAAGGACACATTATTATATCTAAAAATCTATGGAAGTGAATATTGAACTGTTTGTAAAGACTTTTAAGGTATAAACAGTAATCATTGGATGCTTGTGTAGATGTAACGTTTCTATACATCAAATCCTGTCTTAAAATATATACTTGAGAGACTTTGCATTACATTTATTTTCTTATACACTTCAGAACAATGAATATTCTTAAATTCCACAATTTAATAAATATTTTATATTAACAGTTCATAAAAATATTTGGTTCATAACAGGATCTAACGAGGCCAAGCTATGCCCAAGTAGCGCAACATTGCCGTGAACTACCTTGTACAAAACACAAAACAGATGAGAGGGATAGAAATGTTTAAAAGCTGCACGTGAGTATTCAAACAATTTTAATATAAACTCCTTTCTTTTAAAGAAGTTATATACGGAGGAAAAGTGCTGAGAAGTTTAATATTATATTTATACATTGAAGGAGAATAAATCGATTGTACTAAAATGTCAAAGAATTTTCGAAGGAAAAGAAGAATAGTCAAATGAAATGCTGGCGTATCTTGCCATCAAAATATCAAACTTTTCAGCAAACCTTCGTGTGTATAACAGTCTCCTTTTTAAGATGTAAAATTTTTCATTGCTGTCGGATATTGTCAGAACGTTAAAGCATGATCTGGATCTTCGGATTTTTGAAAATCCTTCCCAGGCATTCACAGATATCTTCCCTTCGCGATCCATTCATGAACCGATCCTCGAATCGATGTAAGATAATCGGCCGAAAGTGTCGAAAGTTCGTTTCTTCATTAAAGAAAGAAAAAAAGATCCATCTACAAGATATCTTCTGTTCTCTTATGTACCGTGAAGGTGACGGAAGAGAGGAAGACACATGTAAACGGCGAAAGCAGCTTAGATATTGCGAAGCAAGACGTCAAAATCTACAGATTACCACACACGCGCAACAACAGGATAAATAAACGATATTTAGCTATGCTACGACGTCATCGCCATTTTCTCGGGGTCGGGATCGAGAATCAGGATATCGGAGCTCGCCGCTGCTTTCACCTACCTATCTACCTATCTATCCCCCCAGCACACCCCCTCTCTTGGATCGACGCCGTCACGTGCTGCAGGCGCGTGAGGAAGAGAGAACTTTTTACATTGTACAGTGACGTCTCGCCTACGATCAACGATCGATCGATTGACGAATCGAAGAAAGAAAGAGAGAAAGAATGAAAGAAAGAGAGAGAGAGAGAGAGATAGTGTGTGTGAACGTGTGTGAGATTCGCCGCACGTTATTAAAGCGGCGCATTTGCAGGCGCTACTATTATACAGGGTGATCGGAGAGTCCCGCGGGACAAATTTGTCGCCGCGGTTTAATGATGTTAATTGGATATTCGCAAGTTGACATAATTGTTTTATTCGCTTTATGCAATTCGTGAGATGCAATTGATTTGATTTGTAATTTATTCCTGACTGTAGGACGCGAGAAGATTTTAAGAGCTTGAAAATCTAAGCGTTAAGATTTAAGAACCTGATGATTTAGGCATCCATGTTGAGACAGAGAAAACAGAGAGAATAAAGTCGTTCGGCAATTAAAGTCAGGAGAATGGGGTGCCATGTGAATTGATGAAAGAACTTTTTATTAAGAGCCCGGTGAGGCAACTATTTTTCGGAGATCGAAAAATTTAAGAAATTTAAAAGTTAGAGATTTTACAGGAAAGGTGGAAATTTAAGAAGTTAATGAATGAAAAAAAATTGATGATTTAAACATTTATCAATTTGTAAGTCTTTACGAGTTTCGGGTAGACCGAGGTTTTGAGTATATCTAATGTTTAATAAGATTTAGTTTTAAGACTTCGTTAGTAATTGGTAAGTTAAGGACTCTTAATTATAACGAGTATATATACACATATAGGTCTAAAAAAAAGAAACTTACGAATCTAAAAAATCTAATAAACAAAATATATATATACATATATATATATATATATACATAATCGAGAGAGAGAAATGTACTTCGGAAAAAACGCACGCGTCATTAAACGAAGTACCATTTTTTTTAAGTGCTAAATTTTTCTTTCGGCTGCACCAACCGTACGGCTGCGCGGCTTCCCGATCACCCGGTACATTTGCGTAAGAGAAGAGTATTGTTGTATATCGTTTTTGGTTCTGTGATTGAGGTAAATATTTGTTAGCTTGTATAAAAACGCGTTAAAGAGATAAGATACATTAACTTTTAAAGAACCCCCTTCCCCCGCCCCTCCTTCGCGCGCGCAGGGCCGTAATATTATAACCAGAGAGAAAACATGTCTATATAGATATATATATAATACATATATATATTTGTGCCAAAAACACATACATTGCTTGACGAAATCTCCCGATGTGCAACGAATTGGACGCCGAAGTCAGTACTGAATAGAGATTCTCGCCAAGTAGAAAGCGCGGTAGAATCCCTTCGATAAAAATTCTTCTCTCTTCCACGCCCCAATTCTTAATGAAAAAAAAGAAAATTATTAATAAGAGGAAAAGATTGTATGATTTTATATGCGAGATTATGAATGATTTAAGACGATAGCGATGACAAAGAATGATGATGATGATGACAAGGAGGAGGTGAGGGAGGAGGATAGTCGAGAAGCACACATAAATTCGTATTTTATGCGGATAACGTATGTAGGAAATTGTCGCAAAGGAAATTAGCGGTAATATCGAATCGGCAAAACTAGGATAAAAATCGAGTCCATAATTGAGGAATGATCTTAGAAAATATTATGAATTTTACAAACAAAACTACTTTTTAAAAACATAATAGTTTGTGTTTAAGAAAATGTTATTACAATTATAATATACAATGTATAGAGTTTCTCTTATATAAGACACGCGAAAAATGTTTGTGTGATGGAAAGAATTGAAAAAATTTATATGAAATTCTATACAAAAAATGTGTATTATAATGAAGTCTCGTGATATACAATCAAAGTGAATATTTTACAGAATTGAACATAAATCTATTCTCATCCATATACTCAGTTTGTTAGACAAATCTTTATTTATAGATCCTAATCATTCCTCAATTCGCGAAATTCATTTTAGATATCTAATGTTTGAATTGGAACTAAATTCACATTCGATATTATCGAATTCTTCAATTCCTGATCTTTTGGAGTTTTGAGATTTTTCGAAAGACCTGCCCGAGAATTTTCCAAGTTTTGCACTTCGAAGCTACGTCTTATGGTTACCCATCTCGAAATTTTTCACAATTTTATCTCGACTTGATTTCCGGCGTTTTCTCGCCTATTCCGAATAAAACGAATCTCTAGAAGACTTCCTCCTAATTATTCTGAAATATTTTTTTGACTTGTGCGTTGTTTCAAGAAGTAATTGAACATTCACATACTCCCTATTTGATTTCTTTTTTTCTTATTTTTTATTTTTGATTTTCAATTACCTAATTTGTTCAAACAACGCAAATTTCTGTCCCAATTCTTAGGCATTATTCCGGGAGATGAGCAAATCTATTTTTTACTTTCTATAAGCTCCCATCGCAATTCCATCCCAATTTTCTTAATTTTAATCTTCAAGTCCAGTGGTTCTTCTTTACTCTTCCGCCGTCTCGTTCGTCGCAGTTGCTCCCATGCTCTCACGAACGAGCGTTGTTCACCATGGTGGTCAATGGTCAATTCCGTCGATTCCGGAGACCACCATAAGCATCGCGTGGCAACTTCCGGTTTTGCATCAAACTCAATTCCCTTTTTTTTAACTAAGCGCTTATTTATGCTCTTCGCCGCGATCAAATCTTATTCTTTCTACTTGACCTTCTGACTATGAGGTGTGTTGAGACATTTAAGAATTTTAGGGTCATGCTTCTATTATCGGCAAGGAGAGAGAATGAAAAAAATAGAATGTGCGCGAGAGAACATACTAATTCGGAGTAGCTAGTGTTGCGAGAATCGGGATGACTAATTGAGCACGCATTTAAGTGCCTCAAAGTATGGTGTACATTATTGATTATCGATTACCACTATTCTAATATTAATTAATAGTACTATTGATTGCTATTATATACTATTATCTCATCATTATTTTATTATTATTATTATTATTATTATTATTATTATTATTATTATTATAAGAAACAGGAGCTTTTGGCTTTAGGTGTTACGATGATGCGTATGTATCTACACATACAACACACATTGTATTGAGAGTAAATAAAATGAGAGAAAAAGTGCGAGAGAGAGAAAGAGAGAAAAGATTACTGTTTACAGGAGATCGATTTTTCGTCTTTTTTTGTTTTCATATATTTTTTATTACATTTACGAATGCGATGGAAAAGATAAGAAAAGAAGGGTGAAAAATCGATCTCTTGCCAACAGGATAATACGTCGATGTGTATACTGCTATATTTTGAACTTATGATGCTGCCGTTTCATTTATCTATTGATATACATACACATATAGGGCGTTTCAAAATAGGATTGCAAAATAGGATCAGCTGTTTTTGTTAATATATTGAGTTGAATAAATCAAATAAACGACATGTCGGACAAATAGACTCTCAGAGAATCGTATATCGCGCTGGAAAGACTTTCCTTCTGGATTCTTGCGATTTTTCATGAGATCAACGAACTTGAGTCTGCACCTTGGACATCTTGAATATTCAGATTAACTCTTTTGAGAATTTTTTCGTACTTTTTATTTTTAAATGTTAAAAAACTCTCGGGTTTTATCTGAGAATATTTGAGATACAATAATTCATAAATAATGACTGTGAAAGAGCTGAAAGAAATTCTAACATTTTCTACTTTCGTAATAGAATGTAATGTGTATAAGAATTGTAGAAGTCTTGATTCAATAATTTGAACATGTTTCATCGCACAGAAATGTTCCTAAATCATAAGAAACCGGGCAAGATGCCGGGAAGATTCTTTGCGCGTGATTCTCTGAAAATGACATATTGACACATTGTAATTCTCGTCCGTTGCGTTTCTCCGCAAGAGAAAATATCCCGGCCGGTAGTTTCCAATGAAACTTCCTCGTACATCCGGAAACAAGTACAACGGATGCGTATCCGGGATGTCAGAGAATGATCGATCGTCGATCGAAGCGGAAGCTTAGCGGACTTAGAGCGATGTGGTTCTTTTTAATTCGCACATGAGGTGCTCCAGAGGCGAGTCCTACAGCGCGTTTCGTTAATAATACAATACGAAACGATACACACATACGCACATACAGATATATACATACATACATATACACATACACACACACACATGCATATATATATATATATTTTTTTTTAGTGAACCGCGCTCGGTTCTCCCTTTGAGACGCGCGGTTTCGCATCGCCACCGTTCTCCAACGATGTAATAAAAATATTCAATGTATATATATATATATATATATTATATACGCGTATGTATACTACTACACACATACACATAACACATATACATACACACACGCGGGATAGGCTAAGTATTAATTATAGTACATACGTTGATGTATGTGTGCGTAATGTAATTCGTGATTCTACGATTCGCGATTCTATATTGCGATTTGTAACTCTCGTGTCGCGGATTCATAAGAAAAAAAAAATAAGAAAAAAAGAAAAACAAGCGATTCACGTAATCGCGCGCCTTGTCACATATATGCAAGCGACTCTTAACGATTCATCAAACGACCCCCTTTTCCTTTGTTCGATTTTCTTTTCTTGGATTAACACTTGGGTTCTTTGGTGTTCCTTTTTTCGTTGGTCCTTTTTCTCTTCACGCGAAGCGTTTCGTTTGTTGTTTTTCGATCGCACACACGTGGAAGTCAAAAGTGCGGTGTAATTATAGTCTGTTAACGAAAATTAGACAGAGGGATCTATTAATGCTGTAGATACTAATCGTGAGAGAAAAATAGATGATACGGCGAAAAGAAAAGAGAGATATTGACCCGCGTGATTAACGGCGCTGTTTTTTTTAGCGATTAAATTTTAGGAAAGTTAGAATAGAAAAAGAAAGGAAGGAGAATTAGTAAGATATTGCGAAAGTACTTTGCCCGTTAATTTAAACGCGTTACGGCTGATCGAGTGCTATTTATGTGATTTTTATAGATCCACGCCGATCAATTTTGGTTCTATAGTAGACTGAGCTTTTAGATTCCCTTTCCCTTTCCTCAGGTCGTTGCCAGAGATCGGATACTTTTAGGTAACGTTCGAAAATTTTTGATAATCTGTGTCGCATAAAATAACGAGGGTTTCTCAAAGATTGCACCGCGTGAGAGTAATGTGAAATAAAACGCGACGTGGACTTCGATCTCGCGAAAATTGTCCATTGAGATCGAGAGTACGTCGCGGCGGATTCTCTCTGGCGATATTGTGTCGATTAATTAACCGAAAAAAAGAACACACACAATAGCAACGTTTCGTTAACGCATCAGGATAAGCTGTGATTATATAAAAAGAAAAATAAAGAAAACAGAGAACCGAGCAAGAGAGCAGGACGCAACAGGATGTGTATTCCTAGAAAGTCTGATTTTGTAAACTACTTCTACGAGGAAAACACTTGTGTATTATATATATATGATATGCGATATGATATATGATATGATATACGATATGATCTATGACGTTTGTTTATTACTATGTAAAGTAACAGATTTCGAAATTAAACATTAATTACTGTTAATCATTGCGTCTTGAATCTCCTATTTTACAGCGAGCTATTACGGAGATCGTCGGAAAGGTGAGCGGGGAATGTTATCGGAATGTTTGCGAACGTGCATAGATTTGATTTTTGAGTTTTATACAAAACTTGAAAAAATTCACATACTTTCTTTTGACTCTTTAAAATCTTTCATCTATATCGTTGATATTTAAACAAAATAATTTACATGTTTAACTTACAGCTATGATAAAAAAATAAGTTAACATTTATTAAAACAATATTATACATTTACCTCTAACAACAACCTTGTGATTTCTCTTGCGAGTTGCGAGTTACGTAAACGTTTGGCGAAACACTCGCGAATAAATTTAATACCTGATTTTCTCACAATTGTATGTGCTATGAGATGAGGAGTTTATTTCTTGCGGAAAATACTCGGCATACTAGGCGATACGGTTTTCTGTTGAAAGATTTTGCTCATCCTTTGTCGCATATCCTCGACACCTTGACCTACGTTCATTGTCGCCATGGATAGAGAAAGCCCGGAACTTGTTGAGAGTGTCCTAAAGAGAAATGGTCGCAAAGATTTAAATTTTTATGTACTGATATAAAAAAATATTTATAGAGTAGATATAAAATACTTTTACAGGAAAATATATAAAAATCTATAAAGAGAAAATCCAAAAATTTATGAATTCTAATTCTTATTAGATTATTTATTATAAACTATATAAACTATAATAAATAATAATAATATGTAATTTCTTTTATGCTTTTTTATATAACATTTATATCATTTATGATATATTATTTTGTGATTAACTTATGATTTAATTTATTATAAGTATTATTAAGATATTTGATATAAGAGACAGTTATTTTCATGTACAATACCTTTCTATTGGTTTTGACAAATCCTGTTTGGATTCCGCTTCCCTCAGCAATGAACGCACCGCATCTTTTTGTTGAGGCAAGCATTGATTCACCAATATCTCGAGATGTCTCAATCCGGGCAGCACTATACCAGAAACGCATTGACTACTTAACGGACAATAGACCAACACTGAGTATGCTTCCACTAGTGCGTTTACTAGTTCGATCTTGCGGCTATGTTGAAGTGCGAATGAAGCAATCGTCGATAATTGCGTTGCTATTACTGCAAATGACAGTACAACAATACATATAACATGCAATAATACTGATAAATAAAAATAATATAAAGAGAGATGTAAGAAGAAAATTAATAATCTTTTATTGAATTTAATATTGCAAGAATTAAATAAGCTGTACATTAAAAAAATATTTGTTTTGTGATTATATAAACAGAAAGAAAGAAATATTACAGAGCACAATATAACACTTACCGTCCTCTATGTAATTTTGCGGACAAGTGGGGGCGATGAATGCGAACGTGGACACTAATGAAGTCGCCAGAGTTTGCGAGAATCCTTGAGAATCTTTTGCAATCGTTTCCAATGTTAGTCGAGCTTTATCGCGTGCTTCTCTCACTTTACACTCCGTTATTATACGGCCCAACGAAGAGATTGCAGCGCATCGTACGCCACTGAAAATATTTGTTTCAATACTTTATAGAGTATAAAGATGATGAAAAATATAAATATTACAGAGAAGATTATTTTATATAGGAGCTCGCTCTCTTGCATTTATATAATACTTAAACATTGTTAATTAAACAATTAAGAGATTAATAGATTAAAGATTCTACTACAAAATATAAATTTGCAGACTAAACCAAACACAGGATGGGTTGTGCTCTGCACACATTAATTAATTTAAAAACATTAATTAGTTTAAAGTTTTTCAGTTTAAAAAATTAATTTCATATGAAATTGATACACAACTATCCTGTGTTTAGTTCTTATTGCTCGTGAGATTCAAAATTTTTAAATAAAAGACGCATAATATCTTGTAGTTTATATATAAATATTTAAAAATATTACGACGGTTAAAATTTTAAGAAACTAATAATGTTAAACATCCAAGAATTTGAGATACATGCATGTATAAGTACAGAAGAGTCTCTCACACTTCAGGATCACTGGCGAGCGTTACGATGGCTGGCACGATCTTAGCATTTGCCAGCCGATCTGAAACGTGTGCAATAGCGGAACCAAATAGTGTTGCCGTTGCGCATCGTACAGTTGACCTTTGATGTACCACACCTATGAAGAAGAAATTATACAAGTTTGATCTACGATTCAAAAACGTTCTCTAGGATTATAATAAACATATACATATTAATTTTAAAAAATAAAGATGCTATATATATATGTATATATCGATCTTTAGTTAAACTTTAAAAATTTGTAGAAATAGATTAATATAATAATTGTAGCTTCATAATAATAAAAAAAAATATTTTTTTAAATTTCTTATTATTATAATATTTTTATTTTTTATATTATACTCGAATATTATTTCTTTCGTAAGCTAATAAACTAATAATATGAAAAAAGATATCTGATACAAACCATCCCATAAACTAGCAAGCACATATTCTTGTATTTGTTCTTGAGCATATAGAATGCTCGCGGCGATTTGCAGCCAGGATATGCTTGTACCGCTCATAGATAGGACCACAAGAAACTGTTTAAAATAGTTTGCGAATTCTGTGAGATCGAGAGTGCTCAGGATTATCAAATAACTGGGGATCAATGTGAGATTCATATTCTTTTTATCTGTCGATAGTGTTGTCAATTGCTTTTCGAGTTCTGCTACTTCTGGGAAAAATGCTGTCTGTATCTGAAATATTTTTATAAAATTATCCTAAATGTGACAATATTTATAAGATATTAATAAAAAATTTTAAAAATTAAGAATTTTTATAAGAAAAATATTCAAGAACTGTGAAATTTTAGAATCTAAGAATTTTCAACATTTTTCTAGACAGAATCTTATATTTACCCTAAATTGTGTAATATATTTCCCAAATCCCACGCACAATGAGTGAATGTACATAAGAAGTGCCTTCAAAATATTTTCGTGTGCTGCGTCCACAGATTTCACCATTTCCAAGACATCAAATACTCTGCAAAAAGGGATAAAAATATCTTCTAAGATTAATTCGAAAACGAATAAAATATGAATTGTGAATAATCAAACTTGTTCAAAAATTTGCATTTTAAACTTATTATTTATTATTGTAAAATTTATCTTAAAATAATGTTCATGAAAAAATTAATTGATGTCAAAATTACATTTGTATGTGAAAGTTTTTTCACCATTATTACAATAATGAAGTAATAATATTTACATACAGTTTTTTTGTAAACCATTCTAACTCTGGCCAAGATGCATCCTCCCAGGATTTGGAGAAGAAAGTATTGAGGAGAACACCGATGTCTATGGGACCCTCATAGAATATCCTTGGATCGATGATATTGGAGTGACACAAGACCAGAAATTCCTCGGCTGCACCACAAAGTTTCTAGAAAACTTTTGTGCTTTTGTTTTTGTGCGAGCTTATGAGTTTTATTTACAAAATCTCTAACACGAATTTCTCAAAGAGATTTTTCGGATTTTAATTTCTTTAGATCCTAAAATCCTGTTGAGTTTCGAACTCGAATTTTAATATTAAATTTAAATTTTCAGAATTTTACTCAGGTGAATTTAAATAAATTCTTTGAAATTTCTTTCCATTTTTCTTTTTACTCATTTAATCTTTCAAATTCAACTTTATAATCATTTAAATTCAAATTCAATTTTACAATTTTTTTTTATTTCTTGAATTTTTAAATCTTCTGAATTCTTAAATCTGACAGATTTTAATACCTCACACAATATCTTTACATTATCTTTTATATACTCTTTTTTTTCGTATAATAATTTAAATATGCATTTTAATATATTTATTATTATAGATACTTATTTGTTTTTTCTAACAACTCACACAAGTCCGACGATGTTCCATTCTCGATGCAGGCTCGCACTGCGTTGGTATCAGCGACGCATAATACTGTATATGGCAAAATACATTGTAAAATACCGATCGATGGCACCAACTTTTCTTCGTCGACATAGTCTTTATTCGGCGAAGCCTGGGAATGTGTTGGCTTCAATTGATTCTTCACTTTCGAGATTATGCGCGGCAGCAGATTTACATGCAGCCTCTTCAAAGATAACGCCCATTGTGCTAGAACCGGTAACAATATTGACGATGCCGTTTCAACGACTATTGATGAGGTGTCGTGAAGTGCCGTTAATGCCAGTTCCTCGCACTGTAATGTATATCAATTTATATGTAGCAATAGATTTATATGTATGTATTTATTATATCATATTCATGATATATACAAAAACTTATGAAGGAAAATTAATATAAAAATTGTTTAAATAAAATAATATCTACCTGGAAATATTTGTCAGGATCATCCATTAAAGCTATAAGAAATGCAAGAGTTTTCACAACGCTAGTTCGAACAACAGGATCCTTATCTTCCAATAACATCTGTTGTAACATTGACAGCATCAGTGAGTTCCTGATAGAAGCCGATGTATAAGATGCCAGCACAGAACAACATTCAACAGCTAATAATCTTCTCTCGGGATACTTGTGTTGACTCTGTTCCCAACAGATTGTTAGAATTTCTTCGCCTTCCAGTGGTTCTTCCGCAAGTTTCGCCATTACAACTAATCCTAATGTTATAAAAAATGGAAAGAAACTCAGTGATAGTTTAGTTTTCAGTAATCAGAACATTAAATTCCTAAATCATATAAATACTGTTGAAATATATATATGTTACACACAAGCACAATTCTTTCTCTCTAAAAATTATAAATGTTACGTATTTAATAATTATTAATAATTATTAGTAAATTTAATAATTTAGATTATTAAATTGTATATTGGATATTTTGCTCTAACCAGCTAATATCATTTGCCGTTCGTCTTCCTGTGGCCTCTTCTTTAAATTAAATAATAGCTGCAACAATTTCTCTCTCTCGCTAAGATTGGAATGCAGATGAATTGCACTGATAATCAAAGGAATTATCTCTTCGCGCTTGTTAAGGATGATGTTGGGTACTATGCGTGGCAGAATATATGTCAGAATCTCGACTAATGTATCTCGTGTAACTCCGCGCTTTAATGACTCCTCCATTGAAGATATTATTGATCCCGAAACGTTTGCCAAACAATGCGCCGCTAATTCTAATTTGAATTTTATGGGCAAATCTCTGCAATGTATAATTAAGCTAGATACACAGAAATTTTCAAGTAATAATATTTTCACATATGAATTAATTACTTTGTAAAATTTATTTTATTTTATTTTTTATTTCTTGTTTATATCTAATTGATTAACTCGATAAAAAATTTTACAAAATTAAATATCTATAAAATAACCAACCTGGAAGATGCAGTTGGTAAAACAGAAGATTTCTCTGTAATATTTACTCTAGGTAACTGTAGCCTGGTCCATTCTTTGTCTCCTGGATCTGTTTCATCTAGACTAACTACTGCAGAAGCACTATCATCTTCTTCTGGTTCCTGAGTTGTGATTGACATGTCCCTTGGTAATGATTCAAGCAGTTCAAATTTGTCAGGAGTTGTTGAGCTGGAATTGATGGTACGGATAGTTCCACAACTACCTGACTGTAAATCAAACAATAATTATTTTTTTGTGCAACATATAAGTGTGCATATACTTTAATAAAATTATTAAACCTTAATTATAAAATATGCATAGATTTTATAATTTAAAAAAATTTTTAACTTTAATTATTTTATAAAGCAAAAAGAAAATTTTCTTCATTTAATTAATTGACTCACTTTGATTGGATTTTCTATGACATTCTCCTTATTTGAGGAAATAACTTCTTGAAGAGCAGTTTTCTCTTGTTCCAATACTATAATTTGCTGCTGTAACCTTTCAATCTGTTCTACCTATAAGGAATATGTAGCATGTTCTTAGAATTTGAGAATATAAGCATTTATGGTTACATTTTAGCTTCTAAAACTTTAGAAAAGCTTTGCAATTATCTAAAATAACAAACCATTTCTTGAGAATTATCCTTCTGCTCCTCTATCTCTTCAACCGCAAAATCCGTTTGTATAGCAATACTGACAGATGGAGATTTGTCATATCCATTGGCTCTCATATGCTCCCGATATATCTGCAATAATTTTGTGGGTTTTGGTATATCCAATCCAACATCTTGCCAGTCTTCAAAGTCTTGATCTTCGCATTCATCACTGAAGGTAATCGAAGTAAGCTTATAAGATCTTGCCAATAAATATTCATTGATGAGAAAGTTCAATGCTCGCTGCTCATGTGGTTTTATGGGCAGTTCAATAGTGAGATTCTTTTCAGAGCTCTTGTCTGGTGTCTTATGTGTACCTTCCAACTCTGAAATTTTTAATATTATATTAATTTAATTTTATATTATTAATTAGAAATTAGCATTATACAAATCAATATGAAAAGATGCTATGTAAGAAAAACATACCTGTTACTACAGTTAGATTAGCACGCAGTGCCGAAATATTTTCTCTGGCCTTGCGCAATTCAAATTCCAGAATAGCAACTCTTTCATCAACACCAGCCCCATCCTCTGAATATCGCGTCATATCGAGAGAATCCAAAGTTGCCTGACTAGAAGATCTGGCTAATATGTAATGTTTTATTTATTATTTATCATCAAATTAATGAAATATATTAATTCAGCTCAACTAATAACATATGTGAATCTTAAAACTATTTTTATTTTTATTTTTTTTTTTAATTATTTAAATTAGTTCAATTCTTTATGTCTTGTTTTGTAAATATTTGCTATACAAGAGTTAAATAAATATATCTATTTTGTGTTAAGAAAAAATTGTTCATATTAAAATTTTAATAAAATCTCAATATTTTTTACAAGACTAACAAAATACATACGCATTGGTGTAAATGGTTCTGGTTTGATATTAGAGTTCTCGAAATTATTTGGATTTGAAAAGAACTCCTTAAGAATGGGCAATTCCTTGCCAGCTTCGCATAATTCAGCATGCAACTCCAAAGCCGTTAAAAGGAGCTTCTCATTGAGAAGCTTTGTGGCCATCTCTTCATATGATATTGACATTCTTGGAGCCATATATCCTGAAGTAACAGTGAATACATGAAATTTTTTCAAAGAAACACATATGGTAAAAAACTTACAAGTTTTTTCTAGTTGTAAATAGTTTTACGTAATTAGTTATGAACAATTATATTTATATTAACAACTATATTAATTACATTTATAATTGAATAATATTGTTAAATAGATCGGAAATATAACCTTTGTTGTTCACAGACAATGGCTCTTTTATTTCTTCAATAGAACTCGCCATAGTGTTAACGTGCTCAGGTATTTCTAAGAAATGACATTTCCACGTAAGACAAATTGTCTTGCATACGCTCTGACACACTAAACGCACAATACATATGTAATAAAAAACGATTATTTATGGAAAATTCAATGACAACTCATCTGACATCATAGAATTACATGACATAGATGGGAAAGTTGATGGTAAAAATTTATCTTGTCTCCCTAGAAATATTCCTAGATTCAAATTGCACCAATCATTAATGTACTTGAGGAGCGCATGCGCATCTAGATATTAATAAAATAATTAATGTTTAATAATTATTAAAATTTGAGGAGACTGTATCTTGACATTTATTTTTGTTGTAAAATTGACTGTATCTTGATAATTATTTTCGTTGTAAAATTGACTTTCTTACATATATGTATATACAAACTATACGTTATATTGTTACATAAAAAAAAAGATATAATATACAATGATAAAATGAATATGTTAAATTAATATATGAGAATGATCGACATTGTTTTATATTTTCCATTACACAATGTTAGAAAGTTATTACAATCAATTAAAATACACAAGATATTATATATAAGCAATAACATAAATAACAATATCAAGAGGTTTCTTTATTTATTCAATTGCAATATTGTTTCTTTCATTTCATCTATTGTATCTAGACTTATCATATATATATATAACTTATGTTTTATTCTTTAAGTCATTATATCAATACTAACATTCATGAATGCGAGGTCATGAATGCAAGTATAAATATTACAGCAACGTCCTAGTCCTCATTGCTCGCTCTAGACGTTATCTATAAATTCATTTGTAACGTTTTAGAAAAACACACGTTAATAATCTTGCATCTCTTGTCTTGAGCAGTGTCTTAAAAATGTCGCAGACTTTCACCTAATTTCTTTTATAAATCTCCGAACGCGGATTCAAGGGAAACCGTCATCGTCCTCCTCAGCCATCTCTTTGGCCAGCTCCAAGTCCTGTTGCTCCCTTTCTCTACGTTCTTCGGCGGACTCCAAATCCTTTCCGTATGACTTGGGCGGGTAACGCATCGCCTTGACGCTCTGATTGTGCAGATCCAGACAGAAAGTAATTCTTTGATGGAAGGCCAGCAGGGGTTCCTTAGTGCAGTAAATATCCGTGGTCTCCTTACTACGCATGTAGCCATTTTCGGGGTCCAGGGTAGCTTCAATGACCCCATCGCGGATCGCTTTTGCGACGATGAATTCCGCATCCACGCTAGAATCCAGTCCCAATTTGCGGGCTATGTCAGTCGGCGAGATGCGCGAGTAGGAGAGGCCAATGGAGCGGATCGCGGTTTTGATGACGTTGTGCCGCAGCCGCAGGATCAACGTGAACGTGTGATCTGCGCGAAATTGTGGCCCGAAGTTCTCCAATACTTCACCGAACCGTTGCAGATTGCCCAAACGTACCGCCTGCGTCAACTGAAAGTACGGAGCTAGAGCTCGTCGTAGAGCGGCCTGTCGGAATATCTGTCTCTCCGGAATATCGCCTAGAAGAAGCTCCACGGCTACCGCCAGTTTCTGAACCGTTTGCCTAAACCCGACCGCTGTGGTCTGCGGCGCTTTGCGCATCGCTTGCACAAGGTACTTGTGCGCGGCCGAATACTCCAGCCTGGCGGCCTTTATCCTACCGAGATAGTAAAGAAAGCGGGCCCATTCGTTGTTGCTGGCCGATTCGGGAAAGGTCGACTTCAGCACCAGCTTGTCCGCTTGATCATACAGATTATAGTGCAGGTAATTACGCAGCAGGCAATTGATCAGAACTGCCTGACCCTCGAAGTCGTTACGCAGAGTCGCGGTGCGCAGACGAAGATGCAGGAAACCGCGGATCTTGTCCAGCTGATTCGTCAGTTCGTAGGCGCGGGAGTGATAGAAGTAGCACTTGGCCGCGATGAGATCTATGGTCCTGCGGTTCTGCGCGGCGATCTTCTGGACCAGCAGCTCGGAACACTGCACCGCCTCGTTGTACTTCCTGGTGTCGATGAGTCGGATCAACACCAGCAGGTGAACGTAAGCGTCGATCTCGGGCAGGAGCGACGACGAGGAGCTGCGGAACTTTTGGACGACGGTCTGATTGTCGTCGACGTCCATCGGCTCCTCCACCCAGGCGAGCAGCGCGTCACGCTCGGCGACAGACCTGGTGTAGAAGCCCGTGACGAGGCCGCGCAGCACGACCGGATTAAGACGACGACGGGTGTTGGGCAGGGCGCGCAGAGCGCGCAGCACGAAACGCGGCTCCTTGTTCTGCACGGCCTTCTCGATCTGCCGCGTGTGCTCGCGGATGTCGTACAGGGTCTGCATGTCGGTGTCCTTGCGCTCGCCCGCGCCGTCACCGTCGCCGCTCTGCGCGTCCGGCGCGCTCGCGGGATTCACGGGGTCCACGTCCATCGCTTCGACGCTTCTGCCAGTTGGCACGCCCATTGTTATCCTCTCGCTTGTCCTGTTGATCGAACGATCACGACGTCGACGATGCTTTCACTCGAAATTCTCTCTCGTGACTCTCGAATATTTAACCTCCTATTCGATTCTCATCGTCCCGAAGCTCGTTTTCTGCAAATTCACGCAAAGTTCGATGAGAAGTCAGGTTAGATCGTCCACGGACCATTGACGAGGTTAGATTCGCGACTCGACGTCGAGAAAGTAGAAACCAATCGTGTTCAATCGATAAGTAGCAATCGCACGTGATTGGTTTCTACTTTCAGCTCCGACCAATCAGCGTTGAATAATATCGGAAAAATCTAGTAATATTGTCCAACCGTTGATGCGGCCAATTATTATTTCCCCTAAAGTCACTAGATGAAAATTACACACGATTGCGCATCTTTGTTGATTCTTTGTCGATGCTTTTAGTTTACTTCGTGGAGTAAATACATAAAATACGAAAAATAAATCAAATATTAGCTGTTGATATGAAGTTTGTAAAATAATATACTATTATATTCGTCCGTAATATTCTATTATAATCGTCCGTACATAATTTTATACAAGTTTCTGTAATTTAAGGAAAAATGTAATATATGTATGTGATTAATAATTTATAATGTAACGTATAATTTATATAATATATGTATAATATATGTATATATATATATATATATATATATATATATATATATATATATATATTTATATATTATACATTTTTTCTTAAATATTATATTATTATAATATTATATATTATTATTATATTATTATTATAAACTTGCAAATTAATACGAGTGTTTAATAATATATCTTTTTATTTATAGAGATACTTCACTGATGCTGCACGTGAAAAAGTCCTCACAACCACAACACTGGTGTAAACAAAACGATGGCGGCTATCGCTTCGCGAGTAGAGGAATTGATCAAATATTTTAAATCGCATAATAAAATTCGAGAGCAGCAGAGTCATTCGGCAAAGGTACATAGTGTGGGATGGAGCTGCGACGGCAAATACCTGGCCTCGGGTTCCTTCGACAAGTCTGTCTGCATATTTTCTTTGTGTCCTGATCGCTTGGTTGGTAACCTATAAATATGATCTTTTCTAAACATTTATTTTTAAAGCGGAAATTTTCTGCAATATTTGACATTCTCATTTTTCGTTTATTTCTAACATCATTAATTATGACAGAAAATTACACGTACAAAAGTATTAGCCAATTATATAGTGAAATATAAAGATATCAATTAAGAGTTATTTGTTAAATCAATTTTAAATATGTATGTATTTTTAAATAATTGAAGAGAATGAATATAAATTTTTTAGCTTTTATATTTTGTCAAGTTTAACTGATCTTTATATTTAACACATTTTAAATCAGATTTGGTTAGGTAGTTTGTAATATAAATCTTCTTTTTAGAAGCAAGAAACTACTTTTAGAGGACACGGCGGTAGCGTGGATCAATTGTGCTGGCATGCCTTCTACCCAGAATTATTATCCACAGCAAGCGGAGATAAAACTGTTCGTATCTGGGATACAAGGACACAGAAGTGTACAGCAAATATCAATACAAGGGGTGAGAACATCAACATATCATGGTCACCGGATGGTAACACAATCGCAGTTGGAAACAAGGAAGACCTTGTGACTTTCATTGATGCTCGGGTAATGAAGATACGTGCAGAGGAGCAATTCAATTTTGAGGTAAACGAAATCTCATGGAACAAGGATTCGGATACATTCTACCTGACAAACGGCCAAGGCTGTGTGCACATACTTAGCTATCCCGAGTTGGAATTATTACATGTGATCAAAGCGCATCCTGGTACATGTATCTGTATTGAATTTGATCCGACCGGGCGATATTTTGCCACTGGATCCGCAGATGCGCTTGTTTCCCTGTGGGACGCCGACGAATTGTGTTGTTTGAGGACATTTTCACGACTTGAATGGCCAGTGCGTACCATCTCCTTTTCGTTTGACGGACAGCTGTTGGCAGCGGCATCCGAGGATTTAGTTATAGATATTGGCGAGGTAGAGACTGGTGAGAAGATCGCCGACGTCCCGGTGGAGGCAGCGACCTTCACTGTCGCGTGGCATCCGAAACAGTATCTCCTAGCTTACGCGTGCGACGATAAGGACACCTACGACCGGAAACGCGATGCCGGAAGTCTAAAGGTGTTCGGTTTTGCAAACGATTGAGCGATCATTTTTCGTATTGGACTTACATTATGCATTCGACAGATTATTTTATTTTATAGGAATATTTTAGTTAAGGAATGAATCAATGATATATAAACTTCGTGTAAATTTTAAAGCCATATTTCACACTTGCTGTCTCGTAATTGACAAAGTCAGCACGATCTTTTTTTTTGTGGGGAACTAAATTATATACGAGATAAATACAAGAAATTTTTTACAAATATGGAAAAATATATAAAATAGAATATATCGAATTTTTTTATTCCACAATATTTGTATAAACAAGATACGACAAAAATATCATTAGGGTTGTGTACAAAATGTAAAAAATTTTTTACAAATGCAAATATAGAAAAATACGATATATTTATATAAATGAATGTGAATATAGAGATTTTTTATTCAATATAATATTCTCATAAAACATAAGATACAACGAAAATATCAAGGATCATGTTTTAATAAATACAAAGTAATATATACAACATGTATTTCAATGAAAATATTTGTATATTTCACTTTACCGATCACACTCGAATCGATTTATTGATAGAACTTGAATTGGACATATAAACTCTTTTGTTTGCGGCTTGGTTGACATGGTTACTGTTCAGCTTGAATCACGTGAATCATGTTTTATTTTGCATGAAGATCATCAGCGGACCTCGAATGATCTTCATGTTGCGATGGCAAACCCGAATGAGATAAATTCCATCTGCGAATGTCAATATACTGTCAAAGACGACAGTGCGAATGACATTTTCAACGCTCCTAACATTCATGAGATTGACGAGGAGGACAGCGAGACCGAAGAAACAACAATCTTGGAGCAGCCTAATTCTTCTATTCCAGTCAAAGAGGATGATCTCATTACACAGGAGACCAAGGATGTGTCCGACGACGAATCAGCGTATACAGACGAGTCCTTTTGCTCTGACGAGTCCTGCGACGAGTCCGAAGTCACCAACATCGCGTCAAGATCGCTGAATCCTTCCTCTTTGCACGACATCGCTAATTTTCAACGCAGCCAGAGTTCGAATGAGCAGGATGCAGATGTCAGCGAATCAATCTGGAAGGATGAATCATATTCGATAAATGAACCATCTCGCGCGGCTACAGCGGATAGATTGATCAGATCGAAGAGATGCAGACGGTGGAACATGAGCTTCACTGACGAGGAGATGCGTAAAATCGAACGGGAAAACGAGCTGCTGCTGAGGAAGATTATGGCGCAGCAGAAACCTCGGCACAAGATCCTCGGTGAACGCAGTGTTCAGCCTAGGATCAGTAGTTCCGCGATAAATAGAAAGAAATTGCAGAAGAGGATAGAAGACGACAATATGGTACGTAATTTTGTTTGACATAGATGTGCATATCAAAAACAGAAGTGCAATAGGTATAGCGTTTTTATATATTTCTCTAATTGTAAATAATTTGAGTATAAATTGGTGAGAAACATAATACGAAAACTTTGTTTGCAGTTGCTTCTCAAAAGGATACAACAGGCCAAGTCGTGCGTTTTTGCGAATGCATCGAAAATGGGTTGTAGATTGACATTTTTGTAGACAGCTTTTTTTTATAATTTAAAGAGTTTTATATCATATTTAGAAATCGAATCAATCGCCTCTGCTAATTAATTTGATAAATTAATATTACAACTTTACAGAGAAATAACATGAAGAAATATAAAAAAATATAAATCACATGAAGCAATATATTTTACTATTTTTTAAATATATATGTGAACTGTCAGTGTCATACCGTTTTGTTGAAGAGAAGTTCACGATGTTCTTTTTCGACTTCTGTGAGGAGAAAAATTCTTACTTTTGAAAACATCACAATGTATTTTTTGTGACTTCTTTATTAAAACACAACGATTACCAGTCTTGAAGAATAGGTACACATTTCTTTCATTTCATACTTTGTATACGCAATCTTGTAAAACTTGTCTTGAAAATTTTCTTGAAGGTATACTCTACAAGTCAAGACTATAAAAAATCACAGTTCTCACTCGTCTCGAATAACTTAATTATCACTCGTGGTTAATATACCAAGATCCAGGACTCTCGAGTATCGCGATAGTTCATTCTCTTTTCCATCTTTAGTTCCCCTTACATATGCATACACGGATAATATCGCAAAGAGAAGAGAAAGAGTGTGCTGTAAATCAAGGAGCAAATTATAAATTTCCATATATAAGCCATGTATATAGTTGTTTCTTTAAATTAATACGTGCTGTGATTATAATATGAGAAACTGTATTTCCTTTTTTTCATTTTTTTTATGCAAATTCTGTAATTCCACATGTGCTATTTCCATTTCATTTGTAGTCGATCAATTAATATATATACATCTCTTATAACAAACCAAACAAAAAAAAAAAGAATAATCGATTATCCTGCATGAAGTACACCTCACTCACAGTAATTTAAAGTATCGCATTAGTATGCTTTAAATAATGAAATAAAAAATGAAAAATGTAATATCTAGATTTTGGTTTAAGAAACAATATGAAAATAACTCGTTCGAGAAACTATTCATATCTGTGTGTTACTATCGTACAACAAAATAATAGTAACAATCATATCACAAAGTACGCTCAGCGTAGTTGTAACAAAATATAACAATTTTCAATGCGGCTTTCGAATCCGTATATCACGGTCGTGGCAATTATATTGTCACTGTTGAAACCGTCGTTTACTTTCGATTTTCGCCAAAAAAATCGTGAAATAGAAATACGATATCACAAGATAAAACATTGCTTCGTTCTTTCCATGAGATTAATCCTCGCGTTTCGTTCTCCACGATTCGGTCGATGACGGCGTCCATATTGTGCTGAGCGAACGAAATGGATCAAATCCGGATCGTTCCTGGAATAATTATAAAAAAAAAAAGAAATGTTTTATGAATCATTTCACGTTAGACGTTTTTTAATATTTATTATCATTATTTACCTGCGTATCCGACTCTGATTGTAATGTTTGCGACATCATGGGCGGTGCAGCTGCACCCCAAGGTGCTGCAGCCCACACACCCCCTGTATTGATTCCCCACACGCCACTACGTTCCTCTCCAACCGCTCCTCTCGTATATGGTTCCCAATTCGTATCAACTGTCCAATTATCTACAATGTATTTAATGTACATTTGTTAAAATATTATTGTACATTGTATATACATTTTTTTTAATCATATATTAGACGAATCTCATATATGTTATCTAATATTTTAGACGAATTTTGTCTATATTGGGTGCTTTTCAATAAGCGGTACGAGTCGACAAGCGTCATTTTGTCTTTTTACAACATCCAGTGAATAACAAAAATAGAAAGATGATGCTTGTATGTCGCTAAATGGAAAACATCCATTTTAAACTTAATTTAGATACTTTAAGATGAGAAATATTCTCTCGCATGCATTTTTTTCTAAATAAATCGGTTAAATACCTTTCAAGTCAGACATCACAGATTTCTCCGTTGTCTTCGACGATTCCAATTGAAATCCATTTGTGTCTGCCATCAAATTCATCATAGGAGTAGGATCTTCCCACAATTGACATCGCGTGTCTTCTTCAGGTGTTTCCAGTTCTACTAAAGGCTCGTCGGTTTCTGGAAGATCGTCATATGGCACCAGTTCGCGTTCAAACTGCAAGATTCGATATAATAAATAAGCATTTGAATTTATAATAATATTCAAGAATAAAATTAATTCAAATTGTGATATTTACAGGATGTTCTGTGAAAGTATTGATGAAGTAACTATTTGAATGTTGCAAATCCGGCGGTAAGATTAGAGGTTCCGAATTGAGTGCTTTATCCTTCTCCAATGATGCAATACAAAGAGAGGTCGGTTTTGACATCAAATTATATTCGTTCGATGTTTGCAACAACTCCTGCGTCGACTGTGGTTTAGCATATTGAACATCAGTGCCGAACACCATGGACAGATTTGACGTATTTGTTTGACTCTTGTGATTTAAATTGGAGAACGGCAAAACAATCTCCTGACTTCGGGCTACCACGTCACTGAACTTAGCTCTGTTTTCACCCCAACAGGAGGGCGGAGGCGGCAATGGAGTGGGAATTATTGTTCCTATGCTGCGTGTTATGTCCTCTTTTTGGTTTACGTTTCCGTTTACAGGAGGAGCTATAATAATAAAAAATAAGAATTTTTATAAATTTTTTATACAAGATACATATACAGTTAAAAATCACCATCTAATAAAGAGATACTAGTGTTTTTTTGATTAGTATTTTGACATATTTATATGACTAAATATATTATAAATATCATTTATATGAATTAAAAAGAATAAAAAAAAAGATTGAGCGATTTATAAATTTAACAGATTAATATGGATAATATTTCCTTTTATGTTATTATATTGATTCGAAATTTAACAATTAAAAACAAATATCTATAATAGAGAAATTTTGTTATATGTGACATTACATATGAATAACATACATTTGATGTGCGTTTTATCAGCTACACGACGTTTTTGCACTGTCTTCTCCTTCCGTGGTTGATTCTTATTCTGACGTGGTAACTTCAAGGATGATTCGACGGTACGTAAAGAATGAACATGGTGCTTCGTGCTAGATCTATTAGAGCTCGTCTTCCATCTATTTGGATTATTCTGTCTTTCCTTATCGTAATCATCGTCATCACAGTCACCTTCATAATTATCCTTATAATCTATACATGGCACAGGAGGAATAGACTGAGGTTTGCTTTTCTTAGATATCGGTTTTCTTTGGAGCTTTTCTTGTTTTCCGCATGGTTGATCAAAATTCTGAATAAAAAATAGAAACCTTCATAAATCTCTGTGGAAACAATCTATTTTCACGGAATTAATGTTCCATTTTTGAGACAAAAATTTGATTATGAATATATACATATGTAATTAAATATAATTATGTATAAATTACATTATATAATTATATTTAATTATTTTAATACGCATATAAGATTATTTAGAAAGTAAAATACAATTGAATTAAACTAAAATTTTTTTATAATCCTTTCACAAATCGACATAATTAACACTTACTTTACAAGATGTTGTTTCATCATGAGTCGAACTCTCCGTTGTCGTGGATGAGGTCTCTTCCTCTGAAAGGTGAATGGTTTTTTGAACATTCGTTGATTCGAGCTTTTTCAAAGAAACATTATTGTGATTACTATTATTGTTTGCGATGCTATTTGTTTGTTTATTTCGCTTGTTGTCCGATTTGTTAATCCGATTGTTAATTATTCCCGCATCCACTTGAATCTCATGATCGAATTTTGGCTCTTCCTTGACAGTCGGTTGCGTAGATTGAATTTTTCCTTTTCTGTTCGATGTCGGACTCGACTTCGTAACCATATTAACGGTATACTTTTTTTCTTGAATTAACTGAGTATCCATAAGCGTGTCATTCGTCACACAATTGTCCGATTGGGTCTCTTGAACGTTGTTTTGCTTTTTACTATTATTCTTTTTTTTCGATCCGTATGACGTATTCAGATTAGTAGTGCTATCTACATTAGACGGTTCTTCGCATCGCTTGAAAGACAGCAGATCTTTAGACTCGGTGTCCAATTTGAATCTGCGTTCCTCCTCGGTGGACCAGTCCGGAATCTTTAATCCTTTCTGCGTGTCTTTATCTTTACATTTCTTCACGTTCATCAATGACCAGTCTGGAAAACAAGTTTCATCCTTTTTTGTCTTGCTTTTATCATCATTTGATCCGCTTCTCTCGTTCTTGTTAAGGGTACTGATCTGCGTCGAGTTATGCATCGAAATGTGTGACAGTAGCCTCAAATCTAAGGGCGGTTGTACCGGACTCTCTTTCGAGTAATTGGCTAAGGCTCCCCGTAGTATTCTATCCGCCTCGAAGAACGAAACCGCGAAAACGCTCGCCAATACTATCGACGAGATGCTAATGGCAATCCACCGTATTGCGCGTTCCCACGATGGTCTGGCGAGCACTGGCGCGCACAAATCTAATGAATGCACTGGCAAAATCGCCAATAGATTAAGTATCACCACACCATTTTCGACATTTTCATCTCCGTCTGGTCCTACGCTCGTCAACACCAACAGCTTCCGTTCCACACGCGACAACGTAAAATCTGGCGTGAATGCTATCTCTATTCTTTTAGTGGCGTTCGGATTCAGCTTGAAAGGTGCGCAATCGAGTACCTTGAAACCATAACCCTCGCAACGCCAGTCATTAATGTAGAAGCTGTAAATTTCAATCGGCAATTCCCCCGTATTCCTAGCCGTAAAAGAACGCTTTACAGTGAGAACAGGAGTCGTAGCGTGTTTACTACGGTCTCCTGAAAAAAAAATAAGCATTATAAAATAAAATTTCTTTGTTTCAAAATTATGATTCGTGAGATCAAAATTAACAAAAAATGTGCAATGTAAAAAGCTACTGAGTTTTCAATGGCAAAATTTGCGAAAGTACAATAACAGGATAAGATATTCGTAAATATTATAAAGATCTTTCTTTAGACAAAAATGAGGAAACGTACATACGTTCGCAATCTTTAAAATGTTTATCCACGAGTTCAAACAACAGGGGCGTAGTCGATCCCGGCTTACGATTGCCGAATCGAAATTGCGCGCTCGCACCTCGACCACTCATACGTAAGACTTCTAAAATAGTCATATTATTTCTGGAACAGCAACGTAAAACGAATGTCAATATGTGAGGCAACTGTATTGTATTATTCTTATCCCTTACTAATATTTTTCTCTTTTCCTCTATCTAATGGAAACACTTGCCTAATATATAAAAAACCAGAGGATGCCGAAGCAGAGAAGGGTGTATATGCCACACGAATCATCCTTGTTTCCAAAGGATGTAAATACAAAGGAACCGATTGAGACGCCACCGATATACCCAATTGTTTCTCGAATAGCTCTCGATCGGCCACATTTTCTTCTAACTTGAACTCTTCCGGAACTGTAGACGAACATTCCGTGCAAACAGGCTTAAATCTGCACAAATATTAAAATTTCCATCGATAATTTTCAGTTTAATTCGAAAAAGATTGTCAAATAAACCAAATGATATACTTCGTTGGCAAAGAATGATAAAGACGTGCTCCTTGAGGATAGCTCCAATCCATGACCAGCTGAACTAACAGCGGACTCGCGCTCGGATTGTGTAACTTGATCGTTCTATACGATGTGTTTCCGACTTGCGTCAGTGGGAACATCAGAACGCTTTTATTTTTTATACCGACCAACAGACTCGGCCAGTATGGCTTAATATTCACGTAAAACCGATGACCACGCACTTCGGTTGTATCCAAGCGCATTGTGACGTTTTCCCACGAACCATCCGCGGTAGAGTTGACGAAACGCGTGTGTCGCGTGTTCAACAAGTTCAAGTCGGAGTCGCGAGTGTGCGAGGGAAGGCTCATCGTATTCAACCATTGATTTCCCGCTATAAAATAAAATAAATAAAGTATTATTAATTGTAAAACATCTAAATAGCTAATACAATAATTTCATTGTAAAATAATGATGAAAATCAAAATACGATGATGAGTCTTAAGTTTATAAATTGCAAAAATAATTAATGTATTATGCTTACTGTTGGTATCTACTGATAAACCTAGGTAACAATGTTGCTTGCAAGTCACCAAAGGATCGATCTGTATTGAGCCGACATTATTCTCGCCCTTGGATATGACTGGCATGGTAGCTTCCTCCAATGGGATGTACTTTATTCTGTCGTCCTTGTTTATAGGTGCAATATGCGTCACTTCCATCGGTCTTGAAAATGTGGAGTGCACCTTCACTTGTTGCACACAGATCGATCCCTATCCGGCATTGAGATTATATATAAACTCACAACCGATATCTTGTCAAGGAAAAACTCTGGAAAAATCTGATTGTAGATTGTAACTCACAGGGAAGCAATCGGTAAAAATAAGCTTCTTCAAGGAAATCTTGCCGTGCGCAACCCGCATATACACCGGCAAAGTAAATCGCTCGTACGTCGTTCGCACGAAAACATCGCCGACAATCGTGTCTTCCTCGACCATAGGAGTCTTCACTTTGATCTTAAAAATCGCCAGAAACTCGGGCTTTATGTATTGCTGAGAAAAATAAAAATATTTATTTATCGCAAAAAATCTTATAACTCGAGTAAAATGCAAATTTATCATGTGGAGACTCACGTTTCCAGAATGACTGCATACAGTTATATTTCGAAATTCCTTATCCAACGAATCCGCAGGACCATTTTGACATCCCATCAATTCTAAAACCGCACCCGGCATATTCACACCCCAGCTATGTAGCTCCACATTGACGGGATTTTGGTTTTCTAGCGCGAAAATTGCTTCGTTCTCGGTACCGCTCCCCACAGTACCAAAATTCATCGTTCCCATATCATTTTCCTTTTCACCCGGCATAACTTTTTTCAGTTTCCCATCGTAACTCAACACTGGAACTTCGGTTACGGATACGTTGGAGTGTATCAATATCGATGACTCCATTTTCACGCTATCACCCTTCCGTTCTTTGGCAAGTTGTAAAGAAAATATATTGACCTTTTGCTCGGGTTTTATTACTCTAGGAGTAAAATCTTTTATCTGAAAAATTCACATAGATTTTTTTTTTATATTTCGAGAAATAAAATAACTGAAAGGAAAAAATGCTAAAAACTGAATTAAAAAAGATAAATTAAGTTTTTACCGTAAAAAGCGACTTCGCATTCGAACACATCGTAACATTCGTAATAGCTAATGGTAATTTAAATTTGTTCACCACGCTAAAATTTCGAGCTTGATTAGATTGTGGAGAACAATAATGGGTAATTGATGTGTTTACTTCTAATCCACCCTGCAGCACTTGAGCTACCCATGGAATTGCTAATTTTTGATTAGAGCCACCTGGACCTGTAGCTTTTATTATTAATTTGCCTCTAAAGTGTTGCAGATCCAAACCGGTTTTCCCTAAGAAGATAAATACAGAATTATTTTAATTAGATAATCTCATAAGTCCTTTTTTCTATTACATATTCGATAATGTTGCATCTTACAATCGTAAACCAGCATTCCAATGGCGATTGGTATATCTGTCTCTCCTGGAATTATTGCTGGCTCAAAATGCAATTTTAATGCTTTTGATACAGGTGTATTTATAATATTCTGCGACAAATATTTTGTTTGCTTAATATTTTGAAACATTGAAATTTTCTTTCTAGAAATTGCTTCTACACTCGAAAAAACTTAAATTGTTCGCTCGTACAACTTACCACAACTTTGATTGCTTTTTTCGCAGAATTTTTTAAAGCAATAGGGTGGCGAATAGGCGGCTGTAGTGAACCACCCATACCTAAATTAATTATTCCAGAACTCCCACCCCAATGAAGACCAGCTCCACTTTTGACCTCTACTTCAACTGCTACCACAAGAATCTCAGCAGTATTATTCACTTTAAATCTGCAAAAAATATTTCACATATATTACATATATTACTTATATTAATATATGTATGATATAAATATAGTATTGTATTATGTTTAATCAACCTAACATATGTCGAATGATTTTTTTCCGTGTAAGCATTAAAAGTTAGTCTGATGATAGGCTTCGTTTGATAAGGTAGAATTTCCCATAATTCTCGAGTACCTTCCGGTTCACCCGATGGTAATTCTAATTGAAATTCTCCACCGCTGCTATATACTTCCAGCACCTTTAATTATGTAATAGATGTTTTAAATTATTAAAATGACTATATATATGTATATAAATATGCTTACATACGTAATCAATATAAATATTTCCGCATACTTGTAAAGCTTCCGGATGAGGATTGTGCATATATATAAGAGGTGTAAAAGATGCATTTAATGGTAACTTGACATCGACAGGTCGGAGTCTATAAGGACTACTAACACTTATTCCTTTGACCTGCAGATGTAGAAGCATCTTATTATGCAACACATCGTACACATATGCATAATTGAAACTATGATTGAAATAAGTTTCTCTTACCTGATACTTTAGTGTCCCGTCTAAAGTATGTATAAAAAGGTGCGCATCGATATCACCTTCGTCTCGACCAAGGAAGACAACATTAAATGTTGTATTCCCCAATGGTGGAATTACCTGAGGTAAGCATAACAATTATTAATATTAACTAATTCAATATATATCTATATATTTTTTAAGTTAAAAAATAATTCAAACTCAGAGATCTCAAAAATTATCAGCTTATTTATTATATAAGCATTAAAGTGCACTTTACTTTATAATTTGAATTTATTTTTCATATTCTAATTATAAGAAGTTACCATTAAATCCCGCTTACTTTGCTTTGAAAAAATGATGAATGAAAATGTCGTGTATTTCCAGATATCGATGAAAGATGTATGGTTCTATTGTGATCTTTGTTAAATATGATCACAGTTTCTTGGTGAGGAATACCAAGTTGTCTGGAAAAAAAAGTTTTTTTGATATTAAATCAAGACGCTATATTTTAAGCATATTATTCACCTTTCTTTGAAGTCCAAAATGCTTGGCTCAAAAGAAATATGAGAGAGCAAATCTTCCATTTTATCCTCGTCCGATATAGTATCCCTTAAAAATATAATATAATACAATTAGAAATTAATCATTACATTATTGCATACAATACTTCTAATAGTGGAAATTGAAAATAGGAAAGGTATAAGAAACATTAGCTTCAAGTAAATCAGTCAGATACAATGTTAGTAAAATAAATTAGTTTAGATTAGTTTTTCTTGTGAAATGTGATATAATGAAATAAATGTATATTCCAAATGATTTTGATGATGCATACTTTGTTTTAAGACATAAATTTTTTTAATCAGCACAGTCATAGACATAATAATAAACTTTTAACTTCTTTATAATACATACATATATTTTGCAAAAAAAAGAAGCAAAAAACCATCTATATATTTTTTTCCCTTTTTCATAGATATATAACATGCCTAAGTTAAATTATCTTATCTTTGTTTCACTGATTTTAAAGGTCGCTTAAGCTTAGTAAACGTCGCTTTCATAACTGAAGCAATAGTATGACAATAAGATAACTTCAATGAGTACAAATAGAACGCAGTTAGATACAAATATTTTTTTGCAAAACTTTGAATTGTAAACTCTAGCGGAGAAGCTTGCAAAATTTTTCACAATACATACGCAAAGTTTTTCACGATACACCCTATATGATTAACGTATCAGAGAAAGAAAGATTATAACAAATACCTTTCCTACATCCACTTACCATTATCTTAATGAGTATTATGCTTACCCAGCTCCATGTACTGTATTAGCAAAATCCTATAAATAATAGAATTCTAATATAACACCTTTTGCACTACATATATATCACATTATTTTAAAAAACTAATTAATTATTGACTATGACAATTATTTTATTATTCTTTACAAAGGGATAAGTTTTTTTTTATGACTTTGATTTTGCATTTACATCTTCTCCTTAAATATTCAATACATGATTGTATAATATAATTATACATGACAAGATTACTGACCTTATGCATAGATATTGGCATATTATCCAAAAGATATTGAACATTGTTGTCATCTTGAACAAAGGCTATAAAATATTAAAATATATTGTAATTCAAAGCAGTTTAAATATATGTTACTGAAATAAATATTCATGTTTATAGGTGTATTTTAAAGCATGAAAAGATAAAGTAAAGACAGCAATAATCGACAATATATATAACACACATATAACGAAGTCTAGTTAAACTTTGCTCAAATAAAATTTACATAGAACCTTGCATAAATAAAATATCTACATAAAAAAAAGTGTTAAACACAGCATTTAAAGAAATGTATAAAAATGCGTATAGGAGAGGAAAAGAAATCTATAATTATAATATCAATAATTTATGCTTCACATATATATATATATATATATATATATATATATATATATATATAGAAACGTTTTTTTTTCTATGAAAATTAATCTAGAATTATGGTAAACACGAGTGTTATCTAATTCTTTCGAAGCGCAAACTATGACACGCATATATCGCACCTTGCGTAACATAAACACGTTAGCCGTGACAGGCTGAACGCGAAGAGGTTATATCGTCCTTATCGCAATAATCTCGCGAAAAAATGGAAAAAACACGGACCGCCGAGACGCGCGGCTCGCCGGGACGCGCGTGACAGCGCTTGGCGCGTAAAGCTCGCGCGCAACGTGACCTTCGTCGCGAAGACCGTTCCGCGGGGAGCGTGTACGTAAATCCAGAGGATTTACCATCGCGCTTCTTCGCGAGGGTCGCGTCTCGGTGGCTCGCTTTCGGAATAATCGGCTCTCGGAGCTCGCGACGGTTGTCATCATCGGACAATAAGCGAATCCCTTCGATCAGCATCGAAATAGTTACGGGAAGAGAGAGAGTGAGAGACAAGATGACAGAGAGAAAGAGAGAGAGACAGAGAGACAGAAATGTTCACCATTGTTGTGGCCGTGCAGCGACGGCCGGATTGGCGACGTCGTGTCCAGTAGCGTCAGCAGGAACAGATAATAGAACACCTTTAACTCGGGCATAATAACACCTACGCGGCTGATGCTGCTGCACTGCTGTTACGTCGACTGTTGCTGCTGTTCGCTATTTTGTCTTTAGCAGACATGAGAGTCCGCTTACGGCCATACTTCGGTACTATCGAAGCGCGCGGTATCGATTTCGGTTCGGGCTTCGGGCTCGAGCAGCGCGCGAAGCAGTCGACAGGAGGAGGCGCCGTTGCGCCCCCTTCGAATCGTTTCAAAAAGTTCTTATCATGCTCCAATTTTACATAACCTATTTGTGTCACGTATGTTTTGCTCTGGAATTTTGCTTCACAATAAGCTATTATGTATCATCTTTAACGTTTTAGTAATAATTTAATAATTGTCCAATAATTTAATATAAAGAAAAAAAGTCCAGATGTGCGAGGTAACTCCTAGAATGAATTCTCTCGATAAAAAAGATATGTTTCATTTAAATAAGCTCATAATTAAGTATTACTTTAATCGAACTTTAGTCAATTTAATCAATAATTAATATAGTATTGAAAAAAGAGTATAAGATAAAAATGATAAAGTTCTTCACTTATGAGTCCTCCCTTTTATTTTCTTTTTTCTCTCTTATTTTTCACAAATTCTCAATCTTTTTTGTATTTTTTCAAATATTATTTATTATTAATTATTAATTTGTGATTATATTTTATATAAATTTTATATACGTTCTGTTAAGACTTCTTATCTTTTCTACAAAATAAACTCTAAATTATTGTTCTTTTTCTTTCAAAAAATGAAAAATATTTTTAATTTTTTAATAAGTGGAAACCATATAAAGTTCTTTTAATGTCGATATTAAAGTAATATGTGAAATTTATTGAAAAAAATCTCAAGTATTTTTGAAATTAGAGTGCATTCGAAAATTCTACCCGAGAAGAGTAATTGAATTGAATTGACCAATCAGGATGAAGAAATCTTATTTTGTTCTGATTGGTCAACTACTTCATTCCATGAATAAGATTTACGAATACACTCTCGGCAGTATGAGCACGTGCAACAGTGCGACTGCAACCATAAAGTAAAATAAGCAACGAGGAATTAAAACTAATTTATGTGAATTTATATAAAAAATGGGTAAACCATATTATGGTAAGCATTTCAGTAATATTATTTAAAAGTAATAATTTAGTTCAATTAATATAATTAACATCTGTATTACATATATTTAGGACAAAAAAATAATAAATCTTGGATATATCGACAAAAGATAAAATCAAGGAAGCTTAACGATACGAATAACACAAACAATGCAGATGAAAATGGTCAAAATTCTCGAATAATTGTGAGAAATTTGCCCTTTAAGGTATCTATTTAAATACTTAATTCAATATATACGAGTTATTATTTGATTGATTAAAATTTAATAAATAGCACTGTAGCATATATATGCATACACCTAGCACATACCTTTTAATATAATTTAGTTTTTTATATAGAAATGTTTAGTGTTTTATACTTTTTTATATTTTTTTAGTTTTATATATATATTTAATTTTAAAAGTTATAATTATATTTTGTTAGGTAACAGAAGAGGATATAAAAAAGTTTTATAAGCCATTTGGTGAAATTACAGAAATAAATCTTCTAAAGCGTCCAGATGGAAATTTAGTTGGATGCGGTTTTATACGATTTAAACATATGGAAGATGCTTCAAAAGCAATATTTAATACCAATAAAAAGGAGTTTCTTGGTTAGGATTAATTTGCAGAATTGAGTTTTAATTTCTTTTCAAAATATTTGATTTTGTATATATTTATAGGAAGCATAATTTTGTATATATTTATAGGAAGAACTATAAGTTGTAATTGGGCTATATCAAAATCTAAATTTAGAGAGAAACTTGAGAAAGATCTTTCTGGAAATCAAGAAGTTGATAAAAATGAAAAACAACTTTCTCAAGATGCTCAAAAAGAAGAGAATGAAAATAACATACAAAAGAAGAAATTCACAAAAGAGAAAGATAATTTGAACAAGCTGAAAAAAAGAAAGCTTCAGAAAATGAAGAAACAGAAAAAACGAGCTAGAATTGTAATACGAAATTTATCTTTCCAGGTTTGTTTTATATATACATAGTCAAGGAACATATATGTATGTGTATGTTTTAAATACTGTTATTTCAATAGTATTTTTTTAACAAATATTTTTCTTTAGGCTACAGAGGACAATTTAAAAGAATTTTTTTCTCAATATGGTGAAATAGATGAAATAAAGATTTTAACCAAACCTGACGGTAAACAAACCGGAGTTGCGTTTGTACAATTTAATGTTGTACAAAATGCTGCAAAAGCTATACATCACGCAAATATGCAATCTCTTTTAAACAGGCCTATGATAGTTGATTGGGCTGTTCCTAAGAATAAATTTTCTGAAAATAATGTAGATGTAAAACCTGAAATCAAAACTGAATCTACTGATGAAAATAAAGTACATGATACTTCAGAAATAACAGTAATTGATAATAGTGAGGATGAGAATAGTGAAGTGGATGCTGAATCAAACAGGTACTTAAAAACTCAAATTGTGTGTGTATCGATAGATTCAATTTATATATTTTTTAGAATTTTATTATTTTATTATAATATTTTTCTAAATAATTTATTTCTCACATTTTTTCCATCATTTTATCTTTCTCTTTCTATATAATTAATATTTTTATAATTTCATAGTAAGGACGTCTCAATGAAGAGTATACAAGAGGACATTGAATCTGAGGAAGAAGACACAGAAATTAAGCATGAAGTAGAAGATACTGATAACGAAAATGATAATGATAATGATAGTGATGATGATAGTGATGATGATGACATCAATATTACTATTGATCAGTCCGTCATTAAAACAGAAGAGGAAAGTGAAAAGAATTGTTTTAATGCAAAACATCCACGACAAATATCTAATGATGTTAGTGAAGGAAGAACAGTTTTTCTAAAAAATGTACCATTTTCTGTTAAGAATGATGAACTTAAAAGTTTTATGGAACAATTTGGACCCATTTATTATGCTCTTGTATGCATTGATCCTTTGACTGAATATTCCAAAGGCACTGCATTTGTTAAGTTTAGAGTAAGATTCACTAATTTAATTTATCTATATGTACAAATGTTAAATTTTATAAAAATTCCATTTTATTTTTTAATAGCATGATTACATGAAAAATCTTTATTGTAGAACATTGAAGATGCTGAAAAGTGTTTATCAGCTGGAACTGAGTTACGTTTACGTGATCAAATAATTGAAGCACATAGAGCATTACACAAAAACGAAGTAGGAAATAAAACGAATTTGAAGAAACAAAAGACTAAAGATTCCAGAAATTTATACCTTGTGAAAGAAGGAGGTAATAATGCTTATGTTCTATGTTATATAAGACAAATATTATATATATTATATATATTATATTATATATATATAAGTTATATAAGACAAATATTATAAATATTATATATATTATATTATATATATTATAAAAAATTATATATTATATACAAAAAAATATTAGCACATCTATTGTTAATTTCTAGTTGTGTTGGCTGGAAGTCCAGCCGCGGTAGAAGTATCGATGTCCGATATGGAACAACGTCTGAAATTAGAACAATGGAAATCGCAAATGTTACGTAACTTGAACATGTTCATATCAAGAGTGCGACTCGCTGTTCACAATCTACCGTCCAATCTTGATGATGCAGAACTTAGACAATTATTTAAAAATCATAGCGGACCTAAAGCTATTATTAGAGAGGTAATTAAATTAGAAATTATTTAGATAATATAAACATTATATTTAAAGAGGTAAAAAAATTGTGTAAGCAATAAATTTAATGAGAATATCTTTAAGGCCCGAATTATGCGTGATTTGAAAAATGTTGATGCAACTGGAAAAGGAAAATCAAAAGAATATGGTTTTGTTACATTTACAAGTCATGAGGATGCGCTTAAAGCTTTGAGAAGTATAAATAATAATCCAAATATATTTTCCAAACACAAAGTAAGAAATTATAAATTTATTGCGATTAATGTTAATTATATTTATTTCATAAATTTTTATCAAAAATTTTTTAATAATGACATATAGAGACCTATAGTCGGATTCTCGATAGAAAACCGTATTTTGGTAAACGCAAAGGAAAGAAGAATTCAGAAAAGTCGCGATCGCAATCCCTTGTGGTCTGGAAATAAAAATAAGAGGAAAAGCGAAGACAAGGAAGAAACATCAATCAAACGAGTTAAAGTCAGAAAAGTAGTTGAAGACGAATTGAATGAAAAATCATATACTGGTATTACTGGTAAATTAGGTCAAGACAAATTAAGATCAAATTTCAAACTTAAGTCACAAGCTGACTTGCATATGCGGACTATGAAAAAGCAGAAGAAATTAACTAAAACAATTAAACAATTGGAAGTTGTGAAAAAGGCGAAAACAAAGAAAATGCAAGACAATATGCCAGTAAGATATATGCTTTCTTCTATATAGATATATGATTTCTTCTATATTTTATATATACTAGCCATTTATTCGACGGTTCTGGCTTGAAAGCGGCAACTAGAGACAGAAAGAAAAGGGTCGGTTGTCGATTTCAGGCAAGTCATTTAATGTTAACTCGTGTCTTCTAGAAATTGATGCTTTCTTCGGATACGAGGCAGTTGTTTTGTCGATACAACACAATTGTGTTGCGTATATATATAATGACACTATTATTTAGAATCTTGACTTAAAAAATTTTAAAACAATTTAATTTAAACAATTTAAACTCTGAAAAACTTGGCAGCGCGTGACTATATTATTATACTTGCCATATCTATTTTTATATATTTTATATTATTTTTTTAATATTTATTATTTCATTTTTATAATTAAATAATATGATACTATGTTTATAATACTTAATAATAATAGATACTTGAGAATTGTAAAAAAATAATATTTAAAATTGTTATGCGCGATATATATATTCTAATAATAGTATAATAATTGCTACTGGAACGCAAATCGTAAATATCTTGTCCTTCATAATTAGAAAATTCCGGGATTGGAAAGGTTAACAAGCTTGCTTGATTTATAGAAAAATGAGATCAATGTCATCGATTAGCATTTGAAAGGAAAGATTGTTGGGAGTCGATTGATGTTTCGCGAGTTATGTCAACGTAGTCATTGTCGAAGATTTTATCGAATACTGGCAGTACTTCTGTGTTTCTAGAAATTGAACAAATCGATAAGTAAATTCAGCTGTTTATTTTATTTATTTAGTTATTAGTTTATTCGATGCAAACGAAATTATGAATTACGAAATCTTGGCTAACAAAGTGATCGTTTCGTCAGAAAGCAAAAATTTGTAGCAACACGCGTATCGATATGTGAAAAGGTGTGTGTGTGTATGTGTGTGTATGATTGTACACGCATATATATATATATTTCTTACTTTTCTTTTATGTAATTAAATTTTCCCGGATAATCCCATTTACCGAGTCGTTGTTGTTCGTGTAATCGAGATAATCAATGGATACGCATGTGTTATACGCAGCGCGAAAATAAACGGTGGAAAACTAGCTTGATCTAATTCAAGAATGTCCATTTATACGTTTGTCTACCATCTGCCGTCACGATTCGTGTGACAGATGAATTTTACATTAATAGAAACATTCGCGCGAGAAATATTTGTCTATTAATAATAATGTAGAGAATTTCTGAGTGACGGAGCATATTTAAAATTTTCTCTTGTAATATTTCGTATATTACTATATAAATATATAATATATATATCACGTACATTTTCAGCAAAGTGTGATATTTCTTGATTATCGAGATCACTCTTTTGCAAATATTTATCTGATATCATTTTTATTCGATTTTTCGAAAATACGCGATAATTTATTACGTATCTGATATACGTGAATATTGTCACGTTAACTGTACATAATTTAAGCGGTTTGTAAGATAAAACATCTCCAAGGAGAGAGGCTGTGATAAAGAGTTAAATTGCTTGAAAGAATTGATTTCTTTATTGTTATATTAAGGTTTTCCAATCAACTGATAAAAATAACAATAAGTGATTCGATGCAAAGTTTGCGAATTTTAATTAACTAGACAACGCAAAGTGCGCGCTTCGCGCGCGCCATTTATTCCCTTTTATTATATATACATTTCTCACTGTCTCACACAAGCTCAAAATCAAAATTTATTATAATCGCAAATGACAACTGCTCACAACATGAATTGAACGCAATAAAAGAACCAATCGGCATCGCGGAAAAACGGCAACAATTCAAGCGTCACATGCCTTTTTTCATATAGGATAGGATAGGATAGGATAGGATTTGATTTACATATTTTATTATATGCATTGTACTTTGCTCGCATGCACGCACGCATTTTTAAATATTTTATTTTTTGAACTTTATTTGTTTAACTTTTTTTTACATAGAGTGTAATATTTTTTATTTAATATATGTCTCATCTTTTTACAGGCGACAAAGCAAGTAAAGAAATTTGACACAGATACGAACGATACAAATTTTAATATGCTTCTAAATAATTATAGAAACAAATTGAAAGATATTAATCTTAAAAAATCGAAGTGGTACGAATCCTCAAATGGATCTTAAAATGTATTAAAGTGAAAAGAATCATAATAATATATGTATTTAAGTATACATAATATTTGTAATGTATGTAACGAATTAAAAGAATCATTTAACATAATTAAAAATTTTAAAAATTAAAAAAAATTTCCTTTAATCATTAATTAAGCTTTTACATTTCAATTTCTCTATGTCATATTGAATTATTTCATTCATAGTAAAACAACTATGAAACATACATGCATCCTATTCTTTCTCTTTTTAATGCCATGTCTTTTGTGCCTCTATTCATAAATACTTCCCCTTCTTAAAATTTCATTCGTTCTCCCACTCATGAGTAGTTTTCTTTCAAACTACCTTCAATAAAGTATACTTTAACGCTAAGCAAAGCAACGTGACTTCAGTTAGATTGTGATTTTTTTCATGTATACAACGTATCCTAGGTAAGATCTTCAAAAATTGAACCTATGCAAATTAAATTTTGACCTGTACCTCACTGTCCTTAACATTAATTACTTAAATCAAAATTTGTTTTAATCTATGATTTATTTGTTATTAAAAATATTTACATTTTATTAATATTTTTTGTTAATTAGGATAGAATTATTAGTATTTCTTATTGGTTGAATGGAAGAAAAATTTAGATTGAAGAGCAAAAAATTATTTAGAAAAAAAGGTTCATTTCGTTAACTTTTTGATCGTAGTTATATATTTAATTAATTATGTAATTAATATATTTTTTTTGTTATATATTTAATAAATTTTATTTTTTTGTGTTGAATTTTTAATTTAAATTTTTGAGATCGAGTTTTTAGTAGTTTTTATTTTTTTTACTGATTTTCTAATTATCTTTATTTTTTTATTTTTTACAAATTAGTAAGAACTTAATTATTAGAATGTTATTTTATAAAAAGTTAAAACTTTCATTATTTTATTTTGTATTTTATAAAATTATTGCATCACATTATCTTATTTCATTGAAATATTGCATGCATGTGCAAACATAATTCTATCTTTATATATTTTATATAAAAAATATATGTATATATATTACATATACTTGATACAATATATATATATATATATGTATCATATATTTTTTATATTCCTTTTCTCATGTAATATATAATTTTAATTATATTGTAATTATGCAAACACCGACATTGTTGTTTTCGTTTCTGTTGCATTCTTATTATTATGCTGATACAAATGTGTGTTCATGATATGCATTATTAAACGGCGCCTAAATTGTAATAGCGACGATCTATGGGAAAGTTGTGACAATTTACGGTGCAACGAATGCATCGCAAGAATGAATTGAGAATTTCACAATTACTGATTTATTGACATCGCGATTTCTCTCGAAGAAAATTGCCCGATTATTTTCCTATTTTATTATTTCTATTTAGCATATGTGTCAAAATAATATTCACATATGTTTTGGCAAGAATTAGACTTTATCTAGAAAATATTTGATATATTTTTTATTGATATTTTATACATATTTATTAAAACGCAACTATTTTTTAAAACTATTTTTCTCATTACTAATCTGTTTCTTATTTCTAATTATATCTATTTCTAATTAATATAAATTATAAATTAATAACTATCGTCATATTTTTAATATTAATAAATTATATTAATTTGTTCACTTTTTACATTTGCATCAAAATTTATATTTTAAATATTTTAATATTTAAAAATATAATTTATTTGCATTCAAAATTTGTTTCGTAAGCTTTTTGTAAAATTAATTTTAGAGTTTAAATTAAAAAAAGAAATAAATTCTCTAACAATTAGTACATCTCCGATAATATTATTGTTTCATGTAAATAATTCGTCTCCCTAAAAATATTTTATATCATATATTTTGTATATGTATTTACATGAATGGCAATGTATGTTATTCATATTATATAAATGTATAAATGTTTATTTCTTGATAATTAAGGGGATATTAAAATTAAAATACAAAATACGTGCAGAAGTCTTAGAAAGTACAGTATATTTTCGATGAATTTAGGTATTCAAAGTGATACTTTTTATCTTAACTATATTTCTTTTCCTATATATGTCTAGTTTTAATTGAATGATTATCTATTCACTTTTATGAAAATACATGAAAAATTTAGCGCTTTCTACACTTGGAGATATTCCAACAATGATTCGGAGACATTTCCGCATAAAGATTGTGGCATTATATCATACTGTTGTGTCACCTATTACAATCACCATGCATAGAGAATCGCTTTTCTATTGCGTTAAATTTGCATGCAAATTTCACATACATTCTTTGTCTATGAGAGTGTCGTACAAAGAATGTGTTCCGATGTAAATAACTTTCCTTTGTATATCATACAATCATACAACAAATACTGTTCAATTCCTGCTGTTAATTTGTAGGTAGATTTTATTGGAAAGCTCTGCTTGATTTTTGTTGCCAATCTGTCAGCAAGTTATGTCAACAAACTCTACTCGATTTCTTCCGCCAATTTGCTGTCTAATTATGTTAACAGATTTTGTCGGGAGAATATAAGCTGAATGAGGACGCAGTTGATGTCAGTCTGCTGACATGTTTTGATCATATCTGCTGTCAGTCTGCTGACATACTGCCAGCATTCTACTTACAGAGTTTAGTGTGGCCGCAAAATTTTAGTAAAAGATAAAAAGTAAAATTTTAGTAAAATAAAATATTTCTTTTGAACTCTGATAACTTTGACCAGCTAAAGTAGATAGTACAGTAATTAGAGTTTTGATTGTATGCAACAAATATTAGTTTAGGCGAAAATAGATATTTTATAAAGATGGAATTATATTTTTATTACATAGTTTACAAATGGCTACATTGAGACAATACATGAAGGAATTGTTACGACGATTCGTCAGATTTGAAATGAAGAGTGACAGAGTAACATTAGATACATTGGCCGTGAATGTTGGAGAACAAGATTTATTATCACATCGCTCATACTCGGACATTCCAGGACCTAAGCCGATCCCTTTGTTGGGTAACACCTGGCGATTTCTGCCTTACATAGGTATACTTGAGTTAATTGAGTAATTTTTTCCAAGCAAATAGCAAGTCACATTTCCGGCTATTCTTGCTACAGAGTTTATTACACTGCTGATATTATGATATCTATTCATCTTTTTAAGCTTTCCTATTTTGATTGTAAATTTTCTTCCTTTTCATATAATTATACATATTTAATACATATTTAACCAACGAAAAGACAAGATTGTTTTTTAGTTTAATTAATTTATATTTACATTTTAATTAACTGATTTGCTCTCCATTTTAGTAAATTTTGAGATCTGTAAATATTGGTTTACTTGCGAAATATTAGTAGAATCGATCGCTCAATGAATCTTTGTAAATATGATTGACTTTGCATAATGAACATATTTAATTGGCAAACATTTTAATTTGAAATTTTAAGTGTATAAATAATAAAAATCAAATATTAAAAAACTCTCTCATGCGTATATAGACAAATACACTCATTATTTGTATAATATTTATATAATTACGAGAAAAAAATTTCTACAAAATGAAAATAATTTTTCTATGTTTATTAATTAAATTTGCGCAAGCTGATGTGTCTGTGATAAAATAGGTGTCGCTTGCAATTAGTAATACGCTGTTAAGATTTTTAGAATAAAAGATATAAAATTAAGATAAAAAAATTAATACTCTTGAATCAGAAAATTTAATTAAAAAATCATTTTCAGGAAACTTCGATATACGAGCAGTAGACAAATTGTCAAAGAGATTACATGATCAATATGGGGACATCGTGAAAATAGAAGGACTCTTGGGCAGACCGGATATGGTATTTGTGTACGATGCGAATGAAATCGAGCGCATCTTTCGACGAGAAGAAAAAATGCCTCATCGACCTTCAATGCCATCGCTCGATTATTACAAACATGTATTGCGAAAAGATTTTTTTCAAGACAACCCCGGTGTCATTGCCGTGTAAGCTATATTAGATTTCAATTTTATACTTGACATCATTCCAATACTCGAGAAGAAACACTTGAAGTTTTTCATTCGATAGATGGAGAAATGATGATCACACTCTATTATAATATTTTGATTTTAATTCTCCTTTTCTTTCTACATGTTACAGTCACGGTGACAGCTGGTACAAATTCCGGAGCAAGGTTCAGCAAGTGATGCTGCAGCCGCAAACCGCAAGAAGATATATCGGCGCGATCGAAGAAGCAAGCGAGGCATTCCTTCACAGGTTCGCCGATTTTGTTCAAATATCATTCTAAACAATGTTTTATTTTATCGAGCCATCTTGCTTAACGCTAACTATTTATTTGCGGATACACTTGCTTAATCTTATGTCACTAGAAAAATATTCATTCTCATCTTCTTTTCATAGAATAGCAAGAATACGAGATGAGAAACACGAGGTACCTAATGATTTTCTCAACGAGATGCATAAGTGGTCCTTAGAATGTAAGTGCAACGAGATAGACAAGACTTCAAGAATTTTTCATGACTCTCGCATAAATATTGAATCATTCGAAGAATTTCTGTATGAAAAGATTTCTCTTTCTCTAAAGGACTTGAAAAGAAAATTTTGTGAAGATGGTATCTTTGAATTGTATAATAAAATTTTAATTATCAAGATCAAATATAATTCATTAAAGATGTATCTATATAAATTCATTTTTTCTGCATTTTTCTGCATTTTTCTGCATTTTTCTGCATTTTTTAAAAATTATTCTTTTGCATGTCTTTAAAAAGAATCGATATTAATCTTTGGAGTAATTTAATAATTTTTTTACCTAATTTAATAATTTAATAATTTTTTATTAAACAACAAAGAATGATTTATATAAGATATTTAATATATGTGCAAAAAAGTGCAATATAAATAAATGTAATAAATAATTTTGTTGTTAGCAATTGCACGAGTCGCGTTGGACGTGCGTTTAGGTTGCTTAGACGACGATGCGGATGCGGAAACGCAAAGACTCATAGATGCATTGATCACGTTTTTCAAAAACGTGCCGGTGCTCGAATTAAAGATACCTTTTTGGAAAATTTTCAATACACCCACGTGGCAACAATATATAAATGCTTTGGACACTATTGTGAGGTAAAAAATAATAAGCGAGATATATAATCTTTTCTTTCAAAGAAATTCTTAATTATATCGATTTATATCGATTATTGTTTTAAAGAAAATATATAAATTAATGTAATATAAATAATATAAAAAGTACATATATTTATTTTCCTATTATTTATATAAATTATTTTGTTATATATTTTAGTACAATATCGAAATATACAGCTGCCGCTTTATCGAGAGCCAAGAACAACATGGATTTGGATAAAGAATTGTCTCTTTTGGAAAGAGTTCTAGCTCTCGAGGGTAATACAAAAATAGCTTCTATTCTCGCTTTAGATTTATTCTTGGTTGGCGTTGATACGGTAAATATTTTGTTATACTTTATAACTTTCTATATTTAAATAATTCACATATGAGTTTTCAATTCTGGAATTATTTACAGACTTCGACTTCAGTGGCCTCGGTGCTTTATCAGTTAGCATTACATCCAGAAAAACAAATGTTGGCATATGAAGAAATCTGTAATGTCCTACCGCAAACAGACGTACCTCTCGAAGCGATAAATATCGATAATTTAAAATACTTAAGAGCGTGCATTAAAGAAACTCTAAGGTTCGTTGAGATTAAATAGATACGCTTTCTTAAAGATTTCTCGTTTTGCAATAAAATTAATACTGCAACTCATATTCCCTCAATTATAAGTATCATCACGTTGTGATTTATGTCTTTTATTTTTAATTAGAATGTACCCAACTGTCATAGGCAACGGGAGAAGTACAACTTCGGATACTATAATTGGCGGTTATCACGTGCCGAAAGGAGTAAGAAGAGAAGATAATTTTAAATTTAAATTTGACAGCATGTAATGCAATACAATTGTCTGTTAATGAGACAATACGAAATCGAATATTAATTATATATAATCAAATTATTTGAGATTTTAAAAATTTTATTTAAATCTTTCAGTTGTAATTAAAACAATTTTGCAGTCACAGATAATAGGAGAAAACAGATACAAATTTTTTGTGAATGTTAATTGTTCTCAGGTGCATGTGGTATTTCAACACTATGTCATTAGCAACATGGAGAAATACTTTCCGCGCTGTCATGAGTTTCTTCCGGAACGATGGTTGCGTGAAGATGAAATCCATCATAGATTCGCATCTCTTCCTTTCGGTTATGGCAGGCGCATGTGTCTTGGGCGACGATTTGCCGAGCTCGAAATGATTATTGTTATTAGCAAGGTGAGAAATGATCTCTGATTGTCGAAGGTATGTCAAGTCGCGAAAAAAGGCTTCGTGCACTTTCACTAATTTAGGTCACTGGCTTACTTTCCTACCGATATAAGTACCGATATAAGTTTGGGAACAGTAGTTTGTAGAGTAGTTTGTAGAGTATATATTGCAATATGATTTTAATAATTTTATCGATAGATTCCCTGATATATGTATAACTTTGAAATTAATTTTTTCTTATATAATTAATGATGAAAAATTGCAACACACGAATTAATTATTATTTCTATCAATTTTAAATGATGAAAATTAATTTTATCTTATCTTATATAAATATTTCTTTAATTGTATATGATTATTATTTTTATATTTACGATGATGGTATTACGCAGAGCGAGAATAATTACATGAAAATTGTTTGATATGGCACAAGACCGTTACAACATAACGTAATTTTACTAATTACGTTTTAGCGTCTTAAAAATGAACATGTATTACGTCAGAGTATGTAATTTTACGGTAGTTAAAGAAGATAATTTTTATTATCATATTTATATGTGTATAGTTTGTCCCGCAAAACATTTTATTTCATGAATATAACCGTTAATTTTTATTATATTATTGAAAAAATATATTTTTCTCTCTTTATTTCAGATTTTGCAATGTTATAAAGTGGAATATCACTATGAGAAATTGGAATATTACATCAATCCAATGTACACCCCAAAAGGACCGTTAAAGTTGAGATTTATCGAAAGATAGATTTTTGTGGAAGTAGTTAAAAATATTGACATTTTTATAAACTTTGTTTCATAAATATATGTAATTATTATGTATCACCAGTATATACGAAGAAATTTCTAAAATGCATTTTACACACAAAGAAATAATTCCAGAAAGAAATTGTTAATGTAATTCGACATTGTGCATTTTCTGACGACAAATATAAATCTTGAAATTTACATACCATTTACATACCATTTAAATATCATCTTACCTCTGTAATGTAATATGTCTATAATATAATCAGATTTCATGTAATATTTATAGATTTTTATTAATATTAATATGCAAATTTCGAGATATTTTGTGTCCTATTTTTTTGTTTTAAATCTATTTTACAGTATCGGGAGATTACAAGATTTTAGCACTATCTTTTTATTATTTTAAATTTGAGTTCCCCATCAGGCGCATACATGAAGGTGACCTTGTATTTTAGCGGCTCGTGATGGTATTCCAATTTAAATGATCTCAGGAGCTGCAAAAATAATATCGTTATAATTAACATTATTTTAAATTGTTGATGCTTGAATTGTTGATTTTTTGAATTAATACGTAAAATTAAATTTTTAAAACATAATTAATTTAATATACATATAAATTAATTAATTTAAAATTTAAAAAATTTGAAAAATCCACTTTAAAAATATTTAATTGTAAAAAATTCATTATTAAATGATGAAAATTGCACATTAAATTTAAATTAGATAGCAGAATATATGGAACTTGTTCAAGTTGTAATATGCCTATAAGAACACAAGGCCAACAGGTTGTTAAAAGTATGCACGTTTATCAAATAAGAAAACAACTTAAAGTACCTTTGTTAGTAGAACTTGCATCTCAAGGTCCGCGAATCGTCTACCCAAGCACATTCGTGCTCCGTAACCGTATGGCAACGACGCAAACGGATGCAATTTCTCATTGTCGTCCTTGAGCCACCTCGCAGGCTTGAATGTTTTCGAGTCTGCGACATACTCTTCCATGTTACCAGTGACAAGTGTGGGAAACACAACTTGGACCTAAAGTTACAATTTATATATATATATATATATATATATATATATATATATATATATATGTATGTATGTATGTGTGTATGTGTGTGTGTGTATAGATGTAAAATTATTTAGAATTCATATAATTTTATTAAACTTAAAGACCCCAAATGTGTTTCTCAAAAATTTTATTTATAAGATATTAAAGATATTATTAAAAGGAAAATAACATCAATGAAAAAGCATTTTATTTTAATGCAAATGTAGAATTTCGATTTGCAGAGAATTACATATCGTGCATGATGAAATAGCGATGACTTTATACAGATGAATATATTATATAGATGAGCGATAGCAAAATGTTGGAAAGAGAAATGTGACATACTCCTTTAGGAATTTTGTAGCCGCAAATAACAGTGTCGTTCTGCAATGTTCTGCCGTTTCCGATAACAGTGGAGTACACCCTGCAACAGCCACGTTCTGAAATTTTTCATTTCTCACTCTTTTTAATATTTTTTTAAAACGGAATTAGATCATTATCAACGACGCGCGAAAAAATTAAGTCAGTCACTTAGCAAAAAAAATTTGAATTATTATCAAAGTAATACTAAACAATGTTAATAAATACCGTTTAGTATTACCTAAATACTTCACGGATGAAAGCCTTCATATAGATTGCTTGATCCAAATGATTCGTTGTAAGAGAAACGGAAGGATCCGGCAATATCTGCAGCAGCTCCTGGTGTATCTTCTCCTGCTCTTCCGATCTAATTGCTAATTGATATAATATTGAACACACCGCCATTGATATCTGCAATTTATCATATATGCATTTATTTATGTGTATAATATATTTTATTTAAATATTTTTTATACCTGTACACATCTAATTTCTAATAATTTATAATCAAAAGAAAAATGTTTTATTTCATGCTGCGTTTAATTGATAATAACTCTGCCATCATCATAATTATAATAATTGTATAATGTAATTATAATTTATAACATTGCGTTACTTGCCGTATCAATGCCGACTAATATCAAGTCAAGAGCGAAGATATAAGCTAGCTTAGGATTCGTCTCCTTGGCTAAAATTCGTTCCACTAGCGACAAATCGCTCTCGTCCATGGCTTTTTTATTTTTAAGCCTGACTATTGCGGCGTCAATGTACTTCATGCATATCCTAAAACAGAACATACGCTATCATTATCACAAAAATTATTATCATTCGTCAAAAGTAAATTAAATTAAATTGCAAGAAATTTTTATATGTAATGGCAAATAAGTCTATATTTCAGTTCTCAATTATTTCTTGTGTAATTTTCTATTTCTTCCAAGACTCGTGCGTGCCATTATGACTTGAGAAGTTCCGAAAAGGGTAGAAAAGAATTCGCTTTCACATATCTAAATTCTAAATAAAGAATATGTCTCGCAAAACATGAAAACGACTTACAATTAGATCTAACGCGATCGCATGAAAAACTGATTCGAGAAACTTTAGAGATATTTGCGTAACTTTCCAGAATGAATCTCGCTGTCAATTATTTGTTTTTTATTAATCTATCTCCTTGTACAGGAGTCTCCTTACTCGATGAAGTAATTCATATTGCGCACGTAACGGCTCCATAAGGGCGTCGGGACGTATCTCCAGTAGGGAGCCTTAAGCTCAAGCGCGGCCACGTTTCTCAACGCAAACTTGGCAGCGTCGATTATTTTTTGCGGTTCAGAATCTGGAGACAATGCTTCGCCTAAACATCCGAGTCTAACATCAAGTGCCACACGACCAATACCTGCACAACAGATGTATAATTCATAGTACGTAGCGAGTGCCATCGTGAGCGTCGCAGGAATGCGCTCTCGAGAAACTCAGGCTTTCCCCAGTAAGAAAGAAAGAGAAAGGAGATAGACTTTTAAATAGATTATTCTTCCCATTGATAGACTGGATATTCTCTCATAAATTCGAAACATTAGAAATCTAATCATTTTGTGACTATACATATATATGTACATATCTTGAAAAATAAAAATACAGTATTAGAATATCGTAAAGAAAATTGTATAAGAAATGTGTAGTGTGTGAACAAAAAATATAATTATAATTTTAGCTCATTAACAGAATTTTTTGTCATGCAATACGTGCCATAAAATTGTAAGCAACCAATATTTTACATAGGATAAGAACTAACATTCGAGAGCCCATTTATGTATTTCATTGTCGAAATCACCGGGCATTTCGCCATCATCTCCTTGAATTTCTTCGATTCTGCAATACATCGAAGATATTTGAATAGATTAAAAATAGTATTCGTATAGTCGCCAATAAATGTATTTCATTTCCCACTCTCTCTCACCTTCTTATGAAATCCTCCGTGACTATTTCGATTGGCGTTATATATTTTTTTATAGTTTGCGGTTGGAGAACAGGTTTTTGGACGCGCGTACGAAACTCTTTCCATTGTTCGCCGTGTCTAATGAGAAAAAACAATTAGCGTACAATAAGTTCAAAATGAACGAGCAGAAAAGGGCTGCAAACAAAAATCTTTTCTCGATATTTCACTAAGATTATGACTACAGACTTCTATATATATTACAAAATTATATATATATTATATAATTATAATATATGTAAATAAATTATAATATGTAAATATATATGTAAATATACGTGTATATATGTAAATATACATAAATATATGTAAATCTATGACTGATATTTAAAATAAAAGACTGATTCTTAAAATTGAGGACAAGGCCCATTTCAAAAATCAAAAGTGACAAAATTATTTAATCATTATATTGTACCTACACGCCTACGACTCCAGGCAGATCACCGAAGAAATCTTTGCGCACGACGCTTTTATAGTGCACCAGACAGGGCATGGAGGGCCTGAAAGGTGTCGGGCCCTCCTGCCGGTACACTTTCTCGATCTCGTCGGCGTCGTAAACAAATAGCAAATCGGGACGACCAATTAGACCGCTCAGTCGTACGATTTTGCCATACTCTTCGTAAAACAGTTGCGAGATCTTTGCAACATCCGAGATCTGATACTGGCCGATCAATGGCAGCAGCCTCCAAGCATTCCCTAGGAATGGTATCGGTCGTGGGCCTGGTACTTTATCGTACGGTTTAATGTGTGACGGGGATGCGAATGCCTGGGACGATGATGCCTGAGGACACTCGGATGCGATCGTGCTGTTGCAAAAATGTCTTCGAAGAACGATTCTTTGATGTAATAATTCACGGGGATGTAATACGCGGCATCGCGTCCCGGAGATTCGTAAAGGCGATTTTATTCTGAAAAACCGATTGCTGATTATTTCCCTTTTCAAATTAAATTATTTCCCCTTTCAAATTAAATCACACAATGATTATCAAGAGATATCATCGTTAAAACAAAAAATAAAAAATATAATAATACTTACTATGAAGTATTGAAGAAAATATTTTACGAAAGTTAATATTTTTTATTTTAATGTATACTATACTTTAAGAAGGGATATTTATCTTATGCTATCTAAATATCTTATGTATGATGAAAGACAGAGAATAAAAATATATATACGTATTAATTAGAATAATTGAAGGATTATATAAAAATTTTATAACTTAAATTGTAGTATATAATTGATTAAATATGCCAGTCTGGTACACAGATTTTGTAATTCAGTACGATAATTGAATATGCTACTCTCGCACAAACATTCCACATTATGTTTTTTGTATTTTTCTTTGTTTCTTCCTGTAGAAATTCAATTTATTTTAAATATTGAATAAAATTTGATTCAAAGTCATTTAATATCCAGAAATTTAGAATGCAATTTGAAATGAAATTTGAAATGCTAGTACGCGTTAGAAACATAAATAAATATATAGATATATCTAAATATATAAAAATTAAACAATGTAAAAAATTTCTTTATTATTTTAGCAAATATTACATACAAAATATTCATCTAATATTATGAATTATTACGTAATAAATTTAGAAAGAAAATTTAAAATTTTAGAATTAACTTTTCTTTTTTTAAATTATCTATCAATTTCACTAAAGTATCAGATCGCTGCATGCAAGTATTCTACGGCGTGAAACATAATTAATGTTAGAAAATTGTGGAAAGTCGCTCTTCCGCGAAAGGCATTCCTCTCACGCATTGAAATCACTTTGCTCAAGAAAGGAAAATGGCTTTTCAACTCCGTTTCTATATCAGCACAATTTCTACGAAGTATTGTATTACGATTTAATTATAGAAACAATATTATATACCGCAATCAACCCCCGTAATTTTATTTTATAAGCTTTACCTTGTAATGCCAAAGGATAGCATTGTCGAAATTCGCTTTTCACAAAGACCGAAATGCAATTTGATTTGACGGATTTTTCACATTCATATATACACACTTGCAGGGTGAATAAGGGATTGTCAATGTTAACGCGCTACATGGATACACCGTTACTGAAAACGATGCGTGCTTCAAGCAAGGAAGAAGGTCGCAATCTGATGCGGCGGGAATATCCCCTCCCATTGATGAAATAGCTCCCTTCCTCCATAAACTGATCCGAATCTTGAATAAGTTTAACGCGATGTATTTTTTATATATGTGTGTAGTCCTTTTTCATTTTTCTTTTTACACTTTCTTCGTCAAAACAAAATTGTTAAAGCTTAAAGAGAAAAGAGTCTTATCATCCCCTTTTGCCATATTGTGCTCATTAATTTGGTCAATTTATACATTGAATATAAATATTATGATAATCTTGCATACATTTTCAATGTGAGCTTAATTATAAAATAAAAATGTATAATATTGAAAATTTCTTACAAGAAATATAAAAACATTCTAAATTTATAGATATACCTGTGTATTTTGTTAATATTATTTTATTAATTATAGAATTATATATTAATCTTTTTTGATTGTTTGGATGGAAAGAAAGATTTGATTAAAAAGCGATGAATTAGATTAAAAATATATTGGAAATATATTGGAAATTTTGCTGCAGATAATTCTATTATGTTAATTGATTTACGCGTTGGTTAAATTAATTGGAATTTGATCGAAAAAGCATATTATAAGTGTATTATTTGTAATTTGAAGGTACATGTGTGTGTTCGTATCTTTAATTCACCTAATTTATAATTGTAAGACTATAAAATTAGTTTTGAAAATCTTATAATTATCTATAATCAACAGATATCTACAGTTCTTTTAATCTTTTCAAGAACAAAATTATAATAATATCGTTATAAGAGAAAGAAGTTATTTATTTCAAGGTTTAAAGACTTTACATAATTAAGATTGTACGGTATGATAAATAAGAAAAGGTGAAGGCAATAGCGAATGATGTGTAATTATAACATTATAATAATGAAAATAGAGAGAAACAAGAAGATAGATTATATATTAAATATTAAAAACATTAACATTATAATAATGGAAATAGAGAGAAACAAGAATAGATTATATATTTAATATTAAAAATGATGAGCTACTTTATTTATTATATTATTTATATGTGTAATTAATTTATAATTATTGCATAATTAATTAATAATTTATATAAATAAATATTATTAGGATTTCTATAATTATAATTGATATAAAATTTTATTTAAAACAAGATTGTTACATGTATTTACACAAGTTTATCTGGACATGTTTAATGCTTGTGCTTTTCTTTTATGTATATATGCAGATTATTAAAGTCATATTATGGATATGATTTTTTTTTAACAAAAATGTCAAATAGTATTGAAATAAAGTTTATTTTTTTATTTTTTTTATTTTTAGTTATGATGCGCAAATATTTAGAGATAAAGCAATATATGGGAATAAAGAATAGCTATGACATTAATTTTTGTTTTTTAATTAAGTTTGAAGAAAAAAGATAAAGTTGTCCATATATAATCACATAAAATTATGTAATATATATCATATTATTATATTACATAGTGAAAACAATTGGCGCATGCATAGCACGCGCTTTGTAATGTTTTAGTCTATATAATCAATAAGACACTATACGTACCATATTTAAAATTTTTCTCTTTCTCTTAATCTATATAATTAATAAGCATATACGTACCATATTAAAAATTTTTCTCTCTCTCTCTCTTTTTCTTTGATATGCTCTTCGAATTCTTTATAAGTTCCTCATGAGTGCTCTATTTTGGTCTCACCCGCGAAGTAAAGTAGCTTTTAATTGACCAATCAGAACAAAGGAAGCAAAAACGTTTTGTCCTGTGATTGGTCAATTGTTCAATATTACTCCAAGAGTAGGATTTTCGAACGCATCCTATCCGTGGCGACGATGCAAGCGAATACAGTCCTGTATTGCCAGTTGCATTCGCAGATGATTGCGCGCGTCTTCAAGTAGTAGAAAATGCTGGATGATGTATCCCGCTGCACCGGACTTTCCTTATGTCCTGTCAGAATGTGAGGAAATCAATTCGATTTTGTATAAACCGATTAACTCGACGCAACGAATAAAGGTACAATGCTATGATGGTTTTTCTTTGCGTGCAATGCGTCAGGATAATGCAAGGTTAAGCTAGATTATTAGTAGGCGTAGTATACAATGCATCTGTCAAACTGATGTCAGAAATTGCGTCAAAAATTTATCCCTCATCGCGATAAAAATAATTGTACAATATTATATTTTTATTCAGTTTCAATATTTTTTTTTTAATAAGCCGACTTTCTAGACTTATATTTTTTTATACATATGTGAACACAAATATATTTATCTCTCTTTTGCTTATATTTTATTGTATATTTATATTATTATATAATTATAGTAATATAAGAATTACTTTGTCAATAATATGAGTAAAATAAAATTAGCAAATTTGTATTTTTTTCCAATATTTTATCAGTATCACATTATATTATTGACTAATATTATAGATATATGTAATACTAGTATAAATTAATTACAGTATACATGTTTCGACACTTCATCAAGTTACATTATATTGGGTTCGACCAGTGGCAGTGTTTACGTGTTTTCCAGAGAACCATGTTCATTTTTGCAAATAATACCCTTATCGGTAAATAACAATTTGATTCTAATTTATTAAATAAGATTTTATATTTTGTTTTCTTCAATATGTATGGTATAATTTAGAGTAATTATAATTAAAGTCAATTATTAAAATTTGTTGATTATAAATATATCATTGCCCTGTAATGTTAATTAAATATTGTATCAATAATTAATTCTTGTGTTTTATTAGGAGGGTGTGGTTTCACGTGTAGCGATATCACCTGACGAAAAGACTGTAGCATTAGCAACAACTCGTGGTACAGTCTGTGTAATGTCTCTGAAATCTACTCCTCAATTGATAGCTATATCTATGGAACATATGTACGAACAAATCACATGTCTCTGTTGGAATAATAATAGCACCGATATATATGTAGGAGATACAATTGGCAGAGTTTCTGTCATGGTATTATCTAGATTTGGGGTAAGTATATAACTCATCATAAGAAATAAAATACATTAAAAAGTTTCCAATCTTAATATAAATATTTTAACATATAATAATATAAAGTAATTCAAGTAAAAAATAATACAAATGTATAAATATAAAATAAAATTTTATATACAAAACATGCAACGTAATAGCTATCTATTTGTAACATAGATATAATTTATATTACTGTTATAAAATATATTCAATTTTTATGTATTACATATATTTACATTTATATATATACATCAATTAATACATTATATGTACTTTTTTTTACAATTCAGGTCAATGGAATGTTTCAAACACCGACTTGCACACTGATGAACTTGGATTCTAGCATCGTGCAATTAAATTTCTTCTCTCCTTTGCTCTTAGTCTCTACATTGGCACGTTGTTATATCTGTGATACAGTGCAAGAGCAATATAAACAAATAGGCAACAAACCACGGAATGGCGAGTTCGGCGCGTGCTTCTATAAGATACATGAGAACACAGCTTTAAACCTGCAAAAGGAGGAGAGGAACATCAACGATACGCGTAGTGCGTTTAATTTGATCTCCAATAACGACAGCAATATTCTGGGTGAGGAAAATCACGCGAAGATTTTTTGTGCTCGACCCGGCTCAAGATTGTGGGAAGTATCGGCTGATGGGATTGTTGTGAAGACGCATCAGTTTAAGGAGGCTCTGGCCATTCCTCCGATACCGATTTTTCGATTAGCTGGCACTTTAGAATCTAGTCAGAAGGAAGAAACGGAGCGCGAGTGGCCACCGCAATCCATTAACTTTTCGCATTTACTCGTGATCGCGCGCAGATATTTATTTTCCTACACAAATAGTGGCGTGTATATTATTGATCCCATTAGCGCATCCGTGTCACTGTGGAGCAACGAGTATACAAATATCGCCATGACTGCGGTCGTGGATGATCGAATCTACCTGATGACCTGTGATAGCGAGTTTCATTGTCTAGCGTTATCGTCGTTCGATAGCTTGATATTGCGATTATATCGTCACGAACGGTACAGCGAATGCCTAAACGCATGCTTTGTATATAAGTCGCTATTATTAAAAACCGTTGATTCTAAAGAGATCATCGAGCTGTTTGAGATGGAAGATCTGCCGCAAATATCGCGAGACGAAGAAGCGCTGTTATTGTTGCGGCCATTAATAACACTTTTGCAAACCGATAGTAATAATAAATCAGCTAAACTGGATTCTGGAATTGTAGTCGTGCATTCGGAAAATGAAGGATTCACGAATAGAAGAACATACGGCTGTGAAACAACGTCCGCGCTGCAATCTCCTGAAACATCTAGCGAAGATTCGTCTGAAATACAAATAATGTCCGGGAAGGATCGGGACGAAAATCTTGCACAAGAAGATATATTTGAAACAACTTCAGCGGATGTACTTGATCTAGACGAAGAATTGTTGGAAAATATTAAAGGCGATAATTGTGAAAATCTTCACGATCCACAACAAAGTATAATGCATAAGATCCAATCCGACTTACAACCGATTTACGATCTAGCAAACAGCGTCAGACCTAGTATATCGGAAAAAGAAATCGAAGAGATCATTTTAGAGACGGATAAGCTGATGCGAACTATTAAGGAGTCCTATAGAAATTCATCTGGACTTCAAAGTTTCATTTACGAAATTACTCGCGCTGCCGAATTGCACTATTATAATACATTTTTGGAAAATGCTTCCGTTCAGTTGCTCCACTTCATCAGCAATGATTTAATTGTGCGACAATTCGTACGGGCCTTTATTCAAATCAACTCATCAGCCTATGCCAGATGTAGCTGTGGTTATCCCTATCCGATGGATAAGACAGTGGAGCCGAAATTCCTAACGATTGGCAAATCCTTGATCAAGAGATATGTGGATGTCGATCTGTTGAAAGAATGTAATAATATCTGCGATCAGGTACCTTACATGTGGCGCGAATACCTGGCCGTTCGCATCGAGCGGCATAATACGCTAGACGATGTATTAAGACAGTGCCTTCAGACAAGGGACAAGGTCGTGTTGTCATTCCTTCTGCCGGCATTGAACGAGCAACAATGGAATTGTATCAGCACGTGCCTGGGCGAGATCGAGGAAGGCACTTGTCTGTTTTGCGCGATGCCTTTGATTGAGAAACCCGATTACAACATACTCATAGATTGGAGCGGTATTGCCGGAGAAATCATGAAGAGAGAAGGACCAGATGAGGCAACAGCGTTTCTGATTAAGCTGGAAAGTATGATGCCGAATGTTACTTTCGACAGAAGGTATTGGGCAATCTCTAAATATTGAGAAACGCTATATTTGCAGGCTGTGAAAAAATAATCCAATCCTAAGATCAATATCTTAACAAATTTTTTAAAATTAGTAATAGAAAAGAATAACAATTTTGCATATTATATGAAAAATTATTGTTATCAATAAATGTGTGAGCATTAATTTTTAACGATCTCCAGCTGGATATAATACTTTTTTACTACTAATAGAACTCAAATTTGTCATTAATAATATTTGATATAGTAAGACTATTACTTTTTTGTCTGTCCTGTAAACAAATTTAGAACATAATAATAACATATCACATAAAATTTCACAGTGTGTTTTTGACCTGATAATAATTTTTTTAAACTGTAAACATATTATACAATATAAATAAATAGACACTTTTTGAAAATATATTTTACATGTATAAGGCAAATAATACATGACTTAAATCATTTTTAATGTTGCTTTAATTATTTAATTGAAATAATGTGCACTTAGGTCAAAAGCGCTCTGTGAAATGCACATGTAAAAAATAAAATAAATTAATTTTAACGTAACTATTAACTATAAACGTAACACCTAAATACTAATACTAATACTAATATTATTATATGATGTTTTATTATAGTATATTCCAGTCTATTGTATTTACAAAAATACTGCATCATCGTGGTTTGAAGAAGTTGATCGATTTCAATAAAACTAATCAATTATCATCGGAATTCGGTACAATGTGTTCGCCACAGGTAAATCTTATTACTCTATTTTTATCGTGAAAATAAAATATAGACAAAAGATGAAAATCTAAAAACCATTTAAGAATTATCTTGAAAATATAAACATCTTTTAAGCTTTTGTATAATCTGGATATGCAGAGTGAACCACATAATTCGATCTCTCATTTTGATTATCTTAAAAATCCTTTAAAAACTTTAAAAAGCTACTAATAAAAAAATGTATAATTCTATGTATTTTTCAGATGGTTCTGTGGATTTTTTTAAATTTAGTAATTCTAAAAATTTAAATTATTTTACAACAATAAATAATTAATAATCGAAATTATGTGATACACTTTATGTATTCTTAAGCAGCTTAAGGAACTCACGAGAGAATGTGATCAAGAAATAATAAATTTTCATTGTTACAGGTGCGCGATCATTTAGCGAAATCCCTTGAGAAAGATTTAAGGCGACCGATAAATAAAAACGTATTTGGAACAGGTGCCCATCATTGGGGTATGAGTCATCAAGCTAAATCATCGACGTGTCCATGTTGCACATTATCTTTACAGACGCCAATTTTACTGGGTAATAGTGGAATTGCGATTTTTCGCTGCGGCCATGCCTATCATGTAAATTGTATGATAGAGAGAAAGCTCACTAGATGTAATCTTCATTAGCAAATATTGTAAATACAAGTTAATATGAGAAATAAAAAAAGAGTTACATCGACATTGTACATGTCTCTTAAATTAAATCTCTCTTCATATATGTATATTTTAATTGTTGTCTATCGTTTATAAATTTATTAAGAATTATTCTCTTTCTCTCGCAAATATACTTGGATTTATTATCTCAGTACATTCAGTTATCACAGTTGGAAATTGAACAGAGTTTTCACAATCAAATTTCTTAAATTAATTATAAGAACAAAATCGCTATGATACAAATGCTATTGTATCATCTCGATAGAGCGCATCTTTTAAAATCACCGGCTCTTACGTATTCATTATTAAAATTTTTTTTAATTGCAATAAGATAAAGCTATTGATCACAATTGCGATAAATGATTATAGTTTCTTGTGTACAGAGAGTTGTTAGATATATATATATATATATATGTGTGTACAGTATCCAAATAAAATTTCCTCGCGTGATTCCTGACGCCGCTTATTAAACTTTTGCGAGAAATTAGGGAAAGGACAGACGTACATCTATATACATTTACATTAATATTACATTATTTGTCTTATCACTTACCTTATTCGCGACGTTATTGAAATATTTATTATAATTACACGCATAACGTGTAAATTTCGTATATTTATCTATTATACATATAAAAAGTTTGCAACTAATTTTTAACGTGCTCAATACTTTGAATTTGTTATTTTTTCAGCTAAAGCTTAAGATCCTAATCGTTCATAATTAATTAAATTAATTCGTGAGATTTTTCATGTAATACTACATGCGTTATTATTGCAATATATTTTATGGTTTCATAGTAATATAGATTGCCTCTCCTATAACTTATATATTGCAAAATTTCTAAGATAGATTTCAAGATAAATGATTAAATATCGACTTGATTACAATATGTATCCTTATATGAAATAAATTTCGTATAAAAAGTTACAAATCTGACGACTTTCATCATTATTTCTATAAACATATTGTGTAATGCAATAGCACCAGAATATATTACTATTTTTAAATATATATGGAATTATAAGATATATATAAAATATTCAACTTTAGAAAGAAAAAAATATTTACTAACGAGATTATTTCTTGTATATCGATATCACAGTTTAAATTGTAATAGTGTGCATAAATCTTTCCTGTGACTTTTTATCACAATATGACTAGAAAATGTTTCTCTTTTATATAGTCTAACTTTGTACATACATTGTCTATAAAATCATTTTGTATATAATTATAAAAAAACAGTAAAATTTTATAACAAACATGAGTATTGATAAAATATTTCTGGCTTATACACAATCCTCTTTAGTAATTCACCTTTTCATATAAGTTTTACTTGAAACAATATATAATTTCAATTTTACGAATACTTGAGCAAAATATCGATTATACGCTGAATCGTAGATAAGTAGATATTTCAGCTTTTTTCAATGGATCATGAAAGTATCATGACTTGCGCGATTTATGTTAAATGAACGTGTCTATCTTTGCATGATTCGTGGAGAGAAATAAGAGATATAATTGATTACAATAAATCGCAAGATATAAGAGATCATCGAGATATCTCCACGTATGTCTAAAAGAGAAATTTTACAATACAATTTGGAAGCAAATTCTTTTTGGAATGTATAACTGTTTTATGCTTCCATAGTTGCTGAGGATTGAAATCGCGCAATACTTAGTGTTTTTAACACTTCATAAATATTATCAATTGTCTTTAAATCGAGAACTAATTACATCGATTAGATTTTTCATAAAATAAAGCACTGTACTCTGAATAGTAATGATAGAGAAAATGTAGAGATACGGATATATGAACAAATATATCATCGATACATTTTCTCTCGATATAATATTTTGTTAATAAATAATTATAACGAGATCGCGAATTATAAAAAGGAAGCACTTTATAAGATGATCTTAACACGTTGCTCTCTCTGTTGTGCAATTGTTCTGACAATTTCAATTGTACAATTATTTGCCGAATATTACTTTAATAATTTGTGTACAACGAATTATGAAAAAAAATGATATTGTGCGTGATTATTAAGATTTTAACAATATACATACACAGTGCGCAACGTGTTAATATAATTTGCAAAATAATCGAGAGTTGCGATTGTACATTAAATCCTTTACAAATAAATGTGTAGTTTCTTTTTAGAGAATATCATGATAGACATTAAATGGAATTAAATTTTTTCATGAAAAAGGTGCCCCATTCATATTTTGTATACGAAATAATACGCTTAAAATTAAATATAACTATAAATATAGAGCTGCTTTTTTTCTGTGTTACACTTACCCATTATTACGTCCATATATATATATTTCTCCCGGGCTTATTCTCTTTCTCTCTCAAATGAGAGCGACTACTATTACGCAAATAAAATGCTACATGAAATCAAAGGCATGACAAATAATCGCAATCGAGACTTATAGTACGTCGGCGAAATGGTTGCGGTTTCTAATCTGTGAATTGATTGAACACCTCTTTTCAGATGTGATATTGTATAATGTGCACTTAGCACATACACATAAAATTTCTAGAGAATAAAAACTGATAAATATGCGTAGGAATAAATTATACGGACGATTTTATACCTGTGCGTTCGTACACGAAATCACGCACAAAACATCAACAATAGAATTCTGAATTAATAAAACTATCAATATAAATATTATAATACAAATTTTTGGAAAACCACTTTATGGCAGCATAATGTACAATTCTAATATCGATATGTATATTGTGCGCGATTTCTCAGAAGATATTTGTAAAACATTTACATCACATTTTATAATTATGTGATGCCTTTCTGCAGGACAATAATGTATCATTGAAGAATCGTCAAAGTTTGCAATATTACTGCATATGAGAGAATGACTTTCTGTATTTATATTAATAAACGCAATGTATTTCTCTCTCTCTCTCTCTCTCTCTCTCTCTCTCTCTCTCTCTCTCGTGCGAAAATTCTATTAAAAATCATCACACTTTAAAATTCAGACTAGAACTATTAGCAGTCGTTCTCGGATAATTCATCTAGGAAAATAGCAAGTGTTTTACTTTAATGGCATTTAAATAGGATGCCAAATATTATAGTACATATATCAAACATATGAATAGAATTATATATGATCGCACTTTGTGTAGCGCAATCTTCAGTTGAAAAATTTCTACAATTCTTATTAAATATGTCAAGATTTGATGCGCAAATAATCACAAATTTTTTTCGTAAACTCCAAAATTTTACAATTAATTTTCGTAAATTTCAAATATTGAATGATATTGAATGTGCAATTTATCTTGAACAGTTTCTTAAAATTTTAATTTTGTGATGAGTAAATATTTAAAAGAAATCTTGAGCTTAAAAATGCATTCAATGTATCACAAAACTTAAGTATACATTAATTATATTAATTATATAACAATCAAAAAAGATTCATTCCTCATGTAAGTGCATCGGATTCTTCGACATAAATAAAATTAAAATGTTGGATGTATATGTGACTCATGCAGAAATAATCTTACAGGAAAGAACCTTTTCAAGCACTAATGGGTAATAAATCATAATGTGTTAAAAACACTCATCTTTAGCCATATATCAATCAATAAAGAATTCCAGCAGAGTTCTGATTATCAAGATTACATGATACAGTGATTTACAATTAATTTGTAACATAGAAGGAATACATTTGCAGTTGAAAATATATTCTTATTTAATGTATATATGTTCTAAAATATTATTCATTCTTCCCATTTCTGAAAAAAAGAAATAAATAAAATTTTATCTTTCTGGAAAATTACATAAAGACTAGTTGAGCATAAAAACTAAAAAGATACTGTTCAAAAGGTATTAATCTCAATTACATAGATAAAAAACCACATGTATACATATATGTATGTATGTATATGTGTGTATATATATATGTATATGTGTGTATATATATATGTGCATGTGTGTGTATACATATATATATCCCATACAAATATTTCAGATTAAATTATGCATAAAAGATAAGCTTTATCAAAAATTTTCGTTTGTGTTTCTCTGCTCTCTTACTTTTATAGAATTTACAAGCATTTTGAAATTATTTGTTAATTCAACAATTTGAAGCTTAAAGTCTACCTGTAAATTCGCAAAAAAAGATAAATATTTAATATTTTATCCTTAAAAATGGAATGCGTACAGAGATTGAACATAGGAAGAATACTACCAATTTGCATTTTAAAGTCATTTTGCAAAGAAGCTTAATTCTTCCTTTTCAAATGATTGACGATTCTGTTATGCAAGATATATTAATGCATTATTAGAGATAAACTTAACTCGATAAATTTATGTTTATAGTCAAATTGTTAATTTCACTAATGAAGTGAAATACATACATATATATATATATATATATATATATATATATATATATATATATATAATGAATTACGTTCCATATGTTGATATCTTATGTGATACATACATCGTCACCAATTTACATAATTTTAAGTGAACAATTTGACTATCTTAAATGATTTTGATTTTCTTAATGCTACTTGCATAGTCATTAATATCAATGATATATCATTGATTATAATCACTGATCATATGTATTTTGAATTCTGTATGAAAATATATGCGATTATAACCAAAGCTTCATGCATTTTATAACTTAGTCTTACAGCTCACAACATAAAAAGTCAAGAGAATTTGTTGGTTTTACATAGGAATAATTGCGTTATATATAATGCCTCGTGAGATAATTTTCAAAATAATCTCGATGAAATATTCATATTTTTAGTATCATCATATATGTTATTATTATTGTTAATATGTAACTAAGAGTTGCACATTATAAATTTTAAAAAAATACATATTACGAGCTAACGATATATACAACCTATTTTCAGAAGCATGATACTTTAGCGCATTTATTTCTAATGTCTTATTATAAAGCATATTCCAACTTATATTTTTTCGAAAAGCTAAGTTACTAAGGATTTAGTTCATTTGTGAAGAATGTTTCTTTTTTCATTATAAATTGGATGAGTATGTACAACTTTTTCATAATACTAAATAAAAAATCTTACAAGTTACATAAGCCGATCACATGCATCGGCAAATTAACCTTTTAACTATGGCTATCGTCAACAGACGATGAAATAAATGCATATTCGTAATTAAAGATTTAATACATATTTATATATATAATGATCCAGCTTTTCGAAAAACTCTCGACCAATAAGAGTTCAGGAGCTTTGTAAAATCGCAGAAACAAAAACATAGTCTTTTATCTTTTTTTTTTCATATCGTCAGGATTTTGTGTACAAGATGAATAAAGTAAAGACATGTTTGGCATTTATATTTTTTGAAAGCGTATATATGTATTATATATAAGTATATATATGTTAAGATACAATCTTGATCTCGTCCGTGCTGAAGAAGATTGAAGAAAGTTCCTCGCTTTAGATGTCTTCGCATTCTTCCATTTCTCCAAAAATACTCTTGTTCTCGTTGTACATCTTGTTTTTCCATCCTTGCTTTTCCTCTTCCAACTGTAAATCATTATCTCGTGCGAACTTGTATTAAACTATGTTCCTTTCTTTCTTTCCCTTTTACCTTCTTTCGAAATCTCATATGCGATAGCCATTCATTTTACAAATCTATTTTCGCGGAGACTAAATATGAATATTTTCTTAATCATAATACAATTACATATAGATATATGTATACATATAGAAAGAATACACTATATCATATTAAGATGTATGCAAGAAAAAGTAACTCTGCGATCAATTGAGAGATTTCACAGTAATTCTATAGTGAGCACGAGTTCGGCTATTTTAAAAGAAGACAAGAACGTACAGAATTCTATGTAAAGTTTATACTAAATTCTCGGACTAATCTAAGAGCGATTCGTTACAGCAAATCTTGAAAGTATCTCTTTTTTAATTGTTTATCCTATATCTCTCGATATTATCGCGTCTCATAAACAATCTTTGGATGTCACGTATGTTCATGTCGACATTATATAAGCGACATAATATACTTTTATTTCAAGAATTAAGAAGATCGCAATGTGTGTATGAATGTGTATGTGTATGTTGTTCCATTCATTTAATGTTTCATCAAATAGAATCTTCAATTCTTGTGACAGCACACCCTGCTTGTGTTATCTCCCCGATTTGTATCTTTTTTTCTCTCTTTTATTTAATGTCTTGAACGATGAGAAGAGTCTCCCCGTTCGTCCCGGCGATCACGTTCTCGTTCCCGTTCACGTTCCCGTTCTGGTTCCCGTTCCCGTTCGGATGGTCTTCGGCTTGATTCACGTTCTCGATCTCTCTCTCGCTCACGCTCTCTGTAGCGATCGTCATAATACCTACACAAGTCACGTCAGCCAATTATCTTACTTTAGTGCTGCTTTTTATACTTTGTTATATTTAACGAGTTCACTTTACCATGAACGTTAATCTTTTATTTTATGCCTAAATACAAAGAAACATCAAGTATATACTGCTACTCTTGTCTCTCTCACCTTGCCTTTTTTAATGGATTCTGCTCTACTCGAGATATATCTCTCGTGTATAAAAGCGCATAAGACAAAAAAATCGATAAATTTAGAAATATGGCTATATAATAACAGCTATGTAGCTATATAATTTTTACAAATAGAGAAACACACACAAGTATTTCTACAAAGAATATATTTCTCTCTGATCTTTTTCTACAAGTTAATAAAAATAAAAGATCTACTATCGATCGAAGAACAATTTTCGATCTCTTCGTTTATTTCTCAATTACGTTATTTTTAATTTTGTTTTCTTTGTTATTCTACGTACATTTTTTCTAATATCTCAATGGAAATGAAAAGAAGGGCATGGATTAGTCTACGCAATTAATGCGTAACATTTCCTATTTTCATTATTTCGTCATTAAACTTAGCGTTTATTTAAGTCTACATGCATTCACTGTAATGAAAAAAATTAATTACCTAGACGCCTTGGAAGATGAGACGGGTGCCGTCTCTGGCGGTTCTTCTTTTACTCTTGGCCTGGCTGATTGACGTGTTGTACTAATGAAAAATGGATATTTTGTTATGATGATACCATTATAACCAGGCTTAAATTTCAACTACATTTCATTAAAAGCAAAGATTAGGCTATAATTTAAATCGGTATTTCGATATCAACGAGAGAGATACCTTTGCGCGAGGCAAGGCTATTTTACAATTACAGTAATCATTTTTAGAAAGTAATTGTAAATGTATCGCAATTATAATCGAATGCGGCAATTTATAAAACAAAGGTTTAATATATACATATATATATTTACATTTTAGTAAATATTAATATAATTATCAGCTATCAATGACTTAGGAATGATGATTCAGGGTGAAATATTATGATTTAACATCAACCCTGACACCATATACTAAGGGCGTATTCCAAAATTTATTGCCAGCGCTGAAAATCTATAGTTCACGTTATATTATATATTTTCAGCGCTGTCAGTGAATTTTGGAACATAGCCTAAAGAAAAAAGATAAACAAAATAGCATGCAGTAAAAAGTAAATTGAGCGAATTGAGTAACACATTGAAATATATTTTAATTTGCTTTTTAATTTTTCTTATAATTTTGATCAATAGTACGCGTACATGATTACAGGGTTTCATGTTCTTTATTATGATACTAATAAAAGTATTTTCAGTACAGCATGAGAGCGTTAACTGTGAACTAGAAATATTTGTCATTGATATTTATGTAGATTATATATATATATATATATATATATATATATATATATATATAAAATCTCTACATAGATCTATACATAGATTGTTTTTATTAGTCATTATAATTTTACGCTCTTGTAAATTATATATTATTTAATAATCAAGAGATTTTTCGTCGCTCTGACTGAGTCACACTTATAAAATATGGCGAGATACCACGTAAAAAATTATGTAGATATATGCGCAATATATATTTGTAAACCTTAAAATTAAAAATAGTGATAAATAACTAAAACATTATAAATAGTTGTGTGTGTGTCAAATCTTACATTGCAATTACGTGTACTTGGAATTTCTCATGATTATCAAAAATTATAGTTTAATTTATATATAAATATATATATATATATATATATATTTTATATATAATTTAATAAAATATATATATATATATAAATATATATATAAATATATATATATATATATAATAAAATATATATATATTATTTATATATAGTTTAATAATATATATATATATATATATATATATATAGTTTATAAATATATATATATATATATATATATATATATATATATAGTTTATTTATATATAAATAAATATATATATATTTATATATATGCGAGAAAACCGAAAAGATAGTACAATTTTTTTCGCATGAGAATTCGTGCCGGTGCGAATAAATTGAAGACAGACATAAATTGAACACATAAGTCTTTTGAGTTTCGATTGATTATATTAATTCGTTATACCGTGCAAAAATTTTTCAAACTATCAATTTTATTATGTTGAATTCGTATGCGCGAATATATTTAAAAAAATATATAACATTAGATATAAAGATCATTTTATCTCATCTAGTAAAAAAATAATATTGATATTAAAATAAGTATAAAACATATTATTTTAATAATTACAATCAATTTACTCTTTCGTCAATAGAACGATTTGTATATTTGTGTACTTTTTATATTGTTTTATGTTTCACAGCATATTTCTTTTTTGTAGTAGCAGATGGACTAATGCCACATTATCTATTGTTTACTTACACAGATACACACATAGTTAGTTAGAAATACTAATTCTTTTGTTACCTAATAATTATCTAATGTTATATCAATATTTAGGAACTATTATATAAGAAAAAGTGGAATATACAGAGTGCGAACTTATACACATTGATGAATGATTGAAAAATGTTCGATTGCGTAATCATAATTAAAAAAGGTCAGTCAGCAGAATATGCTATCAAAATTACGATATAGTCTAACATAATTTTGCAATCATGCAATTTTGTTTATAATTGCAGCTACATCGCTACAAAAAAATATCGCGTTGCATTATGTACGATGCATAAGACAAACGCAGCGTTAACTTTCTTTCTTTTCCCTACTGTGCTTACTGTGCAATAATTCGAGATATTATAAAATCTAAAACAATAGACAATTTTATAATTATAAAATAATAAAAATTTGTGCTATCTTTGCGAAATATATCAAATTTATCATCATACTTATATGTTTGCTCATTTTTCTTTACTGATCTTCTCTTTTATATTATTTTGTTTTTCTTTCAAAATATTACATATTTGCGTTCGATAAAAATAATACTAAGATTTTTAATTCTTTTTAATTCTCGCTCGCGACACAATCTGAAAGTTCCATATTGGTGAGGAACAGTGTCAAGAAAATTCATTAATTCGGTATAAATAAATCCTAATGTATGAGGAAACTATATCGGGACGGAGAAATTTAGTTAATCCTCTTTCACTGTACACAATCTATATAGTAGCATACTCTAAATATTTCTAAACGACATATTTCTCGTGGAATATATTTTATTAGCATTAGCAGCGTTATTTTATTTCTAATCAAAATCCCTAAAAATTTTCCCTCAACATTTTTTCACACAATATCCCACTAAAGTCGAGAGATACAATTAAAAGAGAAATCTGTTGAGATCATTTGGCTTACCTTTCTTCTCTGCTTCTCTCTCTATATTCACGATCTCTTTCACGTTCGCGCTCTCTTTCTCTGCTGCGTGATCGCTCTCTCGGATATGGTTCGCTGTAATAACGTTCTCTGTCCCTATCGCGGTCTCTTTCTCTCTCGCGATCACGCTCCCGATCGCGCTCTCGGTCCCGATCTCTGCTACGCTCACGATACTCGCGATCTCGGCTTCTAGACCGCTCGCGTCGTCTTCTGTGGCTGCGCTCTCTGTCACGTGAACGCGAACGTTCTGCAAGAAAATTCATTCTCCGTGAAATGGATACGATTGAATGTCACGCAGTTTTAAAACAAAGTTAAAATAATACATTGATAGACAAAAAGAAGAAACAAAACTTGAAGGTTTTTATATTTCTATTTTTAGGGGAGAGAAAGTTAAAAAATTGTATTGATTTTAATATAAATTACGTTTGCAATTTAACATGGATATACATGGAATCCTAAACTTGATAAATTTTAACAGAATCATTGATTAGAATGAAGCACAGTATATAGAAACTCACCTCTACGTCCAGATCCGTAGCTTTTAGTTTCAACGCCACGTAAAGTGTCTTGGAGAGAACTGATCAGAATTTTGCATCTGTCATCTGCAGCAACCTTTGATTGTTTTATCAACGATATAGCAGTAACCAACGTCTCTATGGCACTTGCATATTCACCCGCTGCAGCATCAGACACTGCCCTGGCAATCGCAGATGAAGAAACTGTACGATTGCGGCCCATTATCTCCTCGAATTCTTGTTCTGTGAGTGGAGGCGGACCTTCCGGACGATGATCAGGGCCAGGTGCTCCGTAAGGTGCCTGAGACAATATAGAGAATTGTACTGAAATATTTCTTGAGTAAAAATCTTGTGATAAATGCAAAATCTATAAAATTATTTAATTTTGGTTGTTGTAAGATGTCAATTTTTTATAAATCAATGATAACATATGCAAATTAAAAATATACTTGGATAAATACTCCACTATATTCATAAATACAATAATATTGTATCATTTAATTATAATTCAAAACAAGCAATCAGCAATATGCCCATATTTTCTTAATATATTGTAACAAGTGTAATTAATTAACTCTGTTTAGTGTAATATGAATAAATTATTTTGCAGATTATATGAAATAGTAGCATGTGTATGTGCGTTAAAATTTAATATATACACGTGGTAAAAAAAAAATTATCCATTGTTTAAATATTTAGATAAGATATAACAAGGTAATACTTGAGCACTTGGTGGTCCGTAGCCATGTGGCGGTACATGTGGCGGTCCATGTGGTTGTCCATGTGGTGGACCGTGAGGAGGACCATGAGGAGGACCGTGAGGAGGACCATGAGGGGGACCATGAGGTGGACCAGGAGGTCCTGGTGGATGTTGGCCTGGATGCTGATGAGGTGGGCCTTGTGGAAAGAACGCCGGATTGACATGAGGAGCCGGACCACCCGGCGGTCCTTGAGGAGGTCCTTGCGGCGGTCCGCCATGTCCTGGAGGTGGACCTCCCGGTCCTAACATACAATATATGATTAATATCAATTTCGATTTAAAATATTTTTAAATTCTTTTTTATTCACGTTTTAGAGTTTTCTTTAATTGTCAAAAAAATTTATCAAATGTAACTTAAAAATGTATTCTGAAACATATGAAAAGAAATTATATTTTTATTTCATAATCTCGAATTATAATCTAATTATATTCAATTTTTTTGTCTTTCTCTATTATGTATATACACATATTATAAATTTTCTGATAATATAGCAGTGAGAAATTCATTTACAGATATATATGTGGATTATAGATATAGTGCATAAAACATATAATTACTACATGTGATTATTAATGATACTTTAGGAATCAATAAATAATAGTACGTCTTTCACGCGCGCATTTGAAATGATCCTTTGAAACATCTTGCACCTCAATGCTTCTGCCAGATCAACTTCCCTCAATATCATGCATCTTGTATATAGCATAGTTAAACAATTGACTAATAAGATTCGTAACATCGAACGAGCATTCTAAATCTCTCACCACCCATAGAACCTGGAGGAGGTCCTCTCTGTGGTGGGCCTTGGCCAGGCTGCGGCCCTTGCATATGTTGATGTTGAGGGAAACCTGGTGGTCCCTGAGGCCCATGATGCATTCCTATGCACATATCGAACAGTCTTATCAGTAATACTAATATGCTCTTTCAGCAGATTGAGGATGACATAGTAATGTACTATCACTACTTTGCGATTTCGGTTTCACAAATTCCCACCATGTTTTCGTTGTTTATTCATCGTTTCACGTATCATGCAAATTGAGAAAGTACTACAAAGACATTCAAGTCCAAGATGTTTCAGAGGAGTAATAAATCTTAAAGATTTCGAGATGGAAACGAGATTTCACAAAGATAAAAATGAAATCTTTTACGCGAATATAAAACAAAAACCGATTTGTACACGAACCTGGCGGCCTATTCCATTCAGGGCGAGGTTGAGCTCCTCTTGGATCTCCAGGAGGTCCACCAGGATGTCCAGGTGGGCCGCGAGGAGGTCCCTGGCCTGGCGGTCCAGGTGGACCACCGTGAAATTGCTGGATAAAGACAGATGAAGATTCTATTTCACTCTATCGTAATTAGACAATCATTAATTTTATTTCATGTGAGGGAAAAACATAAATTAATAGATATTTTTAATTAAATTTTAATTAAAAAACATTTGTGTAAGAAAACAAATTTACATTTAGTGTATTCTGTAAAACTGATATTCTGTGAAATTTTTACATAAAGAAATATGATTATAATATTATAAAACGAAAAAATATATAACAATATAAAATATTTCAATATTGTCTTAAAAATTTAACCTTGTTTAATGTTATGTTAAATGTTATTCATATACATTATAATAATATATTATATATATTATTAAAAGCGCAATTTGTTCAAATATTTTGTTACTGACTTCCATAATAATATATATTCTATGCATACATGTGTAATAATAATACATTGTATATCACAAATATTATGTGTGATAACATTCAGTGTATCAACAAAATACAATACAAAACCTAATTTATTAAAGTTTGGGGAGATTAGAAACTTTCTAATTAGAACATTAAGTAATTAATTTCTCTTAGTCATATGCTCAATTATTATTATTTTTCAGTTTTTATTTTTAAATATAGCCAGTTATTTATATAAAAATTTAATTCTTGAAATTAGAGCACTCTGAATACGAATAATCAAAATAATTAACTAGACGACACCGAACGATCTGTTTTTTACAAGACAAAAAAATAGAATTGAAAAAACCTCATTATCGGTTACCTGTGGCATATGGTAACTGGCTTCTGAAAGATCTCTAGTGCAACTCTGTTTACGCGTAAGACATGTAAGTGCAAAACATATTTAAGCCTGTACTATGATTATTTACAATAGACATGCATTAATCAATTTTTTTTGAAACTGTGCAGATAATCTGTATAAATGTATTTTGTATGCACGAGTATTATGATTATTTTATCCAAATAACTATTAAAAAATATTTTGCAATATGTTAATAATCAGATTCTGCACAGTTTAAGAACTTCTATATCATACATCATGGAAATTCTCAAAATAATATTTCTAAAACAATCATTAATATCACGAGTGCTATCATAAAACTCAAGTTTTTACATATAATTCATCTCTATTAAATAAATGTTTTAATAAATTTTAGTTTATATATACTTTTTAATGTTTTTGTTTTTTATGTCTTTATTTTGTGAAGACAGTACTTTCATTCTTTTATTATGGCCATATAATATTCTAAGAAGAGTAACAAAATTTATATTTTATTATATCTATATTACTTTCATTGTTATACAGTTTTTTAAATGCATATACTTTGTAAAATTTTCAAAGAATCAAGTTTGGATCACATAAGTTTTAGTAGAAATAAATCTCAAAATTTATTTATATGCGTTTGTAATGCAAAATGTTAGATGTAGTGTTAAATAGATATGAGAATATGGTTCAATATGTATTATGTAAATATTTGATCCATTAACGAGAAATATAAAAAGATCTGCCAATGATACATACCATTCCAGGTGGTCTATGTTGACCAGGGCCTGGACCTGGTGGACCTTGCTGAGGTGGACCACCAGGCCCACTGGGTCCTCTAGGCGGTCCAGGCGGGCCATTAGGACGCGGCCCGTTCCATGGTCCCTGTTGATAGCCAGGTGGTGGACCTTGATTAGGATGGCCAGGCAAAGCATGATGCGGTCCCGGACCTGGCCCTAACGGCGGTCCATGCATCCGTGGCGGCCCTTGTTGGCCTGGTCCACCGGGTCCTGGAGGACCCATTCCGGGTGGTGGCATTCTCTGAGGTCTAACACCTTGCGGAGGACCCATCATCATTCTAGGACCATGATTTTGTTGTGAGTGTTGAGGATGTTGAGGATGTTGAGGATGTTGTTGATGAGGTGGCATTGGTGGCTGATGTTGATGTGGGTTATGGGGACGTTGGCTCTGACTCTGTTGTGGAGCCGGAGCAGGTCGCGTCTTACACTGCGATTCAAACTGAGAACACATAAAGATTGTCGTGTATAAGTCCCAAGTGTACTCACTCGTGATGTAGCAGAGAGCTACGCTGCGACTGCTTTCTGTTTTTATTTGTATTATAATACACAATACATACTTGATTCAGTGCCTGCTTCGTAGGAAATGTTACTACAGGATTCTGACCATGTAATTCCTTCTTGGGCAGTCTTTCCATGCATATTCTCATACTCTGTTCAGAGCCTAAGGATATTACACAGAAACCTTTGGACTGTCCATTAGCGCGATTCTCGAAAAATTTCACCTCCGCAAAATCAGTTACGCCAATGCTTTGAACTGCATCTGTTATGTCTTGATCACTTGTCCACTGAAAGTAAGATTATTTTTGATGATTTTTTATTTTCATTCTTACATCATTTTTATATAATAAAAAATAGAAAGTTTAATATAAATAATTTTAATATAAATTATTTTAACATATATACATATGTATATATGTGTAAAAGAAGTAATTTTATTGACATTTAAATTTTTAATAAAGTGAACGTTTAATACATACTAATAGAAAAATGTAATAAAAGAAAAAAATTTGGCAGAAAATAAAACAAAATCATAATTTAACAAGAATTTAAATTATTAATAATTGTTTAATAACTATTAAAAATAATTTTTTAATACACACATTAGTCTTTTATAATATACTATTTTTTTACTGAATCAATTATTTTTGGATATTGTAAAATATTTCTTTTTTATAATAAATATATCACAAATCGATATATCATATTATTGAATACTATAGATATAAGAAAAAGAAATTGAAAGATGGAAAGTATATTAAATTTGAAAAAAACATTAATCTATTTTATATTATATACATATATATCTTGTTGCAAAGTATATGTCATAAATGTGTCTTCCATTATAAATAAAAAATTATATTAGAATAGAAAAAAATATTAAAGTAAAATTTTTGTATGCATATATACCCATGTCAAATTTCCAACATATAATTGATGGCGTCTACCAATTTGATTTGGTTGTATATTATTGCCAAGCTGATGATAAGGTGCATTTCCATTAGTTTCCTCGTTCGGAGACGTAGTATCACCACCACCGTCTCCAGTATTCCCGGAGGAAACGCCACCATTACCACCGGCTGGGGCAGCAATCACGTCATCATAGAGATCAACGCCATCACCGGCGAATTCGTCCTGAAACAAATATGCAAGCCAACAATGTAGCAAGAGAAGTGATGATAGAAGTAATTAAAGACATTGAATTCGTTCCTTTTTTTATTGGGAGAACACGTGTCATGTTGAGCAATAATATTTTTATAATAAGCAGTAATATATTATAACAGTATTTTTTCATTATATTTTAGATAAGAAGCAGACTAGTCACATCAAATACAAATGTGCAATGATAATTCTATAATTTATTTAGTACACACCTACACACACGTATGTGCTGAATATGTTACAGTCAAAGTGCAAAATAATTCTAATAGAATAAAATTAAATAAAAAAACACACATTAAACAAATATTCTATATTTTGTCTAATATATTTTTTAATAAAAGATCAAAGATATATATATATATATATATATATATATATATATATATATCTTTGATCTTTGATTAAAAAGAATTTTAATAAATGTCTCTTTAAAAAGAAAAGTTCATCAAAAAGAATTTTAATAAATGTCAATCTTGTATGATTCTTCTCTCAAAAAAAAAAAACATCCAATTGATAATGAATATATTGAGTTCATTTCGTTATTTGAGCATCAAGTGCAAATATTTGCAAATAAAAGTTACAAGAGAAGATTCAATGCGGAAAATAAAATAAAAAAATTTAAAATTATAAAATTATTAAACCATCTATTGTACAAATTGGTAAAAAATTCACAAAGAATATTTTAATGCTCAATATAACAATATGACCTCCAGATACTTCTATAAGAATTCAATATATAAATTAGAGTTTATGGAAATTAATTATCAAAATGTAAATAATCGTTAGATGTACCATTTTCTTATTACACGCAACTTCCTGCACACCTTGTGGTTCAACCAATCGTACACTTCGACTGTAACAGATATGCAGATATACAGACTTTTGCATTGTGAAGAGACGATTAAGGCATAGATTGAAGTCAATATAATTTGCACAGATTTTGACAGATGCATAGTAATCTCGACATATCGCAATGTATTTTATGTATCTACTTCTTTCCAAAAAAAAGGAAGATACGTATATATACACTTTATCAAGTATAAAGTATAATAAACATAGATATACACAATAAAAAATATTGTTAAAAGAATCAAGAAGAAAAGTGAGGAAACTTTTCAAATTCATATTCCACATTTATATGAGAATTTAATGTCTCTAATCATTTCTGAATCTCTTACAAAGTTATACATAATCTTTAAATTGAAAATTATATGCCGCACAATCCTAAGTCAAAAATCATATGAGAAAGCCATAAGGAAAATTGATTCAAAACTTTTTACAATACACTTATAGCACTGAAAATTGACTTGGACAAAATTACACCGATTTTAATCCTTAGGGAAGATATTCTAAACGACATGTCCTCGCGGGAGAAAAAGTCCTCCCTGCAGAAAAAAAATAAAAAAAAAAGAGATTACGAAGAAAATGTAATCTCGCATGCAGTGCAGCGGAGTACGTGTGTGTCTCGTGTGTTTTGCTAACGAAGGCTAAAATCATAAGAGTCACGGAAAGACGGGGGAGGACGAGAAGAAAAGAGAGAGAGAGAGAGAGAGAGAGAGAGAGAGAGAGAGAGAGAGAGAGAGAGAGAGAGAGAGAGAGAGAGAGAGAGAGAGGAGAGGATATGTGAAAAGAATAACTACACGACATTCGCCTTACCGCTAGCACCATTTTGCGGTCAATTCCTGCTGCGAACCCGTATTAGCGTTTCGCGCGTTAGCGCTTAGCTCCGGGAACGGCAACGCACGCGCGCGCGCGCACGCACAATCGACGGCAGCAGACGGGCACTAGCTAGGCAGGCGATCGGTCAACGGTGCGCGGCGACAAGGAGGATAGGCAACAACTTCAGGGCGAAGCTCGTCTCTCTCGTGCGTGCTCGGTGGCTCGCTCGCTAGCGCGCGCGCGCGCGCGCGCTCGCTCGCTCGCGTCCCCGAAGCCGGCTCGCGGGGATGCACAGTAATATTCACGGGACGAAAGCCGATCGTTAGCAACGGCTGCCCACGACCACTGTGACTCGCGGGACACACTCCGCTTCGCGAAACCGACGCGCGAGACGGCTTATCGTTCCGGGTCTCTCACAATCGCGTTGGCAGCGGATTCTTCCTCCCCCTCCCGCTACCCCTCCCGAGCCTCGCGAGAGCGCGCGTCGCGACTTTCCACGATCGCGGATTCCTTCCCCTCGATTGTTTCGGCGAGGAAAAAATAGAGAGAGAGAGAGAGAGCGAAAGAGAGAGAGAAGAGAGAGAGAGAGAGAGAGCGCGCGTGCCCCGCCGGTCCCTTTATCGCTATTTCAAAGAGAAGTGCGAATTACCTGCGCGAAATCTTGCTCGAGATCGTCGGCGTACAAATCAATGTCACCGTCCGCCATTTTACGTACACCGACGCTCACTGTATCGAGAGACGGAGGAAGGCGCCAAGCGACCGGGTTCTCGGATATACGATAATCGCGACGGGAGCGCGGCGCGCGGTCGATTACGCTGTATCCCCGCGTTTGCCGGACGTGACGTCACCGGAGTAGCGTCGGACTCCGGATTCTGCCGCTGGCTCGAGTCGCGTTTTCACGAGGTTGATTGGTTTATTTGCTAAATAATAGAATAGAGTTCAAATAGTACGAGCAGTGTTATGAAAGATCTCTCTCTCTTTGACTATAATATAATATTGTTCGTATATATGTATATGTATAATATACGAGAATCTAGTAAAATTGATCAATTGTCGAATTAAATACGGGAGCGTCCCGTTTGATCACGTTTACGATTGAGCCAATTATATCGACCTATGCCTAGGGTAATCAGCAACGACTGAGCAATCAGAGAGCTCTATTTTGAATTGGCCAATTGGCGACGTGGTCAATCATGCCACCCAATCCGCTGGATTCGACCAATGTCGCGCAATTGGCTATTGAATAAAGAATTTTCAAACAATATTCAATCCATTTTTCTATTAATAACCAATTGTGGCTGAAGTTGGGGAAACACTCTAGATGCTTTCTTGAAGCGTTTCATTGGTCGCATACAGCGGACTCAACAGTTGGGCAACATTACTAGATTTTCCGATATAACTCGACGCTGATTGGTCGGACCTGAAAGTAGAAACCAATCATATTCGATTGCTACTTAGCGGTTGAGTCCGCTGAACGCGGCCATTGACCAATCAGGAAAAAAGAAATAATCGTAGTCTGATATGATTTGTATATCCCAATCTGTATGATATGATTTGTATATGTTTTTTGTTGGAAAGCTCCCATTATCCCGTCATGTTTTCAGGATTAATTATACTAACAATGTTGATATTCATGAGGTCATTTAAAGTACCTATCAATTATAAATATATAATTTATATATTTTATTTAAAATACATAAGATCGAGTCTAATCGAAAGGAATCGAATAAAATTCTGACCTAAACAAGGTTGCATCTCGCTTATTTATCTGTAAAATCCTTCTTGTCCATATCAATAATAAAATTCATCTATAGTCCATAATCCTATGTCGATTTCTTCTCGTGATTGCATAACGAGAAACACGCATGATATGTAAGGAGTGATCTGGTTTAGGGAAATGAGTTACAAATCGTTGGCCGCGCACTATTCCGAATGTAACTGGATATTTTATAAATTTCAGGATTGCGAGAATGAGGTAACGAAGCTCGCTGCAAAATTTTATTGCCCATAACCTAATCTGCGTTCTGTTCATAACATTCTGTGTTTGCAGCATCCGTACCGAAGGTTTCTGGGATGCTGCGGACACATCCAAAAGCAGATGAGGGAATGCATAAAGGAACAAGTAAGTCGTCCCTGATTTTTTGCCGCGAGCGAATTAATGTACAATCAATTTCGTCGTTTGTTGCAGAGAGAGATTCAAAGGAAGAAAAACGCAAAAGTCAGACACAAAATAATAAAGAGAGAAAGTTCGCAGTCGGAAAGTAGCAATTAATTGTTAATACACCAATAATTTTATTATTAATAATTGAACTATTGATTTATTAAAAAATAATAGATTTAAATTTACTTTTATAATCTTATATACGTTATATATGCGTTACTTGTGACAATAGAATACGCACCGATTTGAAATATACACTCTAGAATCTAGAATTTGGAATTTAATATGGATTTATTATCAGACGTTCATGAGCCAGAGATCAAACGTTTGAAATTTGAGAATGAGTGTGATGAGAAATTGTGCAAAAAGGAGCAGAATAGCAAAGAAAATTTTATTCAAGAAAGTACTTCTGATTCAAAAGAAATCTTTTCTGAACAGCAGGAGGAAGATAATGAAAGAATGATAGAAGACGATGAGAATTCAGTAGTTATTGATAGCGATGACGGGTTTAAATTTCCTCCTGACGATGATGCTTCCGATATGTTAGATGAAGTGGAATACAATGGTTACTTTCCCACTGTTACCGATCGCTATTTTACTCCCTATTACAAAGTAAACGTTCAATTACCTGAAGACGATATATGCATAAGAATACACAGCAATCGTATTTGTATGCTGTCTCTGGCACCTAGTCACATCATTCTACAAGGTGATAAAGATATAAAAACGATCAACTTTAAAGTCAGTGATAAGTTAGATAGATCTCTGAATAAAGTCTCAGGTAAAGGTAAGCATGGCGCGCAACCATTGCAAACTAATTCCAATATCTGTAGCATATCATGTTCTGACGGACAGACTTATATGATAAAGTGCTGCATGATTGGGAAGTTAGTGGAGGTTAATGAGATGTTGCTAGAAAATCCAAGGCTTCTCAGAAATCCACCACATAAAGGTGGCTACTTGGCTATAATATTACCGAACCTAAAACTTTTAGAGAATTTGAAACAATCTCTATTGACTCATGAACAATATATTGAATTAATTAAAGAAAGAGGAAGAACAGCAGCACCACATGAAATACCATAATATGCGGATACATTTAGATATTTGCAATAATCTACTTTGATTGGAAAATAAACTTGATTTTATAAAAAAAAATTAATATTTAAAGTAAAATACGATAAATAAAAATTCTGATTTATTTGTTAAATTTTCTATGAATAATTTTTTTACATGTTTTTACCTGACTTTCTTTTCCTTGTTTAATAATTTAGTATTTATTAACGTTATTACATTAGTCATTAAAAAAAGACATCTTATTCTGTATTATAGAATATTTACAGTTATATTTAACAACAATCACTTTTTTTTTAAATATGGATTCATAATTTATCTAGCTTTGTTTCCTGAGTCAATAAATGAGATAAACGATTAAACCATAATACTAATATTTTGATTGATTAAATATATGAGAATGTACAGTTTAGAATTTTAAAGTTTACAGTTTAGAGTTTTATGTCAAAATATGTATAATATATCAAATATCACATGAGTATTTTAAATTCATGTAACAGATGAAATATTTGGAATTTATATAACACAATTAATATGACATCAATTAATGACATGAATTCCACAATTTTTGTCAATATTTGTTTTTTGTTCCATCTAGTTCCACATAATTTAAAGATAGATTATACTTATTTAAAATTTTAATTAATTACAGATTTTTAGACTATTTTTGGTTTCTAGTGCAACAATTTGTTGCTCTGTTTTTTCTTCATCTCTGTTCTCTTCTTTTACATATAATCTCTTCATTAAGTTCCCTAATACAATACCAACAAATAAGATCATGCCCACTCTATGATTTGATATAAATTTCTTAGCACAATCTGTAGGATTGTTAATGTTTAAAGTATATATCTGGAAGGAAGCAATTATTTTATTGGTATATATATGATTTTGTAAATTGTTTAGATAATTCAAAATAATAATTTATAACATTTACTTGATTGCTAATATGGATTGCAATTAATCCAACAGCAGTATAATAAGGCCAAGTTTGAGTAGTTAGTATGCCAGAAGTGATTAAACTTGCAATCATAACCATTCCAAATCCAGACAAATAGAATTTCGTATCATCTCCAAATTTTATGGCTGTTGACTTGGTGCCAAGCAAAATATCATCTACTCTATCCTAATATACAAGAGAGATTAAAGAGTGATGTAAGAGGAAAGCAAAAGTTATTACATTTTTATACCTACTTGATGAGCATATATTGTATCATATAGAATAGTCCAACAAATACCAGCTATATACAATGGCAAGCAGATGGACCAATCGCATGATCCACGTATAGCGGACCATCCTAATAAGGCGCCCCAATTAAAAGTCATACCCAAAATTAATTGCGGCCAATATGTTATTCTTTTCATAAGAGGATAAGTTATTACTAAACCTGAAGAAAAATTAAAAGATACATTATAAATATTTTAATTTTATTTCATTTATAGATTCTTTAGAATATTATTTAGTACCTAATGAACTAGCACCGAGAAATATACTATACCAATTCAATTGCAATAATACAAGTAACCCTAAACTTAATTGTCCAGCTAGAAACATTAATGACTGTCTCGGCGTTATTTGACCGCTTACCAAAGGTCTATCCTTTGTTCTATCTACCTAGTAACATAAATTCTCTCTATAATACTCATGAGACAAAACTGAAAAGATATTATTGTAAAGAGCTGTACCATCTTGTCAATATCCTGATCCCACATATCATTTATAGTGCATCCTGCACCACGCATTATAAATGCTCCCGTACCAAAAAGTGCTAACATTTGGAGATCTGGTAAGGCACCAATAGGAGCTGCCATTGCAATGCTCCAGCTGCAAGGCCAAAATAATAACCAACTTCCTAACAGAAAATTTAGAAAAGAATAGAAATTAAAGTATGACATAGTATGATTGTTAATCCCAATTAATAAATTAAATAATTAAAAGCTTACCTATTGGTTTATCTATTCTCATAAGTTTCATATATGGTTGTACTTTAGGTGAAGCATTATTAACTAACTTTGCAGCAATATTCAAGTATCTTTTTTGTTGTAAAGGTGTTAACATAACATTAATTAATGCATTGCTTGTTCTTAATAAAGAATAAGCAATGTTTTGTGTACTAGGATTTGTTTTATGCTTGTACTTTTTATATCCTACAGATAAAGTACGAACTTCTGTGCACAGCCTAGAGAAATTCCTAGTTGTATAATTTAATGAAATAAAGCTAGGATATACATTATGCGACAGCAGACTGATAACTCCTGTGAGTTGGTGACATTTTTTTATAATTGGCATCATTCAATGGTTACCTACAAAATATTAAAAAATATATATATACATATTTATATCATTATATATAGAAATAATAATTTATATTACTTATATCAATATATAAACTATCTTATCAATGAGGGCTAACTATATTATCATGACTTTTTATATCTTTTCCTTGTATATATTTATTAAAACTATTTGATCTTCATAACCAATTGTAAATATTTTATATTTTTAAATACCTTATATATATTCTAAGCAAGGTTAATCATATATATATATATATATGAATCACAAAATATAGTTAGAATATAATCTCAGAATTGCACGCAAATTTATCTTTAATCAAATCGATTTAGCAATTAATTTATCTTTGTTAAAATTATCTGATATGTGTATATGTATGTGTGTGTGAGAATAAATTTGTGAGAAATAAAATATATTTTATTTGTTATATTATGTTATATTATGTTTGAAAGAGAAAATTGTCACATGGTCATAAGTGAGGTTGTGTATTTCCCAATAAATCGCAAAATCAGAGATAAACTAACAATGCTGAACTATCTTAAAAATAAATAAAAAGATCTGTCCTTACCGTATAATAGATTGCAACACAATCATTGTTATTGTATACTTTAATCACGTCGGCATTTTTTGCTCCAAAGTCGATTTTTCCACTACATTATCTTTCGCGCATGTAAGATTATATAATGGCGTTATCGTCTGCTTTCTCGTATATAATTTATCAATAATTATTCGAGTTATTTTAATGATAATGCGAAGATAATGATATATATATATATCAATATTTAAAAGACACCTCGATATTTATTTTTTTTTTTTACATAAAAATGCAATATTTTTCATTTCTGCAATTTTTGCATTTTCTGCAATTAGCACGTTCATTTGCTAAAATTTTATTTCTTCCTTTTTTCTTTTTCATTCAAAGCCTAAATATACTTCATTTCTTTCTATTTTTTAAAAACATTTTTTAATTATTTTTTAAAATATTTCTCTCTTATAGAAAAGTTAATGTTATATCTACAATTATATTTCTTATTAAATTTTATTCGTTTACATTAATTATATCTTCGCCTAAAGTTGAAATGAGTATGTGTATAAATTCAGATGTCACAGAGAAAGAAAGAAAGCGAGGCCTAGTTGAAACACGAACGGATCTATTTTTCGAAACGAAAACAGCTTATCTACGCGAGCTCGAGATGCCTTTTAAAAATGGCGCCAGGCCAGCCACCACGTGGTGGAGGGAGGTCCGATTGATCGTGACGTGTGCGCGTGATTTTGTGCATGTATACGCTGCGGTCTCTCGTGACCGGTGCGCGACGTTGTATCGGCGCGATGTCCGCTGTCACGACGAGCGGGAAGCCGGAGGTGGTTTTCATCCTGGGCGGTCCGGGCGCCGGCAAGGGCACCCTGTGTCGCTACATCGTCGAGCGTTTCGGTTATGCCCACCTGTCAGCTGGCGATCTGCTGCGCGAGGAACGCGTCAAGCCCGGGTCCCAGTACGGCGAGCTCATCGAGACGCACATCAGGAACGGCACGATCGTCCCCGTGGAGATCACCTGCAGCCTCATCGACCGTGCTATGCAAACTTCCGACAACCCTCACAATCGGTTCCTCATCGATGGCTTTCCTAGAAATCAGGATAACCTCGACGGTTGGAATAAGGTATTCTTATCGTCGAGGATACTTGTGCATATTTGTATGTTAATCTTGTATGCGCGCGCGCGCAAGAAGTCGATAAAGTACTGCTTTAGAATTTTATTTCTATGTAGATATTCATTTCTTGTGACTTTCTGTAGTTACATAACAACTGGGTAATTGATAGATAGCATGCTATTGTTTTTCTACTCTAGAATAGGCTTAATAGGTATTTAATTGAGGTGAACGATAATATCATTCATTCATGTAGATGATTCATTCATAATTCATTCGGGCATATATATGTATGAAATTGTTTGTAATTGTGGATTAACTACCTCCTTTACTTCCATTTATATTGTTTCAGTTTTGTATAACTACCGGTTTAGAATTTTTTAAATAATTATGTCAAAATTAAATTTTCCTAAAATGAAAAAATTTTATGGATTTTATTTATCTGTTCTTAATATTATTATACCTACATATTTTATGTATTCACAGGTGATGGCGGACAAAGTTATACTGAAAGGCGTAATATTCTGTGAATGCAATGAGGAAGTTTGCACTCGACGTTGTCTGAATCGTGGTGCCAGCGGTAGCGGTCGCAGCGACGATAATGAGCAATCTTTGGTTCTTCGTCATCAGACTTATCTGAAAAATACATTACCAATAATAGAAATGTACGAGCGACAGGGTTTAGTTTATAAAGTTAATTCTATGAAGACACCGGAAGAGGTGTTTCAGGATGTCGCAGAATTCTTCCCTAAAATAGGATGGTAATAACAATGGTTCTAAAGGCATTTCTCTTTTAAAACAATTCTAATAAATATATTATTGTACTTTTTGGTAATGAGGAATATGAAGTTCTATATCTATACTTTATATGATCACATTTTTACATGATATCTTTATTTTATAGAATGTATCACACTTTATTTATAGATAGAACAGATTTGTTTTACTTTGCTGATACCTATATTTATTCCAATCTTTGTATACACAAATTTTATTGGCTAAACATTCCTTGACAAATGTACAATAATACAATGCAATTACGGGTGATATTGATATAACAATTGAAAAACATTAAATATCCTGTAAATATCCTGTCAGAAGTACGGAGAACGACCCGTATTGTAAATTCTTTGATATAATGTTATATATAGTTGGTACACGGCGTACACGGCGTACATGGCTTATACATATATTTATAGAACAAATGTTCAAGTAACGTGTTATCATTATTGGATTATATCGAATGAGAATTTAACGATCGTTAGGAAAAATCGTATATTAATGCGAGAAAAGACGGAAGTGAAGTTAAGTGGAAAAAATATGTATTATGTATTTTTAATTTACATATGTAAAAATATATTCATAATTAATATGTCAATATATTTTATTTCCTGCTTTTGTGTCACTCTTTAAATCGCTTTCTAAATATTAGTATAACGATGTTATTTGGACAATTACGCAATGAGGCGAGAATGTAATTGTATACATAATATTCCGGGAACAATGCAAATATTGTTACACAGTGGATTTCAGAGAGTTAATTTTATGCTAAAGAGTTAATTCTGTCATATTTTCACAGTTGTAATGGAGATACATGTGTGTACTTTGAATGAATCAACAAGTAATATAAAAAACTCGTGTTTTAGCCTTTAATTAAATATTAAATATGCAGAAATCATCTTAGTATTCAACCTTCAGAATAGATTATCAGATAACGTGAATCATACTGAAGCATACAGTCATATAATTTCTTTACACGTCTAGATTTCATCAGAAAGATACTTGCATTTCCTTCTATCTGGAATATTCTGGAGGTGAATGAACTCGATCGCGCAAAATCTTTCATTATCGCGGAAAATTTTAAAGTTCACGAAAACAATGACGGGAAGTAATTGATTGCGGTGTGAAGGTGAGATAGGCGCAAGGTACAATGTCCTCTTATCGGCGGTATCTATATGATATAACTCTTATTTGACGAAAGATAGGATCTCGTAATAAATAAAATCCGGGAAAATGATAAATTACAGAGTGCGATTCCCATTAATGATGACAAACGTAACGTTCGTGTACAATAAATCATATATGTATATATGTATTCGCTTTCATATGTATATATATCTCTAATTGTATACATATTTATGGGACGCCGGGAAACTGCCTGCTGCGTCTTTGATGGACCTCACGAAAGTTTGTTCACGTTACATTTTTTTCGACTACAGCTTCGAGAAAGTCGAATGTACTGGTCAATGTCCCGACGAGCAATCGCATATTACGTAGAGGGGATTGCATTTACAGCAATCGAAGACGAAAGAAGAAATTTCTTCGCGAAATGATGCTGGTAGAAATTCGTATGACGATTTCATGAGAAATTCTGGAACCTATAACCGACTTAAGAACTTGATATCATATTTTTTCGGCGACAAGATATATTTGCGATTTTAAATCGAGCGTTAGGACTTGTTTTAACACCGCACTTATCTAAGTGCAGCAGTAATTTTAAATGGATTAAGATTAAAATTAATTGTAATATAGAGAAATCTCACAAGACGAAATAATATAACAAAAATTATATATGTGATCATCAGAAAGATATGATCTATTTTTTTTAATTTTTAATTAAAAGAAATAATTAACTTCTCTTTTTTAATATATCTTTAAAATATATCTCGATAATATAAATTATTATTATAACTATTATATCATCCTAATAAAAATTTAAATAAAATTTCAATTATACGCTAAAATTTATCAGATTTTATATTACACAGCACATAGTATATGATTTTTAATAAATAAGGTATTATAAGAGAAGCAAGAAGAAGCGAATTGAAAAAAAACAGCGCATGATTTATACTAGATGACCTTCAAAATGTTACTTATGCAACTGTCAGTGATATGCACCGGTCTCTTTATTTCTATCGATTATCATATCTAATGCTAGCCTTGACCTAAACATGTGTACTGTTAGTTATAAATGAATGAGATTAAAGAATCCTTAGTCGCGCTTAGAGCTGAATATACAACAGTTGCCTTCTCTGTATATCTTTGACGCGCTCGTTTCAGATCTATGATCTAACAGTGACTGATGGAATGAATGAATCGTAGTCGATTTAAAGCTGCGATTATAATCTCGCGTTATAATTCCGGTGAAAACGGCAGGCATGCAAAGAGCAGCGGATCCTTCATGCGAAATCTCTGAGATTGTCCTTGGCGGTTTCTTACGTTTCGTAATTCTCGACATTGGTCAAGTTTTCTAAAAGAATTTCTATTTTCTAAGGCTAGACGTTGAATCGACTTTTAAAATCATATATTATCTTCTTGAGTTTGATTTCTTGACGATTATCGAATTTTTGAAATTTGACTTCTTTCTTGGCATAAGTTTCTTATGAATTTTAGGCTTTTTATGATATGATTTTGACCATAGTCAAGTAAAACACTTTTTAAATTCTTTTAGCGATAATATTATTCAGTAGGTGATTGACATTACCGCCAATTTGTGACCGTTATTTTTAATTAGGGCTGATATAAATCATAAAGAAACACTAAGACAAAGCTAGACTTCTAATTACAATAATAAAAGAAAAGATATTAATTTAAATATTTAGTAATTAAAAAATTTAATAAAATTCTGTAAAAATTAGATTACATGAAATAAATCTTTAAAAGGTTCGATATTATTCCAAAAGAAAAGTCAAGATGTCGACTTCGTTAATTTCAATGATTCTTCTATTAATTACTATGATAGCCTCTTCATAAGGCAGCAAACAAAAATTATTTTAACGAAAGAAATTTTTTAAATTAAATTGATAATAGTCTAGAAGTCTCTAACGAAGAGAACAAATAACTTAAATTACTTTCGCTTTCACAAATCTCGACACAACCGACAGTTATTTTTAAAATCTTATTTGCTCACGACCCTCAAATACAAAAGCAATACATGTTCAAATATAAGACACAAAGAAATATCACAACATTCAAAATTCAATATATCACAGTTGACCTTGTCATTCTCGAGTTCCTTCTTGTTCCTGTTCCAACGAATGACTAACGAAAAATTTTAAATTATTAGATGCCCTGTTCTTAGTAAGCGAAGGTACAAAATGCATTAAAAACGATTAGAGTTTAATGAACCAATTGGATGATTTCAGTATCATTTTTATTTCACTTGTAATGATATTCTATTAATTTTATTCCATTAGTAATGCTAGAATCTGAAAAATAAATTTTCAGTCAAAAAAAAGTATCATCGTCATATTCTAGGATCGTGTATAAAATAGCTATTTATCGTTCTTAATAGATAAAATATCGATAATTGATAAAAGTGATTCTTGAATAGATCCTGATTAAATCACACCTTAACTTTTAATCCATAAAAAGCATGAGAATTAGAACATTATCATATTAGTAATAAAAAAATAAATTTGCTTGTTTAATCTTCAATATAAATATATTTCACAGGCTACTTTTTTTATGCACATTATAAAAGTTTAAATTATTAAAGCTGACCTTCATTTTTGTCGCGATCTGTCACTTTCAATTTAAAAGATAAGAAAAATGACTGTACACCTTCATGTTGAGAGACTTTGTATATATAATTAACTAAATAAAAGAGTTATCAAAATTATCAAGACATATATCAAAATATATCAAGATTAATAAAATCCTATTTTATAAAACTTAATTTCCAGTTTAAAATAAAAATTTGAGATATATATATATATATATATATATATATATATATATAATTTTTTTCACTTCTTTTTTTTAAATTTTTCGTTAAAATTTAAATATTAGCTTTTAAAGAAAAAGTGAAAGAAAATTATGCGTTAATTTTGTCCAGAAGTATATGTATATATATGAGACTTCCCATTGATATTGTATGAATGATATCAGATATAATGGAGCAACGGAGATATGTCTTTTCCATCAACTATGTCTTGGACCGTCCATCCACCAACTTCCTTCCGCAGATTTCGTTCCCAGTTTCGCTCACCGTTATTGAATTCCTGGCTGCGGCTATCGTATCGAGCTTCTTCCCACTTTCTGACGGCATTTCTCTTCGCGTATGCGTAATCCTCACTACCGTCGATAAGAAGAGGAGATCCGAGATGGCCAGTGTCGGAGGAGTTCGGAATGCTTCCCTTACTCCCAACATGCGAGCGCTTCGTATATATAAGTGAACCGACGCGCTGACAGAACGTAATCCACAGTCACAGTCGCAGTTTTGAGTTTTGTTTCTTTTTAACAGTCGCGGATGCGCGACATTCGTTCGCACGTGGCATCGCAAGGACGCACGCTTCCGCACAAAACACGCGCTTCCGCGACGACGACGACGACGACAGGACGCTGCGCACCCCTTTCGAGCGCCTGCCATGCAACGAGACGATATCAGGCCAATATTTGTCTCTCTTCATCTTTCGTTCGAGTAAAACTTTATTGTGCAAGACACAACCCCCTTGTTTTCCGAATCGCTAGAAGAATTGTCAAACGTCGTCTAATAACGCTGAGATAATTCTGTTAATAATAAAAAAGGTATGAGAGAATTAATTGTTGTTGACTTGTGAAATATAATAAAGACTAGAAAGTTTATCTTGAAAGAAATAAGATATGTCATATGTCATATGTCATTGTATGAATCAATTTTTATTCGAGCCTGCCTATCTCTGATTAATTTTTTTCGAATATATAAGAAGGAAGACAAATAGAAGAAGCTTTAATATAACTAGTATTCAAATAGGAGGAAGAAAAAAACGAAAAGAAAAGATGGAATTAATGCATTCAAGATGGGGAATATGTATGATTCTCTTTTTGAGTCTGATAACAGTGATGGAAGTCTGCGGAAAGAGACCGGATATTATCCTTGGGGAAGTCCTCGTGAAATCTTTCGTACCCGCAGATTCCGCCTCACCGAAATGCATCCACGATAGCCAAATTTATCTCAATGCACTTGAAAAATATACACCATGGGCACTTCAAAGTGAGTAAAAAATTAAAAATCGATACATTAATCAACATATTAATTAAGTATATACACAGCCTTTCGAATTCTACCATATACAATCTAAATTTGAATAATTATTAATTTTAAGATTAGATTCTTCATATTGATTATATTTATTATATATTTCTTATCTTTATATTTTGTAATTTTGATAAATTAAAATAATTTTAATTTTTCTCGAATAATAATCAATTTATTTAGCGTTTTTATTAAAATGTATATACTTGTCTGGCATTTCTTAAGCTATTTCTGGCTCTTACTTAAGAAAACTTCGAAAAACTTAACATATATAATTTTTATATATAATTTTTATATATATTGGAATATTTCAGAATTTATATATTCTACTCATATAAGAACACTATTTCGAATATATTTTTCGTTATATTGATAATTATTATATTGATAATTATATATCTAAATTGAGATTCCATTAATATTAATGTTATATTTATTTTATTATTCGGAGAGTATATCGCAATAAATAGATTAAGAGTGTTATCCTCTTATATTTAAAACAAAGGGGAAAAAGCAACCGACTTATTTTCCGAATAATAAAATAAATATAATATATATATTAAACTACATAATATTCTATTTAATTTTTTAAAGAGCGTGTTCCTTACCTAAAAATTTAAAATAAAAATCTAATTTAATAATTATCTTTCATGTAATAGTGTTCTATGCATATTTCGTATTGACTGTGATTTTTTTTCTCTGTGTATGTGAAAATAACTGGAGTTCTTGAACGGAGGAAGGTTAACGCGAGAAGAAAAACGTTATATAATCTTTACGTATTGTTATACTGTCACGAAATGATTCCGATTATGCCACCATGTTTAATCGTTCAATGTAATTATCGGACATTGCACGCACAATTATCTCTTTCTTTTGTGAGAAATTATCAGGAGATATCGCGGAACATGTGAAATACGTATCTCTAATTAACAGATATCGATCTCTTTCGATAAAAAAAAGGGAGATCGCGATCGATAACTATGGAAATTATATTTCTTCCCGTTAGTTCAATGCACTCTGCGAGGATGGGTTGTGCAAAAATGAGATGTCGTAAAATTTTATGTCATCTTTTTAGATTTGCAGAAGGTCCCGAATAAATTTCGATCGTCGACATTTTAATTGCGTGATTTCGAGACAGATACGTCCAGATCGATATCAAATATAGATACACTCGAGGAAGATGATATCGATATGAAGTTGAATGTATGATCGAAAGAACCTTGTATCCATTTTTGCGAACGCGAATTATCGTTTCCATGACACTTGGACTAGCACAGATTAACGAATGACATTGATCTGATTGATATTAATAGAGTAAATGTCAATCGGTGACAACATCGGCTGTTACAAAATGGTTAACCCACGCGTCGTTGTTGACGCGTATGGATCCCGCTATTATGGATCATCGCTGAATAGATCATTGTTGTTTTGTGTTCTATGACATCTCTTATCTCGTCGGGGATAATTATTTAGCGGATATGTTTACCATTGTTCATACGTCAATGCGCAAATTGTATTTAAATAATATCCATATAAACACTAATGTACTTTTATTCCTTTTGACACTAGTGCCAAAAATTTTATCATTCTCGATAAAAATATATAAAATATATTTTTATTTCATTAAAAATATGTACATATGTATGCCGATTGCTACATATAAATATATATATATTTAATGACAAAAAAATTTGGACTGTTTAATAGCAAAGAATAGATATTAATGAAATATATTAATGAAATTTAGAAAGAATAGATATTAATGATATATATTAATGAAATTTTTGATTGATTAATAATTATCAATTAAATCAATAGTAAATTACTTAATTAAATTACTTAATTAAATTACTTAATTAAATATATTAAATTACTTAATTAAATATGTGTATCTCAAGAAGTATTTAATAGCAGAAAAAATAGATTTATCAGTTTACTGAATATTTTAGAAATTAGATAAATATTTAGAGCAGAAGATAAATATTTAGAGAAAGAAAATTAATTATCACTGTTTCTCAGAATTCCTCCTACTTCTTAATTATAAATTTATTGTGAAATTAATAGCTTCTATAGTTGTATTCTAAAATACATTGTATCCTAAAATATATTTTTTTTTATATTTTTACGTCTAATTTAAAATTACGAAAAACAATATTGAATGAAAAATACTAAAAAGACTCTTCAAGGACCGGCGCAGCAATCTCTCGCGATGCTTGGACGAGGATTATTAGCATTAAAGAGCGCTGTTGAAGAAAAAAACAATTAACGATTCGTCGCGCGTAGAAACAATAATATTGACCGATGTAATTGGTATGTGCGTCGTACGCGCGAGACCAAACTGGGTCAGCAAGATGCATCCATGAGGCCGATGACCGTCCTTGTGTATCAGGGATCGCCTGTGATTGATCGGTCGATCTTTTCCTGGCCTGTAAATCGCTTAATTACTGGTCCAACTAGTTTGCGCGTTTCTTCGACCATTGTTTCACAAGAAACATGTGTAGTCAATAGTGGATTTCGAGCGTCAATGATTCAGAAACGTTCATCAAGCCCCTTTTCTGCAAACGTTCACATTTTAGAAATAAAAAATATCTTACATTTTATCTTTTAGCTATTTTTTATTCGTTAAGTTTCTTATCAGGAGTTAAAGTTTACCGAGGACATTGACATCGCCTATCGTGTAATTTATATATAAAAAAATGCTTGCTATCGCACATTCGGGATTAATTAAAATCCGAAAGAGCACGAACTAATTTAATTTTTCGGTACAAAGTTTTATTCTTTCTTCGATTTAATCAATCGTTTCGCAGCGCACGATTCCGCGGATCGTTACTGTATCAGCGTATCGCGCGATGCACTTCCGCAGCTAATGCACTCGTGACATTGACGTTGCATAGCGCGATCATAGAAGCAGTACCAAAGGATCGCCTTGAAATCACGTTCGTCCGTGTATACATTGCGGGAGATGAGTAATAATATAAATCATAGAGCATGACGCAGTTCTCCCAGTACGGTTTAATAATTTATCGTTATTCTTAGAGAATTGAACGCAACTTTGATCAACGCAAATATCTGCTTCTCATATCTCCTGCCGCAATTGAATTTAATCGATCGTACATTAAGAGACCTTTCCTCAAACTAATTTGCTTATCATGAGAAAAATAAGAGGATATATAAGTGGAAGGCTTCAGATTTGAATAAATCTTAATCATGTATTAACTGTAAAATCGTAGAAAGCGAGATAGATTTCAAAACACCACTAGATCAACGTCCATAGAAAGCATACAAGATAAATTGATAGAAAGTCGAAAATTACAGCGACAAAGTTGATACATTCTTTAATGATTTCAATTGTATTTTTTGTTTAAAAATACATATTATGGTAATGTGTGTATTATGTTCGATGTACAACAGGGGCATTTATATATTCTGTAACGATGACAGAGAATTTAATAAGCGACTAACCTTTGTGAGGGAATCCATATTAGATCAACATCTTTAGCGATTATCCTCTTTAATTGAGTTTGTATAATAATAATTCCGGATATTCGAACGTGAGAAAAAATGATGCTAGCCGATTGTGGCGTGGATTGAGGACAGAAGAACGCCTTGACTACACCTGCGCCTGTTTCAACCGGTTTTAAACTGTGTGTTTATTATATTTGTTAAATGTCAAAGCCGGAATGTCTGAATATCGTAATAGCCGGAAAAACGCTACAATGATCAACGCATCGATAGTAGATTGGTAGTAGCAAGCTTTGCAAAATGGAATTAATGCGAACTGAAGATTACTCTCAAGATTCTTTCTCTCCATCAAATCTTCTTTCACGTTTCTTGTAGCATCTTTTTTCCGCGTCACTTTTATCGTAGCTGAGACGAAATATTCGTTAAAAATTTTGTATGAGATAAACATTAAATACTTATTAGGCTTTTCTCAAAAATCGCAACGACAGCTCCGATCTTCCATTGCAAAGCTGAAAAGAGAGCTCGCTCTCGCTCGTTAAAATCTCTATCTGATTATTAATGATACTATAGTTCTCTCTCTCTCTTTCTCTCTCTTTGTTTTCTTTGTGAAGAACAGAGATTCGATGCTCTTTGTTGCAGTGTACGACGCTTCGGCTAAAATACCATCCGGCATAATCACTGGCAATTATATACAGCTGGGCAATTTCGACGAATGCTTACTCGTGAAGAATGAACATGGCTTCGTCGGGCAAGCTTGCAACGTGGCGGTGACATTCGAGATAGCCGCGGATGACGGTGCGCCAAGACAAGAGTTGGACTTAGGAGATTTACTCGTGAATGTCGCGATCGCATCAGTAAGTTTGTATTAATGCTGTAGATTATCGTACAAAAATCTATATGTCAAAATTTATAAGTTTCTCTATATGTATCCACTGGCATAAATAATTTGTGCTCGTCGGTGCCGTTTCATACGGAAGGCCGGTCGGAAGCCAACATGCACGCGAATACCTCCACCGGCACTTATTTGGTCAGCGAGCGAACTTTCAAAGATCCTCCGTGGCAATTGGCATTGCATCCATCGAGTGATACCAACATCGCTCTGGAGTCGTATCACTGTGAGGTCTGGATAGTGGTTTAGAGCAGTTCTCCGCAAAAGACTCGAGTTCGATTCTCGATCCAGCCACTTGCGCCTCACATATTTTTCTAGTCTGCGAATATTGTTTTCTAGCAATTATTCGTTAGGCTGAAAAATGTGTGAGTGTTCTCTCCACAGGATATACGTCAATGCCGTTGCCACGGATTCTGTCGTTCGTTGATCAAATGGGCGTATAAACACGTCTGACCTCCACATACATCCCTATCTTTTTTGGAAATAACTTGAATATGCCCAAAAATAATTTGATATAAATAACTTGAATATGTCCAAAAATATTTTTAATTTTCAAGGAAATATGAACACTTTAAATCTTAAAAGGACGATATAAAATAGTTTACCTAATAATATAAGAGAGATGCATAATTTCTTCTATAAATAAAAAACTACTAAAAAATAATTTACATTTAGAAATACTAAATTTTATAATTATATAAATTTAGATATAATAATTAGGGATAAATCAAATTTAATTTCTAAATATATGAGATGCAATATTTAATTTTTATTTAATATTAATTAATTTTATTTAGTTAAATTTTCTTTGTTTGCAAGAACATTTATTCTAAATCTGAGCAAAAAATATAATTCTATTTATTCAATAAACAAAAAAAAAGAATAAAAACCATAAATAAAAACAAATAAAAAAAGTAAATAAAATAAATAAAATAATGGTCCAGTAAAATATTTTGATATATCTTATGACATAGAATGCGACAAAATGGAGGTCTGGTATGACGGTCGATTACACATGGATGTGGTGCGTTCCATCCACGTGTAATCATACAGAAATTCAGAATGCTGTGGAGTTCGCACTTGATTCACTGAAAGTAGAAGAGCGTGTAGACATGATTGTTAGAGTTTCTAAAGAATCATGTCAAACCTTAGAGAGCGTTAATTCAACGTGGGATTATACTGATTTCAGTTTTATGTAAATACAACTATTCGATTATTCAAGTATCAATTTTTTATAAAATTTATAAATAACGAAAATTTCTGAAATTTTAGACTAGTCGTTGCATTTATCTTAATTCTGGTTATAGCCAGTACGACATATGACATTGTGAAATCGTATTGGGACATTACATCGGATTCAAAAGGTAATATAATAGCATATATATATATATATATATATATATATATATATATATAATAAAAATATATGTGCTTTTTATACACTATATAATATACAGTGTATAAGACAATCTATAATTTGCTCAATTATCTTTAATATATTTAAAAATTATGTCTTCGAATTTTTCATAGTATTCAGAAATCATGATTACATTGATAATCAATCTTATATTATGCCTGTGTATGTGTAATATCATGTTTTAATTAATTAAAAATTTATTAACATTCATAATTTGGATGCTATCAATCTATAACATTTTTTATTTTGTTACTTTGTCTTATCTGAATAATTTTTGTCATGTTCATTCTAAACTTCAATATGATTCAATATTCGCCTTTCTGCTCTCTTACCCGTTCTTATATCGTTCTATAAAATTCTGTACTTTTTTTTTTGCTGACGTTAAATATTTTGATTTATTTATTGCTTCATGAGATGAGGTCTTCCTACTTTTTTCGTCATGTTTTCAAATCTCATTAAGGAAAAGATATTTTGAAAGAAGAGAAAAGATAAACATTAAGGAAAAGAAATTTTGAAAGAAGATAAAAGATAAACATAAGGAAAAGAAGTTTTGAAAGAAGATAAATCTAAACATAAGGAAAAAGATAAAAGATAAACATAAGAAAAAAGAAAAAAGATCAAGAGTAAAAATTAAGATAAAATAAAGGAAAATTAATAGTGATATGACTCTTTGTAGCTATCTTTACGTCTTGTTTCCTGAAAACTAATAGTGATATGACTCTTTGTAGCTATCTTTACGTCATTTTCTTTGTATACAAATGGAAAGAATTTGTTACGGACAGATAGAAACCGAGAGTCTATTAGCTGTCTAGATGGTATACGTTTTATCTCCATTTGTTGGATAATGTTTGGGCATACATATTACATGGCGGCAATTGGTATCAAAATGAACCTTACGCAGATTCGACAAGTAAGTGCCGAATAGTTTTATAGCTTTTTTACAAATTAGCAGCGAAAATTATTTATCTATTATCCAATTTCTATTATCAACAAAGAATTTATTTTTTACATTTGTTAAATATATAATTTAAAAAAATCGCCTTATCCGTTCACGTATAATTATAAAAATCTGCATCCTTTAATTTTTGACATTATTTTTGTTATCACAAAAAAGATGCATCACTATTGGAACAACATGCTGGTACTCAACGGAAACATCGTCACAGATACTTTCTTTCTTCTGAGTGGCACTCTGCTTTCCTACACTGAATTATTGAAGAAGGAACGAGCCTCAAAATGGCGTTTCGATTGGATAGGACTTTATATTCATCGTTATATAAGGTACGTGAATGTATAAATAAACTATAACCTTTTTCGCATAATCCTCGACAATTTAAGTTTCAAATCTTCAAAAGTTTCAATTTAAATTCTTTATTGATAATAGAAATTGAATAGATACATAATTTTCGTTGCCAATTCGTAAAAAATGTAATATGTATGCCTATATATTATCCAATAAATACATCTTACTCTATATTTTAAAATTATATTCACCGATATTATATGTATAATACTAATCTAAACAAGTAAATTATATGATTTTATTTTTTTTATTATCGTATTATTAGATATTTCTATTTTTTCTTTTATATATTTTTCAAATTTTTGCGTATATCTTGTTTTTCTTTCGATATATCTTTTAGATTGACACCAGCCTATGCGATGATGATAGGCTTCTATGCCACATTGTTATATAAAATCGGAACGGGACCGATTTGGGACAAATGTGTTAGTAACGATACCAATTTTTGCCGCAAGAATTGGTATCTAAATCTTTTTTACATTAACAATTTCGTCAACGTGGCAGACATGGTAAATTATTTCTTTGATTAAGGCTTTTTTAAATGCATGTTCTTTACCATATATCTTTTCGTTATTAATCATCGTATCAAATATTGATTGTGTATGTTGAACTATAATTAATGATTATTTTCCATATAGTCGAAGAATTGTAGATGTGTGACATGGCACAATTTATATAAGTGCTATTTATCTTTTCGTTGTCTGTGTAATATATTCTTATTATTTTTTAGCTATTTATTATTCTTTTTAGTATAAATTTATTAAATCTTTTCCATATTGTGAAGATGCAATCCTTTTCTTACTTTTTTACGTTTATTTCTAGTGCATGTCTCAATCTTGGTATCTTTCGGTTGATATGCAGCTTGTTTGGCTATCGCCGCTTGTACTTTATCCTATACTGAAGTTCAGGAGCCTCTACCGCAACATTATTTTCATTTTTTGCTTTCTTCTCTCGATCTTAGTGCCGTTTGCTATAACATTTGCACATCAGCTAACGGGTACAATGCTTTACTACAAGAAGTGAGTGTAAAATTTCAATTCAATTTTTTGTTTAAAAATTATTTTACTAAAACATTTTTATTCGAGAATATTTTTCAAAATATAAATATGATCAATCCTCCAAATTATTTATTTTTAATTTAACTTAAATATTTTATGTGTATTTAGTATTAAATACACATAAAATATTTAAATTTTATTATCATAATATGTAACTTAGATGTATATTGTGTAATTTTTTTTCTATAATTGAAAAAATCTTCATGAGTTTAGATGGTTATCAAATAATCATAAAATTTTATATTATCTTACGTGATCATTATTTTAAATTATATTTTATTGACAAAAATCGTATGACATTTTATGCCGCATTTAATTATTTAATTTAATAATCTCTAAAATGTTATATTTTGTAGCCCAATGGACGTAGCTCAAGTATACTTAGAAATTTATACAAAAATATATACTAGATTTGGGTCTTATATCGTTGGATTAGGCCTTGGATATATCTTATACAAGACACGATCCAAAGTCAAGATACCTGTTGTAAGTATTATTTATACATATATAATTAATTTTAATATATTTATGCTTTTCTATATTTATCTATTTTCTTACTCAATATTTGAAAAAATGAAATTGACAAAATTTAAGAATAGATTACAATCATTTTCTTAATAATTCATATTATATATATGTTTATTTGTGTATATATATATATATATATATATATATATATATATGTATATATATGTATATATATATATATATATGTATATATATATTTTTCTTATTTATAGACATATATATTTATATATATTTATATATTTATATATACTTTAAATTTTAAGAAAAAATAAAATAAATATATTATTATCGTATGTTATACGTTTTTTATGCACAGAAGTACGTGATTTCTGGTTGGCTGATTGCCATTCTGATCGGTTTTGCAGTCATTTTCGGACCGCGTGGCATGTATTTTGACGATCATATCTACAATAAATTGGAAGCAAGTTTTTATGCAGGTTTCCATCGACAGAGCTTCGCGTTATCAGTCGCTTGGATTATTTTTTGCTGTGTGCACGGTTATGCAGGTAATCAAAATATGCGCGCTCATGAGATAGATAATTACTAAACCGGATTACGTCACCGGATTACGGATTACGTCAACATTTTAGCATTTACCGAAACTTCTCTTTGCTTATGCTGTTCATTTTTTCAAGGTCCCGTGAATCATTTCCTCTCTTGGCGCGGATGGATACCGCTCAGCAAATTGACTTACTGCGCTTATTTGTGTCATTATATTTTCCTAATATACGATAACGGAATCACTCGTACCGACGACAATTTAACAACAAAAAATGTGGTGAGTAAGAGAAATCAAAACATTTTTTAAAAATATTTTCATAGAAATATATACATATAGTATATGAGAAAGATAGATGTATATAATAAATTATTTATTGTTGGTTAGTTAGATTATTTCTGAGATAAGAATTTCATAACATATTTATTTTTATTCGCACAAGATACAATATCTAATAGTTAATGATAATTAATAATAATCAATAATAATTAAATCACATAATTTAATTTTTCTAAATATAATATAATAAAATAAAAATAAAAAAATTAACTTCAAAATAGCTTAAATTTTGATGCATATTAAATTTTATCATCGTTTATGATTAACGTATATAATTAACGATTTTTCTTGTAAAATTTTTATTGTTGCATTTGATTTAATTTGAAGTTTTTAATTTATATATGAAGGCAATATTAATTATATTATTTCCTTATCTTAGATATGATATTATAAAATATAATTAAATCAAACGTAATAATAAAAAAGGAACAGTAATAAGTTTTCTCATTTATTTTGTTAGCTACGCACATTTTTCACCAATTTCATGCTCACGATGATACTATCAGTATTATGGAGCCTCTGTTTCGAAATACCTTTTATGAACATGGATCGTATCCTTTACTCTGGCCGAAAACATCAGAATTACAAATACAAGACGGAATCCGATAAGAAAATCTGTGAATCGAGCGAGCCTTCATATATTAATCATGGTTTAGAGAACGATATTGTTAACAAAAATCTTACAAAAATCGCTGATGAAAATCGTGAGAATAGTGTAGTTAGTGTAGTACATGAAGAAGCAGAGACAAATCACAGTAACACTAAATGCGACGACGCACAGAATGTGGATATTGACAAGAAAAAATCCGATCATATCAACATTGATTTTTACTGTATTCAAGATAAAGATTCAAATTCGAGTGAAAAATAATTATTGTTAGTTAACATCGACCTTGCTGATGGCATAAACTAAGTCATTATTTAAAAAATAAAAATTATTATATGACATGGTTTGTGTGTGATAAAAGCTATAAATCAGAAATATCTAATATATAACAAGATATATTATATAACAAGAGAAATAAAGTATAAAAACATATATAGGATGTCAGGGCTATGTTGACAAAAAAAGTTCTTGTAATTTACTTCGAGAGTTTTTAAAAACACTATAATAAAATATTTTTTCATCGAGTATTTTTCGAGTTATGAGGCTTGAAATAATTTCTTAATTTTTACATAAATCATAAAATATCTAATAAAATATTCATTTTTCGATTATCTTATCTCAATACTTTTATGTATAAAATAACGAGAGGAATCAATTGATGTAAAGAAAACACATAATTGTTTCGACGAAAAAATAATTTGCATGTAGTTTGCAATTAACAATATATTTTTTCGTCGAAACAATTATGTGTTTTCTTTTACCAATTGATTTCTCTCATTATTTTGTACATAAAAGTATTAAGGTAAGATAATTGAAAAATAAATATTTTACACTACATATTTTATGATTTATGTAAAAATTAAGAAATTATTTCTAGTCCTGACACCCTGTATATAAGTATATATGTAATAATAATATATAATAAGAAAGAACTTTAAAGAGAGAACTATTATAGAGTTTGTTTAGAATATATATCGGTAAAATATATTATATCGATAAATATATAGTATTAGCTAAAAATGTTTCATAAATTAAGGAAATCAAGTCATATATATATAGACTATGAAATATATGACTTGATTTCCTTAGTTTATGAAACATTTTTAGTTAATACTATATATATATATATATATATATATATATATATATATATATATAAATACATTTTTAATGGATAATTATATAAGAGAGAATATTATTTTTCTATTTTATCAATTTATAATAATATTAATGTTTTATGGCTATAATATGATTATTGTGATAAAGCGATATACGATTATTTTTAATCAATTAAGAAAATATGCTAGATTATATATTGTAAGATTTTCGCGCAAAGAGACTGTAATTTTAATGTAACAAGAGTGAAAGCGCCAGCACCGATTTATCGATGTTACTTGCAGTATTAAATTAAGACAGTTATAATCAAAGGATGCATTTAAATTTACACTATATAAAAATAAAACTTAGAAATTACTTAAAGAAGCTTCTCTTACAAAATTGTAAGTATATTATAGCTTATACTCTAAATAATAATAATGTACTAAAAGGAAGTAAAGAGTATAAGAAACATTATCTCATACTCTATCTAACTTTTTATTTTTATCATTGAATTATTTTGACAAAGTGTGACGTAAATACTTTTTAATGTTTAACATTTTCATTTAGACTATGAAAGCATTTTTTCGTTTTATTTAAGTCAAAAATATTGTAAGTTATTCGCATGAATAACAGTATGAATGTTTTGATGAAACCTGTTTATGTGCATCATTTCGAATTGATTTGAAAAATCAACCCGTTATAATTCCGGAGTAAAGTTCATTACCAATAACCCATATCGTTGTTGTATTGTTTATTTAGGCTCTTTACCTCTCACATTTCCCTTCTTTCACACGCGCAATGCGGACATATGTATTGTACCCTTTAAGAGAGAAGCGGCTAGTTTCTCTCTGAACAGATTCGAGCGCTTAGCGGCCCAAAAGTAAGTCGAGAAAAAACAACAATGCCGAGTCTGTGCGAAGTCTATGGAGAAGTAATCGATACCCTGACTCGATACCGTGACGGTCGGAGGAAAATTTGTCCTTTATTCGCTTTTCGAAAAAGATCATTGCTATCTAAAGAAAAAAAATACTTCAGAAAGCGATAGTCGAAATATCGATCAAATGCTTAAGTGAAAAGAAGAGAAAACTAAGCATGAATATCTAAAACTAAGTATGAATATATGTGGGAATTTAATGGCATCATTAACAGGCGAAGGGTTGATGCGAGAGCAATCGTAACACGTGTGAAAGACACCCCGGAGACACATTCGCTGCCGTGGGAAAAAGAAGTGCGAATTTTCAGGAAACATTTAATATATGCTATTAAATTCGATTCAATTTGCAAAAGTTTCTCGTGTTGATATAACATTTGATACAATTTTGCTCACAGATTTATTTTATCATATTAAACTCCAAAAATCATGAGTTTAAAATTTTCTTCATTATATTATATCACACATATTTAGAAAGATATAAATTTATTTTTTTCGTTCCTAAAATCAAATAATTTAAAAGATTTTGATAATATAAAGTATTTTAAAATATTTTGTAATGATGAGAGAGAGAAAGAGAATGTTAAAATTTGTATTTTGCTAAAATAAAGATTAATCTCACTCAATTCTATTCATTATTTCTTATTAAATTATTTTCTTTATTATATAAAATTTTAGTAAATTATTATTATTTTATTAAATTATATTAAATTAAATTTTATTAAATTATTGTATTAAATTATTATTTATTAAATTATCTAAATACATATTTGCATATTTATTTATGAAATTATCGCATATGCATATTTATTTAAAATATTTTCATCTATTTATTTAATTTGATTATCAATTAATTCATTTATCAAGGAAATTTACGTGCAAATTTTCGTTCATTTAATCTAATTAAATTAATGTCTAAGAATATTTTTCTATGACAGTATTACATCTTTTACTTCTCGTCAAAGGGTTAACGTAATTGGCCGATTGCACATTTGACGGCGGGGGCGCGTCTACATCTCAATGCATTTCATAATTGCAAAAGAATCGGTGGCATGTTGGGTCGTTACGTGAATTAGGGGAAGCATGGGGAGGAAATTGTGCCGAATGTGGAGCGATACGGGTGCACGGGGTACAGTGGCATAGAGACGCGTTGCCCGATAGTGGCACCCTGTAGCGACAGAGAGAATAGATTTCACTCGGGTCGTCATCCTCGAGGTGGCAAGTGGTCGACATCTGCGTGGCCGTTCGTTTTCCGCAATGAAAACGTAATGAAACGACTGCTGGGAGTTGGAGATATTTGCCTATTCTTTCTCCCGCGCTCTTTTTCCCTCGTTCGTTTCTTTTTTTTTCACGCGCTATTAGCATGCACAATGAAATGCGTAAATGATTCGGCATAAGCATTATATTTCTCCACGACAGATAGTGTTTATATTTATAATATTATAGACGCGTATGTGTGCCGCTGATTTATTATAATTAAGCTAAAGTGAGATGGAATCTGATTCTCGATTCAGTCCGATCTGTTTCTCTTTATTCTATGATACTTATTTTTTGATAAATAGACAGAAATTATGTGGAAAATTTTATATTTATGTATTACAAAAATTTTAAATACATAAATTAATCAGAAATATGGTAAATTTAAGTTTTTGTAATAAAATTATAGTACCGATTCGAAAGTCCTTTTTCTGAATTAATCAAACTTACAAGAATCTCGATCAATTTATCTGAAAATTATGTTGTCGAAGGCACCAAAAGCGGAAGAGATTATAACGTCGCGACTCGCTTCCGTCGCGTGTTCTCCAATTTCGACAACACGAGACTGTTCTGTCGATGACAGACTGACTGTTCGAAACTTGTGCAAAACGATCCCGAATCGATCAGAACGGAACAGTTCGGCGACTTGGCGCCAACCTTCCCGGACGATCCGGATGTTTCAGTGACCTCTGAGAGAAGATGTTGCCGAAGAATGTTTCTCTTCGACGATGTCAAGCGGGACCAGCACGCGTCGCCATCGCACCCTGCAATAAAATGTAACCGGAGGCGCTAGGACAATGGAGTCAAAAGAAGCCCCTGATTCCGAAATGCTTCCTCGGCACGCGGCGCAAGATGCAAAGAGGAAGAATCCTGAAGAGGGATATCTGGCGCGCACGTGGAGGAGCTTTTCCGCCCCAAGATCTCCTCGCGCGAGATTTTTTTTACATATCAGACAAGAAAAACGATTCTTGATCGAGAGAATAATTATTCTGCGAGTGATCAGTACGTTTAGAGTAAATAATAAAGCTGTGAGATTTTTTTGGGGGCTAACAGAAAGATAATTCTGTCTATTTTGAAAGAAGGAAAAAATCTCTAGCTGTTCTTTGCATAATCAAGTTTTTTCACTTTTTTATCATAAATTATTATACTTGCAGTTGTTTTTCAATGTGTTTGGAATCTTTAAAAATCTGCATTTTTAACTGGAATTTATCTCGATGAGAACATTTTTTTTGTGAAACTATTTTTTTATTCTGAAATTGTATTTCTTTTATTATGTTATGAGTACTTCTAACATTATTCATTTTTCATATCATCTTAGTCTTCGCAGCAATTATAATAATGTTAAAGATTATTATTTGTCTCTCAAGCAATTAATAATTTCTTAATTGAATTCCAGGCAAAAACATTTTTAAAAAATCACGATGTTTATTTACTTTCATTTCTTTTTTGTACATGCAAAGTGCAAAGACCTCTAGATTAGCAGGATTGGCTTACAAAAAGAAATTAGGAAGAAGGGGGAAGGGACAAATCGGCGCTTGGTGCAAGTGTGAAATACGAAGAGGTCTATAAAAAGACACTCAAGTGGTTGCATATGAGGACGACTTTTCGGCTACCTACGTCAACGATTGTCCTCGTTTCTTCTTCGCCGTCGTCCGATGAATGTCGAAGAAACTCGTAAATCGTAAACGCGGAGAAAGGAAGAGCGAGAGATTCGGCAATGAGCCGACATGTTGCCGGCGCCAGGAAGACCGCGGTTTTATCATCGATATCTCTCACTTTTCTCACTATCTTTTCTCACTTATTTTCCCGCCTTTATGTCGACGCCTCGATGTGCAATTTGCATGTTTGCTATAATAACAATTTAAAAAAAAAAAGAGAGAGAGATATATGTTATTATATGCAATATGTGTATATATTTAATATTTTGAATAGCATCAAAGAAATTTTCAAAGTAAGGATTAAGTAAGAGAATTTCTAATTTTTATATAAGAATTTTTAACTTCTCTCGGTTAACTTTATTTTCCATTCACGTATCCAGATATGGTAATATTAATTTTTTTATGAAATATTAATTTTTTAGCATGAAATATTAATTTTTTAATAAGAAAGTTCTATGCTTAAAATCTTAAGAATATAATAAAATAGTATCGAAAAAAATGATATTATTCTGTCATCTATATGTAATTTTCTATAATATATC